AGATCTCTCTACGTGACCCCCTGGCAAGTGCTCTACTCCCTAGAATTCGTACTCCCCCTCTACATGCTCAACCCCCACTGCCGTCAGCTTTTCACAATTGCAATCAGCTCACGTACTTGATGTGCTACAAAATGACTTCCATGCCATGTAACTGGCTGCTCTGCGGATGGGTCGAACAGATGGACCGGGATGACGCCCATTCGGGTTTCCTTTTGAATCGAGAGCTTGAAGTGGGAACTGGGTCCGTCACTCCACTCCACACTCAGTCGCCCCGGTCCTCGGTGGCCAGTGAACATGTTGGAAATCACATAATGTGTCATTTAATAATCAAGCTCAATATTGACAGCGACACAGTACAACAATGCGATGTGGCAACGGCAGCAGCAGCGGCAACAGCGGAGGGGCAAAAAGTAGTACAACAATCCCGCCATTAGGCATAAATTCATTTGCGTTTGTCTGTACGATTGTGTATATGTATGTGTGTGTACTGGAGTGTTCGGCCCAGCTGCCGCCATTGGCACAGTCGCACATCCATCCATATCCATGGGCACTATCCGCATTCATATGCTTCCTCACCACCACCTCGCCTCATCGCATCACATCATCTCATCTCATCTCATCTCATCTCATCGCACATCATCCCATGGCATCGAATCACATCTCAAGCGCTGTGTGTGAATCCCTGCGGCCGGCTCTTCCTGCTCGGCTGCTTGGAAATGGAATAAAAAAGTTAAATAAACCTTAAATGAAAAATTCAACTCAATTGAATTCGTTAGCTGGAAATGTCGTTCCTCCTTGTTATTTCATCGTCATTCCCTGCCACATTCCCAGCACTGATGATGATCACCATCACCATTGCCATCACCATCACCATCAGCATCAGCATCATCGTCAATGCCCATCAATGTCATAGAGAGGGCTGGACTCGCCATTGTTGGTCTTGTCACCGGCAATGTCCTTTGGACCGGACAAATCGCATCGGAAGGATGTTTTTTTAAAGAGCTTTAAACACGCTCGGATAGTTTCCGTTTTGGGAACACAATGATTATTTTTATAGCACTTTATAATGATTATATGGGGTATACTAATAGGTTATTTAATACTATATAATATTCATATAATTCGTACAATACGAGTGGATGCTGTTAAATAAATAATCGATTTAAATTAGATTTTGAAATATTGACAGAGGAGAGAACATAAAAATATTACTTTACTTTAATAATAAAGTTATATTTCATTTGGTATAACCTTACATAGTTTTTATCAAATATTCTACTAAAATATAGTACTCATTCTATTCAGTTTAAGTTATATTTTTATATATTTATTACTCTAAGAGGGAGAGAGAATGAAGGGCTTCCAAATGGGTTGACCGAGAACACAGGTAGGTGGTGTCTGCGCCAGTGTTTTCTGGCACAAAGGGATAATAAGATACTTTTTTAGTGCGATGATGACGAGAGGGGGAAGATGAAAGATAGGGGCAGGTGGGTATGGAGGTGGGGTATCGTGATGATCGTGGTGATGATGACGGCGATGATATGGCAGAAATGAGCGGGCCAGGCCAAAAGCCGAGCTGAATGCCAATGCCAGCGAGAAAGAGCGGCTGTCAGCGCGACGCTTTATCTACGGCTACCGTGTGCGGGGGCGATTTCGGTCCGTCGTTCGTCGTCCGTCGACAAATTGCCATTTACACCACTTGCCAAGACAGCAGTTACAGCAACAAACAAGTGGCACACGCACGCACACTACACCCAGTTCACTGCTCACACAGATACTTTGTAAGCGTATATACATTCAGCCCTTCACCATACGGTTGTCTCACTTCCACTTCGAGTGGGGCGTTAACTGGGTTTTGCCACGCCCCCTTTTGCCAATGGCAGCCGCAGCGAGGAAGAGAGGGGAACAGAGAGAGAGAGAGCGGTACATAGAATGTATCTCACAGATACTTTCATACTTTGTTGCCGCAGCGCAGCAGCAGCGTTCTGCGGCAGAAGTAGCAGCTTTGAGTAGCTGCCGTTGACGTATTTTGAATAAATTTTAATTGAATTCGCACAATGAAACTGTTTACTTAACCTGCCACTTTGCCAGATGAGCTTCATCTGAGCGCCAATGCAAAGATACGGTTACATGGTGACTATATATACTCGCATAGTGGGTTCCCAACGCACATGTGTCGGTTCCGAAGGAGTGGTGCTAGGTGCTGGGCTGGGGTTGGAGGGGTTCGAGATCCTTTTGTCTTAATTACAGCAGCCGACGGATTTGGTTTGTTAGCTGCTGTTAAATCTGCAGGAAGGCAGCTCAAAGTTTGCAGAATAGATACTCGTATAACCCAATTAGGCACCTACTTACAAGGGACTCAAAAAACTTGGTTATATTGATTAAGCGCAATTGCTTAATTTATTACTTTCATGCAATTAAAATTAAGCGATTAAAAGTGACATTTATTATTCAAGGGAAGAAGTACAATCTTTACAAATTTAATTGGTCTTGATATGTAAGTTATAATTTTAATTCATTTTTACTGATCGTTAAACATAGATCATCTACTAGTAAATGGGATAATAAACAACATTCGAAACAAATTGAATAATTGTTGGTTAAGAATAAATATTGCATTATTATATATGTGTTTGGCTTGGCATTCTGGAATACTTTTTTCTGTAATTACTTTTTATAAGAATATCTATATTTTAAAGACGGGAAGTCTGAAATACTTCCTACAAAGCGACACCATTTACAGCATGTTAAATATATTCCCCAAGTTGAGTACTTAACGCACTTCCACAATATAAGAAAATACCGAAAAAAAAGTGAGTATAGAAAGGTGAAGGGGCCCAGCTCCTTTGTGGGACCCTCAGCTTCCGGTTCACTCCGAATCACGTGTCAGGTAAATGTGGCGCACAACACTCCTTCATTAAGTTAATAACAGTTTTCCAAGTACAAAGTGAAATTGCGAAATTCCGCTTCACAATTTTTCAGCGACGCTTTCCCAACCGTGCCCCAACCCCATTTTTCTGAGGCAACTGCAACTGTAACGCTGTAATTTGCCATCGCTTTGCCTTTTGATTCCTCAACGGTTTTGTTTGGTTTTGAATTACAGCCGGCGAGGCAAGACCACCCCCTGCCCCGCACCGGATTGTGTTTTACATCTTGATTATCTTCCGTTTGTTTATATAGGACTCACACTGGCATAGCACACCCCGCCATTAGCCACCGTGCCGAAGGAAAGTGAAACACAATTTCCATTCAAATCCATTCAAGGATAAGAAGTCAATCAGTCTTCAAAGTGTAAAGGATTTTGCACTTTGTCATATCCAAAGTCCGACCTTATGCTGATGCGGATTCCGCCCGCACATCACAACCTCTTGTCGGCGTCAGAAGCCACAGTGCCACAGAGTCGGAATCGAACTTAATCCAGGGCTCGGGCCCAGGAACAACCCCAAGATGCTTGCCTTCTGGCCAAAGGAATATCAAATTGAAACTTTCTGCCGGCTGGAGGCGTCTTGCGGGCACGTGGCCATGCGGCAGGCCAAAAGGATCCCCGCTGCAATTGGGGAATGGGAATGGGTTGAGCTGGTCCTTCTCTTCTTCAATTACCCTTTCGACAACGCTCGCTCATATTATGATAATCGCATCCTAATTGCGAGAAAATTACGCCCACGTGCTGTTGTAACCCGATCAGGATTGTCATCAAAGGATATTCTGCTGGAGCAGTCAGCTGGCGCAGTGAAAGTTGGGCTCAATAACATGACACATTCTCTGAACCAGGTTTATCAAATTGCTGATACACAACCCGATTGGTTTTAGAGCATTAGATGTTTTTTTTTTTAATTTTTATTTTCTGCATTATTTTTAAGATATTTTCTTAATATTCTTCAACCGAAAAAATTATTATTTTATATAAAAACTGAAGCTGGTATGCAAATAAAACTTATAGTGTTATTAGTTAATATCAAAGTAAAGGGTATTGTAAGATATTACAGATTTTATAAATAAAAACTTTATTTATTTATGTGACCAAAATCAAGATTACATTTTTCTTTATAAAGAAAAAAAAATTTAAGAAGAAAAGAAGAAAATTTTCTTTTCCAATGAGATTTTTAAAAAATTTGTCTAATACTCTAAATAAAAATGCAAGCAGTTTGTGTAGCTGTTTTAACTGCATCCTTAACAGCATTAATGACAGCAGCTATAACAGCAGCTATAACATCCAAGATAACAGGGAAAATATACTATAGCAGCCGAGATAACATAAATACTAACAGCAGCATTAACAATTTATTTACATTACCATGGAAGCAGTTTGAAAAGCAGTTAAAAATGTATGTCCGCTAGAGGTCGCCCAACATTAAAATTTCAATAACAAGAAAGCAGTTTTTAAAGCAGTTTATCAAGAAGGTAACAGTATATCCGCCAGGGGTCGGCCCAGCAGCGCAGTTCCTGGAAATTCTCATAGGGGGCGCTTAAATACAAATGTTCGCGTTGCCAACTGACTTAATTTTATACCCGTTATCCGTTTGAAAAAATATCATGTTATTTGATATACGAAAAAATGTTCAACTTTATCAGAAAAGATATATGTCTACCTAGCAAACTTAGTATTTCGTATGTAAACGTATTAAAATGGAAAAGGTGTAGAATTTTATATTTAACTCAATATAAAATATTATCAAATCATGAATACTAAGAAAAATCCTCGTATAACAGTAAGTAAATGAAAATATTTTTGCATAATTTTGAAAAAACATTACGTGCGTCATTTATTAAAATCATTTTCTACATTGTTTAATCAAAGATCATAGTTCATTCGATTGTCAATGCATACATTGAATACGACTGATTCTAACGATTGATAACTAAACTGATTTTTGTAGTAGGAGCCACTAAGAGAGTGTTTAGAGGTGCAGCTTTCGCAGAGCTTCGGAAAGCTTAAGCCACCCCCGAGAACTAACCGTGATGTTATATTCAATTTCACGCTGAGTGCTCTCAGTCCGCAATCGTCGGTTTTGCCAACCAAACGTGCTTCATTTTCCATCAACTTACGCTTCGAACCGTTTTCAAATATTTTCCGATTCTGGATTCAGGATTCGGGAGGGCTTGCCAGTGGAAATCCGCAGAGAATGCAACAGTATTGATATACTGCATCGAAGGGCTAAGAAAAGCCTGGCAGAGCGATAATAGCCACTAGACGGAACCTGGCTCGCCTTTTTTGTGTGTGGATGTAACGGAATTCAGTGGAAAAGCATTGGAGAAAGCGACGTGCCAGCACATCGATTCGATACTGGGCAGAGAAAAGGAACAGAAGAAGGCTCATTCGAGGACTGTTGAATTAGTTAGAAGCGAAGCAACAAATACAAACAAACGTGCCATTCAACAACCTCTCGACGTCGCCTTATCGATTTTCCGTTACATCGTTATACACACACACTAACCCAGTTGGCACACATAGCCATTACGCATACGCCCCATAGCCACCCCAAAAAAAACAAAGAGAGCGTGCGGCAGTTCGACTCCGACTCCAGCTGCTCCACATAATCAAAAGAGAGAAGGAGAGCCTGGCGGATTTGTTGCATCTCGGAGGCACTGGAGGCATGTTTCATTTGGCACTCGCCAGCCGCGGACGGACAAACCATTTAGGTGAGAGAGAGCCGGAGATTGGAGAGGAGAAGAAGAAGAAGGAGAAGTAGCACCAGCACCAGCACCCGGACGGACAGCTCAATTGCGGGCAATTTATATTTAATCCGCGGGCACACAACCCAAATAAAATCGCGCATTGTGCGCCTAATTGAAATCCCCTAATTCATCTATTCTCCTTTCGCACACAGGGCTACGGCAATAGCCATTGTAGATAGCATTCATCAACATCGGTAATCTCGACCAGTCACAACTTTAACTCTTCGCTTACATCTCGGGATATTCCATATCCTTCACTCACACAGTCCACCTACCCAAACGAAATCGCAAACCACCAGCAGGTGTTCAGCATGGCCAGACTTCAGCTGCAATTGGGACACACGGTGGCGGTGGCTGTGGTGCTACTGCTGCAGGTGCTGATGATGGGCCAGGTGAGCGGTCAGGGACCGCCGCAGCCTCAGGTTTGCCCGGAGCAGAACGAGATAGCGCCCTGTGTCTGCACGGTGAAAAAGAATGGTCTGGATATCATGTGCGAGACCACCGATCTGGCGCACATCACCAAGTCGATGGGCACACTAAAGGGCAAGAGTCCCATCATCTTCTACCTAAAGCTGCGACACAATAATCTACCCAAGCTGCAGGGCTTCGTCTTCCTCGCCCTGGACATTCGTCATCTGACCATTCACAACAGCAGCCTGGCCACCATCGAGGAGAATGCTCTTAGCTCGCTTGGTAAATAGCTGGACTCCAGTTGAAGTTCTAATATCTCACGTTTGCTTAATCTTCCTATAGGCACGGGACTGACTCAGCTAGATGTGTCTCTGAACCAAATGAAAGTTGTACCATCGCAGGCACTGAAGCATCTGTTCCACCTGTTGATCCTCAATCTGAATCACAACAAAATCACCTCGATCCACGACAATGCCTTTTCTGGAATGGAGACCCTAGAGATCCTGACGCTCTACGAAAACAAGATCACACAGATCGAACCCGATGCTTTCCGGGGACTCGAGGAGTAAGCTGGAAAATATTTTAGTTAGAACAACTTATTTACAAAAACTCTACTTTCAGCAAAATAAAGCGGCTTAATCTGGGTGGCAACGATCTGACCACTATTCCGCACAAAGCTCTTTCCATTCTGTCCACCCTGAAAAAACTGGAGATCCAAGAGAACAAGATCCGCTCCATCAGCGCAGGCGATTTCGAAGGTGATTATTGTGAAGTTGCATAGATTGTCCAAATATTGAAATTTTGTAACATTTCCCACAGGTCTGCAGAGCTTGGACTCATTGATATTGGCCCACAACATGATCACCACCGTGCCTGCCAATGTCTTTAGCCACCTCAACCAGCTGAACTCCTTGGAGCTTGAGGGCAATAAGATCAGTGCTGTTGACAAGGATGCCTTCAAGGGGCTGGAGGGTATGTTATTTTCTGATTTGTATTTTACCTGTTTTATTCCCATTCTATGTCCACAGAGAACCTCCAGTATCTGCGCCTGGGGGACAACCAAATCCACACTATTCCGAGTGAAGCACTGCGTCCATTGCATCGCCTTCGCCACTTGGACTTGCGCAATAACAATATCAATGTTCTGCCCGAAGATGCCTTCACCGGATTCGGAGATTCACTTACTTTCCTCAATCTCCAAAAGAACGAGTAAGATATGCCTTCGATTTTATATAGCAAAAAGATAAAAACCGGATTTTTGTTTTGATTAGCATCAAGGTTCTGCCCAGTCTTCTGTTCGAGAATCTGAACTCGCTGGAGACGCTGAACCTGCAAAACAACAAGCTACAGCGCATTCCGCAGGACATAATGGAGCCGGTGATTGATACCCTCCGCATCATCGATATCACCGGCAAGTCATGGGCACTTCAAATTAAACACTATTTATCAATTTAAACCATAATCTAAATCTTTAATATAGATAACCCGCTGAACTGCTCATGCGAGCTGACCTGGTTCCCCAAATTGCTGGAGGACCTAAAGAACAAGGACGACGAAATGTCGCAGAAGAAGAAGCCGATGTGCCACATGTCGCTGGACAACCGCGAGTACTTCGTGCAGGCCATGCCCACCGAGAAGATGCACTGCGCCGGCCTCAATGTGAGTCCCTCGCCCACCAGCGGCGGTCTGATGCGGATCCTGCAAGTGAACATCCTGGCCCAGATTGCCGTGTGTAGCGTGGCCTTTCTGACTAGCGTCTAAAGCCGCATCTGTCCAGCTAGACGCGATGTTCTATGTGGGTCAGTTTCAGCTTCAGTTTCAGTTCCAACCCCCAGACCTAGCCTCAGACTCGGTTCATCAGTGATCAGTGATAGAAAGTAGAAGTGCGGTCATCCCCCCAATTCGTTCCATTTGATTTGATTCGGTTTTCAAGATATCAAGATAAAGACCCAAAAAGCAGCAAAAAGCTAACCCAGACCCAAGATCACAGACCATTCGTATGTCTACGTCTGCAAAACCATTTCTGTGTTGTTGTACTGTATGTTTTCTTATAGATTATAGAGAATCCGTGAATTATGCAACTCTGCCAATAATTAGACTCAGAAAGCACGCTTTTCGAACCATCAGCAAGTCAGCAGCGCAGCAAGATTATGTCTCCCAAGCCACCTTGTTAAACTGACGCACCTGCAGCGGCAACACCAACATCCAATCCAAACTCCACTTCAATCCAATCCACTCCACTGCAGACTGCAGACTTGCACAGTAGCTCGACTCGAAGGGATATGTGCTGATCGAGATGGGTCAGCATTGTGGAGATATTTAATTGTTAACGGACATTAGCTTAGATGTAAGGCTTGATTTAGGCACCAGTGCACCTGCAGAGGTAAACCAAAATGAAACTCAAACATATCAACCGAAAATTGTTACGTTTAAGCGAGGATCTTTGTTGTTATGCGCGTTAATCTACGGATACGGGATACCCATTTATTATGTGTAGTCTATCGTCGTCTTGTCGTCGGTGTTGTGAGATACAATCATTACTAAAGCGTTTCGTAGCCCCCTCACCTGTTTCCACACCTTCCTTCTGCACCCAACCCATCTAATCCAGCCGAAATTCTTCGCGTTCAATGTAATCCCATTCTTATTATATACAAATCAACAATGAAACATTCTGGCTCCGCACTTTGGGTGCCAGAGGCAAGGCGAAACGGAGGGAAAACACAAGAGAAATTAAGAAAATTCATTTGCATCAATCACCAAGAACTGATTATGGAATAAGTAGTTTGTACTCTTTATTGCCATGAACAAGGGGCAAGTACTCACCCAATACCAATACCAATCCCAAGCCCAATCCCAGTCCCATTAACCGAACAAATCGGGAATATATATCGTTATATTGTTATATTATATCGTGACATATCAAGAGCTCCCAGTAGTAAAACACTCGGAAGGCTCGACACTGCTAAGATAGTGACATTTTATAGAATTTACTTACATTTTTGAGGCATCTGGAAAGTTTGATATTTACGAGGGAAAAGAGAATTAAGCAATTGTATGTATATGCAGAGAGGAATTTTTGAAATTTTTTATACATATACTTTTATACACACATACATACGTACCTTTTCAATTATGTCTATGCAAAACTGAGTTATAATTCGATTAGCTATTAACACTAACACCCTGATTTGACCGCTATCGCTACCGTTCCTATCGCCCAACCAACCGGCGGCTTGGGTCAGTAGCCACCCATTGGTGGGCGGTGGTGCAACGGTAGCGGTTGCGGCAATCGGAAATATTTTCAAGAGAATACGCCGCACCACCGATTCGGGTCAGTTTCCTTTGGCTAGAGCTGTTCTTTTCAAAATATTACTAACAATGAACCCCATCGAAAGCTGGGCTTGCATAATGCTCTCCATGTGAGCACTAGTTCCCCCCACGGGAACAATCTGAGAATCTAACTAATAAAGAATCCATGTTGGTTACAAATGCAAGCAATCGTTTACTTTATTTTGGCTTCTCTTGGAAGTATCTCGTCTCTGGCACATCGAATCCATTGAAGGGACTGGCAAGGGGCAAAGTGTAGGCGCCCATGTTGACGAATCCCAAAAGATCGCCGCAGTTCAAGTTGGGTAATAAGAAGTCCCCCAATAGCTTAAGGTTAAGAAGAACATTACAATCATGTGGAATGATTCAAAAATACTTTAACTAACCTTATCCAAGGCATCGCAGCTGGGACCCCAAATCAATGACTTGAACTTTGGCAAGGTTTCGGCGTTATCCTAGGAATTTCATTTGAATTCATTAATAGTAATATGAATATTAAAAGATATTACATAAAAAAAACATAAAAAATGAGATGGAGGTACGACATTAGCTTACCAGAAAAGGCTGAGGAGTCGCTACCTCAGGATAGTAGAACATTCCTGCGAAGGCTCCAAAGATGCCATCATTTAGGTAATACATAATTTGTTCCAGCTTTCCATCTTTGTTGCGAACCTCCCGCTTACCATGGACCTTGCAAATCAACGTGTTTGCAGCCTCCACAAAGAAACGTCCTGGTTCGGAAATTATTTGGACTCGTTCATCGGGAAAACGGAGCTGAACTGAAGTGTTAACAGCTTCAGCTATCTATTAGTAATAAATATTTATATAGGTTAATGGAAAGTAAATGGTATTTCTGCACCCACCTGCTCGAACACCCCATCATCGATGCCTGGAAATCCACCACCAATATCCAATAAATCCATTTTATGACCTATCCGCTCGCCGAAATTAAAAATGTTTTCGGCCTTCTCGATGGCCCGATCGAAGGCCTCAACCTCGCTGCATCCGGATCCCACATGGAAACTGGTACCGGTTACCTTTAGTTTCAGGGCCTTGGCCAGGAGCATCAGTGCTCCGGCATCCTCTTCCGCATTGCAGCCGTATTTGTCGCCCAAGGGACACAGCGCCTTCTTGGCCTCGCTCTTGAATCTCACGAGTATGCTGGATTTAAGAAATTTGTCATTAAGCCAAAAAAAACCTTCTAGTGCAACTTACTTGGAGTCGGGATAGTGTTTGTACAACTTGTAAATCTCAAACTCATTATCCACCGTCCCATTGAGTACCTTGTGCTCCTTGGCATATTTCAAATGGTTAGCTGGACGACAAGGATGAGCAAAGATAATACGCTCTGGGGAAACCCCAAAACCTAGGACCTTAAAATATTAAACAAAGTGATTTCTATCATATTATACTCTTAGTAAGCTAAGCTCAATACTCTTAATTTATTAAATAAAGCAAAGCAAAGTGACTAAAAATAATAGTTCGTTTATATAATTTCTCAGTACCGGTAAACTTTAAAGTGTATTATTTAGGTTTGTTTACTTTTAGGGCATACAAAAATATGTCAACTGATAATAATGTAGATGTGATTGTGAAAATAATAAAGACGACAAATATTATAGACGCATATACTATATGTATTCTAATATAAAAGACACGTGAAGAGATTTCAGTTCTAATCTTTACCCCAATAATGTTTTTATTTTTGAATTTTGAAGGGCTTATCAATGCATTCATGTTAAACGACATTTTTCAAGGTCTTACCATTTTGAGCTCATTTTTGGAGGCACAATCGAATCCAGTTCCTAGATCCGCCAGAAACTTAACCAGCACTGGATCGTCATTGCACTTAACTGCATAATGGGGTTTTATCCTGGGCATGAGTTTCTGCCAGAGGCGAAGCTTCCTTTCCAGATTAGACAAATCGCAAATGTTGAGAGGATGGTCGAGATCCTGTAAGTTGGACTGCTCGATCACCTGGCGGATGTTGAGCTCGTGCTCGTAGTATTGGATTTTTGGGGAACCGTTCGTCATCTCGGAAAGATGTCAACTGATCGGTAGGCGAATAGGTAGTTTCTGAGTAAGAGTCTTTTCAACAAAAATTTTTAGCTTTATCAGCAAATCGGAAATCCCAAAAGCGAAATGACAATGCCAAATTTTAAGCCTAACCTAAACTTATGCTGTAAACCTAGAGCCATATATGAACATTTTAAAAACATATTCATTCAAAATGATTGCATACTTTCTTAAGCCCCTCATTTAATTGATTATTACAACCAAAATAAATACATGATTTACTTTTTACTATACATTATACACAAATGTAGATTCACAGATACAGCCAGTTCGACTTTGCTGATTAACCTATCATATACTTTATACTAATCACCCTATCAAAAGATTTCATTTTCCCACAAAAAGAATAGTAAATTCAAAAATAGATGGTTAAAAAAGCCATCGAATTTTGATTTAATTATTTCTGTGAAATGGTTTAGTCATATTGCTCGATAGTACACGGTCTTGGGTACATCAAATCCATTGAATGGACTGGCTATGGGCATTGTGTAGGCTCCCATGTTGCGGAATCCCAAAAGATCACCACGGTTCAAGTTGGGCAAGAATAGATTCTCCGATATCTGAAGGATTAGGAAGCGCTACTGAAGATATCTGTATTATAAATCGAATTCATATCCTACCTTATCAAAGCCATCACAACTAGGTCCCCAAATCAGAGACTTCAACTGGGGCAACGCATCGGCTTCGTCCTTTAAGATTAATCAAGTGATTATAATGCAAAACTTCTACCAATGATTAAGGGTTAATATCCTACCAGATAGTGCTCAGCGGTCACCACTTGATGGTCGTAGAGAATGCAGTTGAAGGATCCATAGACGCCATCATTTAGGAAGTACATCACGGTGTCCAGCTTTCCTGCATCGTTACGAATCTCCCTCTTAGCATGGATCTTGCAGACCAATGTGTAAGCAGCGGCCACAAAGAAGCGTCCTGGTTCGGCAATTATTTGGACACTTTCATCGGGAAAATGTCGCTTCACAGAGGTGTTAACACTCTCGGCTATCTGTAAAAAGCTTTTCTTTCTCAAATGGATTTGGTTTCACTATTTTACTCTGACCCACCTTCTCAAACTTTTCATCATCGCTGCCTGGAAAGCCTCCACCAATGTCCAAAAAATCCATGTCATAGCCCAGCAGAGAGCCGAACTTGAAAAGGTTTTTGGCCTTCTTGATTGCCCGATCATAGGCCTCCAGCTCGCTGCATCCGGATCCAACATGGAAACTAGTGCCGGTTACCTTAAGATCCAAGGACTTAGCCAGCAGGATTAAGGCTGCAGCATCCACATCTGCATCGCAGCCAAATTTATCGCCCAGTGGACATTGAGCCTCCTTGGCCTCGCTCTTGAATCTCACGATCAGGCTGGAATACAACATTATAATACTAAAATTTCGAATCAAAGTTATACATACTTTGAGTTGGGATAGTGCGCGTGCAGTTTGTAGACCTCAAACTCATTGTCCACGGTGCCATTAGCCACATGGTTTTCCTTAGCGTACTCCAGATGACTAACAGGACGACAGGGATTGGCAAAGATGATACGTTCTGGTGCGACATCGAAGCCCAGGACCTTATAATTAAATAAAATAAAATGAATTTGTTGATAAATTTAACAAAAATTAGAAAGAGTTTGATAATCTGTTGCTAAGACAATATACATTTTCCTATACAATCAAGAATTTAATTACTAAATGGTAATCTAAGTTCAAGAGTAGAAGGCAAAGAAGAAGTAATAAATTGTAGCGTGTTTTGATTCCATTACGAATGCCCATATTTTCAAACGTCAATATATTATATTGACATATACTCAATATTCTGTTTTGATTAGACAACTCAAATCTCATATACAAGCTTAAGAACGTGTGAGTTTCAAAGATTAGGATGACTCTCTTAACTACACAGTATAAGAGAGAGATAGTACAATTTTTTACAACAGACCCACCAGTTTGAGTTCATTCTTAGAGGCACAGTCGAATCCGGCTCCCAGCTCAACCAGCAGTTTGACCACCATAGGATCATCATTGCACTTGACGGCGTAGTAGGGCTTAATCCTGGGAAGAAGTTTCTGCCAAAGACAAAGTTTCCGCTCCACACTGGACAGATCGCAAATGTTGAGGGCCTCGTCCAGATGCTGCAGGTCAGACTGCTCGATTACCCGACGGATGTTGAGCTCGTGCTCGTAGTATTGGATTTCTGGGGTACCGCTCGCCATCTCGCACCGATCACAACTGAATGGGGGAACTCAAGCCCCCGGCTAATCCCATAATATAATTGTTATCAGCCAACGACTTGTGTCCGAATCTCAACAGACTTGCGAAACATTTGGGAACACGCTCCGAAAACGTTCTTCGGCTGGGAACAATGAGGCTCTAATTAACGGCAAAAGGTCAAGCGATTGAGACGGCCGTTACTCGCCCTCCTGCCTTCGAAACACCCAAAAACTGAATATTTGCCAGAATGCGTAATTTACAACCAACAATATTTGGCATCGTAAATAATTTTAATGCCCACGCGAGGCTGCACGGACATGTAAAACTAATAAAATGTAAATTTTCAACACACCAAATGCCGGAGTGGCCATCGAGTCATGCATAATCGACACTTGCCCCGAGGACACAGGCCACTTCACACCGCCTTTGAAATCGAAATCACAATCAAACCCCTACGCACCCCTAGAATAAATTCCACGGCAATGACAATAATAATAATAATAATAATAATAGAAGTGTGCGTGTCGAAGGGGAGGGTTGTTGTGGTCTGTTGTCCTGGCCAATTTAGACATCGTGCAACCCCTCGACTGCCTCTCCGAACGGGCAATTAAAAATTAAAATCTAACTTTTGTAATCGATATTGGCAATTGCCGCTCTTCGTCGCCAGCTTGCTGGAGTGTCCTTCCTATCAATCAACCTTTAATTGGTTAGGCCCATCAATATATTTTTTCGCACACCCTTTTGGCCTTCATCGAAGATGTTAGAACGAAAAAAAAAAGGAGTTGGAATCCCCAGAATGATAACTGTCAAAAGCCGCAGACAAAAGTATTGAGCGATGGCCGAAAAAGGATCTTGTCATGCTCGAAAAGCCAAGGAATCGAATATATCCGAATCATTGCGATTTGATTGCAATTTGCTGCGAGTGTCATCATTCATTCGATTTCAGTTTTCCACTTTTCGATGCATTTTGAAAACTAACCCGAAACCACATCGCGCACTCCTCACTTTGAGTGATGTGACAAATCGACGACAGGCTCTAAAGTGCTCACAAAAACTACGAAATCTAAAGTCGGAAAACACTTTTACCATGCTGAATTGTAAAACTGGTTTCGGTTCGTTTTTTTTTTATAACTAAATGCATTTAAATCATTTGCTTAATTTGCCGGAAATTTACATGCGATTGTCATTAATTCAGTCGTCAGTCTCAGGAGTTCCCATAACATTTGTTTTGAAATTTAAATACATTTTATTGGTTTTGGTCTATGGGGAGCATTGAACTCTAGAAAGTTATTAACTAACAGGTAAAATCCAAAGTAAGACATTCCTTTTTAGCGTATACCAGGAAGAATTTGTATTATTTTTACGAATTCATTATCGTATTTGAGTCTGGGCAATACATTGTTGAATCTTTTTAAAATACGACAGCTGATAAGCCAAATACAATGTACAACTTGAGTCACTCAAATTCCGATATCAGGCTGAAATATTTTTAATAGATCAAAAGATTAGACTACTACGAGTGGCGTATACAGGGATTTTTCACGAAGGGGAAACGTTTTCGCCAATTTTAATTAACATATTTTCTTAATAAAAGTAATATAGCATTAATTTATTTGAAAAACCTCGGAGGAAATAAAAAAAACTACACGTTCCAATCTACCTATGGCTTAAAATACAATTTAAGTTATGCAATCTTAAGTAACCCTCAAAAGAACTAGTAAATCGCTTTCACCTCAACATTCACCGCGTTGAAGGACTATTTATAGCACAATTCTCATAGTAAATAAGTTCCCTATAGTTATGTGAGCACCTCCCGCAAGTTTTGCGTCAACCCTCTCCGGAAATAGTTTCATAATAAACTTGCCATGGATGGCAGCGCCAACTTGGCGCCCCCATCAGGCACACGAACAATAATAATCAGGGAGCAGGACTCACCTTTGGCCCATTGTAGCGCCCCAGGCACTTGACCGGCTATTCGAGGGCCTTCAGTTCAGGGGTTCGGATCTGGTGGGGAAGGTTGGCTCTAAGCCGGGCCATTACCGCATTAGGGGCGACCCACTCGAGATTCCCAATCTGTGCGCTTGGATTATACTGCGCCTGTGCCGGCAGAGGCTCTCAGCTGGCGCTTGCACTGCTCCCCAATACACTGTGAGAAATACTTTGCAAATGCAGACATTAAGAAGGTATTCAAAGCATCGTCCCTTACACTATCAATACAGTTTTCTAAGCAATTTATTATTTAAGATTACGTTAAAACATATCTTAAATATAAATTCAAGAATAATTTATTCCGGTGCTCACTTTTTTCACTGTACTCTCGTGCCGCTACCATGAGTCATCTAGCACGAGCACGGCATGGGAAGTCCTTGCTCCACCTGCGAGTATTCGACTCGACGCTTCCTTGTTCAGTTTTGTTTGGATAGGCCAACGGGCTGCAGCAACGATGAGGCACATGCCCCGGCTCATTGCCACAACTCCGATGGAAGGGCAACAATAGCCACTGTAATTGCACCGTTCAATTTGGAAGGATACATCCGGCAGCGACACAAAGACATCGGCCAGTATGTCGCATTTGCTGAGGCGCACCAAGAAGTCCTGTCTGAAGGTTAGTCTTTGTCTGGTGCCCGAGTGGGTGGCCACTGTGGCCACTGGGTAATCAATAAAAAATCGATGGCGGCCACCGCCACCGAATGAAAATAAACAGTAGAGTTCACATGCCTGTGCTTTTTAGCACGTTAATCATACGCCGTGTTGACTGCTCACGCTAAGTTTATCCCAATCGATTTGCGTTACATTGCAGTTTCTGCGCAAGATCTCGACTTCAAAGCAACTATTTGTGCAGCGGCTGGACGAGGAGGATGTGGACGAGGAGGAGGTGGAGGTGGACTTGCAGCGGGATCTGGAGCTGGATATGAACAGCAATTGCCAAGTAACGGAGGCCATCTACGAGGAGTTGCAGCTCAGTGAATGCAATCCGACGTTGGATTCGGCCAAAGAAATGCAAGAACTGCAGCCGGAAGCTAAGCACGATCTAAGGACGAAGTACATGATGAGCTATGGAAGCTATGAGGTTCTGGCCACCATGCCAATAAGCGTTGAATTCGAGCGGGTAAACTACAAGGAAAACGTGCGCTATCTCCGGCACACGCCCTCTAATTCCAGCCTGGATCTGCAGCTGGAAGAGCAGAAGGTGGAGCAATTGGAGCAGCAACAACAGCAGCAGCAAATCCAACTGCCTGTTCCACAGCAGGCAACTCCAAGGAAACAACAAGTGCAGCACCAGCAGCAAAGGATTCCAGTGGCCAATCGGTATCATCCCTGCAGCATCAGTCTGGGCTCCAAGTTTGAGGGCAACTACCATAGTGTGGTGATCATGGAACCACCCCATGATGACTTTCCCATTGTCAAGTGGGACATTAATGGCAACTCCCTGGACGATGACACCTGCGATCGCTGGGAGGATTTCGATACCAGGTGGCGGCAGGCAGCGGCGGTCACCAGATCTCTTTCGCAATCCCAGAAGTCCAGCCATCAGTCTAGCTCCTGTACCCTTGAGACCTGGGTGGACGACACGGAACCCCTGAGTCTGGAGCTGCACAGGCATGATACTGCTGCAGCCGGAAATAATTGTAATCTTTGCCTTAGGAGCTTCTGAATCCGGAAACGGAAACTCAGCGGCTTTGTAACCCCACTTTGCGTCCAGCGATTGAGCACGAAAACCAGTCTTGTGAGAATTACCTATATACGAGTATATATATATAAATATGTAATCGAGTATTTGAGTCGGTAGACCGCAATTTTCATTATAGAAAATTGTTTTCGAGAATATCCATTAACAATAAAGTGTGTATATGTGTGTGTGCGGCGCTCCTTTGGCTCCATACCTTGAGTAATGCACTTCAGAATGCGAATGCCCTTTGTCCTGGGTGGGAGGGAGTAAAAGTTCGTCGTCACCCCCACCCCATCGATTCATTCCGGCGCACGACCCGCACGTGCTGGACGCTCGTGAGAATCCGTAGACGTTTGGCTTTCCCACGAGCCACGGCTGCGATTTCGCTTAGCCACCGGTGGTGCAACTTGCTGCTGCTATACGAAAATGTATATGCGGCACTATCCATCCACTTGATTAGGGTGGGTTCCGGCTATACCAATTCCCGAGTTTGTCCCACGCTGGCACTGACACTGGCATTGGCCATTAAGCATTCCCACTTTGCCCTTTGCTGCTTTGCCACAGTTGAAACCTGACCGACAGCATGCCGAATCAAATTAAAAGCACTTTTTTACAATTCTCGATTTTGTTGTACTTTTTTCGAAATTGATATGGCCCGCCATTGTTATTATTATCAAGCTTACGCCTCGACAATCGAAATTAATCGAGAAAATGGATAGAAATGTTGCTTTGAAATATTTTTGATTGCGTGAAGGGAAATAACCATAAGTAGTGGGTTGAGTGGAAAAATATTTTCTTGTTTCATAAATTTTATACTTAGCTTTTGTTGCAAATAAGGATAAATGATTATTCTTTTAATAAAATATCCTTCCAGTTCGTAGCGTAGTTTAAGCTCAAGAGAAGAAACCAGGCTATAGGTTAGTTTCCAACTATGAAAAGCTTGTTACCCTTAACAAAAATTGTTATCTGAACATAGGAGTATATAACTATTTATATATAATAGATGAAAACTAAAGTAAAAATGACAAAATTTCGATTACTGTTAGCCAAAAAATACAGCAGAAAAAGACAACAACATTGCCTTCCTTCAAACCATTTAACAAGTAATAGAATTTGTATTTGACCTTTAAAGAATATATTTGGAATGGAATGATTTAATGGCTATATATGTATATTCAAAACTGTATAAAGAATATAGAAATGGATTATCGAACAAGTCAATCTAGATGAGAGATGAGATGAGAGAGATCTACTCTTCCAGTCTAGATTTTATTTATGCTAAAAAGCTTTGATCTAAAAGTGAAACGTGTAAAATTTATGTTTAAGAAATTTGCTTTCTAAGAAATTAATATTTAAATTTAATGATTTATTTGCAGTTAATATTCATACAAGATCATTATTCAGAAATTTGTTCAAAGGGCAAAGATACCCTTACGCTAATGTTCTTCAACTTATTTGATTAGACTTTATATAAGGCAGATATTTCATAGATAGATATTTATTACATAAATCATTTATATTATAGACTATTTCTTAAACAAAATATCATATATTATACACAGAAAGCTAAATTTGGGTATTAGCATAACTCTAGGCAAACAAACATATCGATTTTGCTTTTGGCAATTTCTAGGTCAACTTCGGTCACCTGCCTCCCCAGTCGCCGTTATCTCGGCTCCTGCTCCTGCCGTCGTTCCCGTTCCGGATTCTTGATGGCGTAACCTTGAGCCAACACTGACCTAGAAATGTGTGGGCCACCAGCACACGGCCCACTGCGAACCAAAGATAAAGGTCAACGGCGACTGTTGCACTTGTTGGGGCTTCGACGGCGCCACGCGATGTCACACGACCGGCGGCTGCTCGGGCGCGTGCTCCAGTTTGAGTTCCATAGTCCGCTGCAGGCGCTCCAGCGTCGAACAAGTGGACGACAGACGTCGCCAGTTTGTCGCCCACGGCGCCGTTTAGAGGCCAAGCTGCAGATGCTGCTGCTGCTGATACTGATGCTAAAAGGCTATATCAGATATATGCTCGCGGAGCGATACAATCGAAATCGATGACAGAAGTTTGCTCATTTGCCGGCTTGTTTTGTGTGTCCTTGTCGCACACACACCCTTGTTCACTTGGCAGTGATCACTGCTCGGCACATATTTCCTATGATTCCTACCCCAATCCCGGCTAGCACGCGTTGCCAGGGGGTGGTTGCTGCTGCATCTTATTGGACGACAGCCGCAGGCGGTAAAAAGGGGTTGAGCGGCTGCAGCGGAGGGCAGGTCGTCCGCTAGACGTGTGCTGCAGAATCAGTCGAACGCCGTTCGCGCACACGATAAGTCACGTGCTCAAAACTAGCTCCGTTAGCCCGGTCCTCATCTGTATTAGCAACTTGCTGCCAGTGCAACTAGCAACACGCAACATTCGCTCAGCAACATCAACACTCTAAAGTGTCAAGTGCGCAGGAGCAGCAAATAAACAGTAGCAACTAAACACTAGCCAACACTCGCACACTCACGTACAATGGATCACAACATGCACGTAAACGCGCCGCCATTGCACCACTGGGGCTACGCCGCTGGACACGGAGTGGTAATGCCCGGCGCCACTGCCACTACCCCCCAGAGTCACTGGGTGCCGCCGCCTCAGAGTCATCACAGCGCCCACAGTAACCACAGCCACAGTCACAGCCAAAGTCACGGACACAGCAGCCTGAAGCGGACGCTCTCCGAGAGCGACTGCGACGATCTCTACTCCGAGGAGTCCTCCAAAGAACAGTGCGTATTCGTGATTTAAAACAAAAGTGTTATTTCAAGAATTTTCTGAAAAAACGAATTCATAAAATCGACCTACCGATTTGAGAGTTTTAAAGTTCAATAGATAAAGTTCAAGCTTAAAAAGAGTGCACCAACATATTTTTGCAATGAATCAAAAAAGCTAAACTATTTTAAATTAACTACTCAAAATATCGAGGATACTTATGATAATTACATAAAAACTTATATGCATATCGAAGTAAAAAAAATGGTTTCTTTTTATTAAGAAAAATACTTATCAAAAAACCTGCATACTAAATCTGAATCTTCTATATATTGTGCTTTTAGAATCTCGCCCAGTGGATCAGGAAGCTGCCAACTGATGAGCCGCAAGAAACGCCGCGGAGTGATCGAGAAGAAGCGAAGGGATCGCATTAACTCCTCGCTCACCGAACTTAAGCGCCTGGTGCCCACCGCCTACGAGAAGCAGGGATCCGCCAAGCTGGAGAAGGCAGAGATCCTTCAGCTGACCGTGGAGCATCTCAAGGGCTTGCAATCTAAAAGTAAGTGTACATTTTATAGTTAAACTAAATGTTTAAAGATATTTAATTTAATGGGTTAACTGGTTACTAATAGGTTAGGATATCAATGAATCAATCAATTTCTTAATACTCCTCCCGTAAAATTCAAAATAATAATTTACCGAAAAATGAAACAATGAATGCATTTTTATCCTTCAAACTTCTTAAACAAATTACTCCTAAAAACCATTCTATATTATGGGAAAAACTCCAACTAGAATCCTTAAACAAAACCCGCTACAATATGCGGCAAATTATCACAAATCTGGGTAAACAATCCTGACCTGTTGTCCCGAACAGGGTCGAATTGTGGGAAAGTTATTATTGCCATAAACAAAGCAGCACTGCCACCACCACAACGCCCAAGTGAATCTCGAATCTCGGGGCTTCCCACGCTGGCCGTGGTACCACCACTTCGACAAAGCTACAGACAGGAGCGGGCTTCCACCCCCTGATTACCGCCTCACTACTCATCCCGTAGAAGGACACTAGGGGTTGTTCTTTATGCATGTCGCGTGGGAACAGCGATTTTAATTGTTTGCTCTATCCGGGATTAGACAGCTTATTGACTTTCTCCACCTCCTCTTATTTTATTGCAGCTCTCGACTCGCTTAGCTATGACCCCCAACGCGTCGCCATGGACTACCACATTATCGGTTTCCGCGAGTGCGCCGCTGAAGTGGCCCGCTACCTGGTCACAATCGAGGGAATGGACATACAGGATCCGCTGCGCCTGCGCCTCATGTCCCACCTGCAGTACTTTGTCCAGCAGCGCGAGCTGTCGGCGAAGAGTTGCGCCAGTCCTGGTGGCTGGACCCCTGCCACTGCTACTTCCTCCGGATATCAACCGAACTGTGCTGCGGCTCCTTACCAGGGATATGCGGCGCCACCAAATGCGGGTGCCTATGTATCCAGCTATCCCACGCTGAGTGCCTCGCCTGCCCAGCAAACGCAACAGCAACATGGAGGACGAACCAGTGTATCCCGGACAAGTGGAGCGGGAGTAACTGATTCTCTGCCCAGCCATGACATTCACTCCGAAAGCACCAGCCAGCAACAGCAACAGCAGCAACAACAGCAACAGCAGCAACAGCAACACCAGCAGCAACAGCAACATCAGCAGCAACAGCAACGCACCCAGACAACACCTCAGCCGGCACAGCAGCAACACTACACCCATGATCACAGCGTTGTGCATTCGGAGCAGCAGATACCCACCTATATAGAGCTGACCAACAGTAATCGTCCGGCAGCCGTGGGATCCGAGAGCCTCAGCTACAGTGCCGCTCCTCAGTATCCCGTAAGCGGAGGCCAGGACTACAATAACTCTAGTGTCCTGCAATATGCCACGCCCAACGGAACCAAGCCCTATCGTCCCTGGGGCGCCGAGATGGCCTATTAATCGGGAAAACTTTAAGTGAAAAACGAAAACCAGAACAGGACCTCTAGTCAGAGCAGACCAAGTGTGATAGTCTTAAGTTTCGGATCCTATACAGAGAAAAAAGAGAGAAACACTACCTTGAGATTAACTAATAATTTAAGCCTCCAAATTTAATATATTTTATATACGATTTGAAACCTTTTGTGAATCTATTGTAAATAAACGCAAAATTTTATAAGTGAATATGAAGAAGATTTTTTATTTAATATATTTCAGAAGCAAGGTTTTTTTTATTCAAATTATGAAGAAGAATTTATTGGGAATTTTAGTATCCAATTTTAGAAGAAAAAATCTGTATTAGTATTACTTGTCAGTTTCAAAATCTTTTCCATTTTTGTAATAGTCAGAGATCGAGTTCGATCAATGAGTGGAGACAACACAAAACGTCTGCCGCGATGGTGGTCCGGTGGCGTTTGTGCTGCGCTCGCAGTGACCTTCACCCATCCACTGGATCTGGTCAAGGTGCAGTTACAGACGCAGTCGACTAAGGACAGGCAGAGTGTGGGCGTGATCATAAAAAACATCTACCAACGTGCAGGCTTCTTGGGTTTTTACAATGGCATCTCGGCCTCCTGGTTCCGCCAGCTAACCTACACCACCGCTCGTTTTGCCTTGTACGAAACCGGCAAGAATTACGTTGACGCCGAAAACGTAAGTACCAAGATGGGTCTGGCAACCTTTGCAGGTCTCTTTGGTGGAATGGTAGGGGTTCCCGGTGATGTGGTCACAGTGCGGCTGCAGAACGACAGCAAGTTACCGCCGGAGAGCAGACGTAAGTAAGTATTGATAGATGTAACACCTTCACATTATAATCCAATTCCAATAATTCCCTAGCTACAAACACGTTTTTGACGGCCTTTTTCGCATTTACAAAGAGGAGGGCATATCTAGCTTGTTCCGGGGAACTGTACCAGCCGTTTCACGCTCAATTTTGCTGACCATCGGCACCAATGCCGCCTACGACCAGGTGAAGGTGATATTGAAAGCCACCACAGGGCTGGAAGATGGAGTACCGCTGCACTTTGCCACATCTACGGCAGCGGGATGCATTGCTACAGTGATAACACAGCCGCTGGACGTGCTCAAGACGACCTTTATGAACGCCAAGCCGGGCGAGTTCTCCGGGATCGGCGCAGCCTTCATCAGCATCGCCAAGCAAGGACCTTTGGCTTTCTACAAAGGCTTTATTCCGGCCTTGATACGTGTTAGTCCCAATACGATTATCACCTTCATTCTGTACGAGCAAGCGAGAATGCGATTCGGCTATCTACCAAAAGATTGACGTGTAAATTCTCTCCTATTGCCAAACGATTTCGACTGGCTATTTTGAAATTTTTAAATTTCCAATATTTTCTACTCACATTAGCATTCCCATAATTGTTTAAAAACCATTGAATCGGAAATAATCCGGATCTAATAAGCTGCCACTGTGCTCGTTAGACCGCTAGACCGCTGGCTCGCGGAACGCTGACCGCTGGTCAACCAGCACTGGGGGTCAACGAATGCTGCTCACGGTTTATGAAATTTGCATATCTACGATGCATATGAGAATGTCTGTGCAACTAACTAAGCACGTGAACACCCAATCCGCGGCTGTTAGTTAAGCCGGCTGCGCGTTAGCCCTACGTAATTAGGAAGCGGGGTTAGCAAGGTGCTGGGGTCGCAACCCCGTACTCGAAGAACTGAACCCAAAACCGCAGGAGAAACGGGAAATTTTCGAGAAAAACTGGATCTCGTCAACGCTCTATAAAACCTAAGCCTTAGAAAGGAAACTGTATTATTTAGGTAGCAGGGTTAAAATATTTTAATATGACGGCGCATATTAGTTTAGTTTGGGGTGCTTTTGTAGGCCAAATGTGTTCCAATGGATTGGGTACCTACACTTCTTGGAACTCAACATGTTGTTGAAAGTGGAAACTTAGAACAAATGTAGATCTAAGGATTAACCCTGAAGTACGACAACGGTTAATACGTTTCTAGTATATCTAAAAGAATTCTTAAAACGAAGCTTATGTAGTTTTAAGGCTTGAAATGTTAGGTTAAAAAATGCGTTCATAAATAACAATACACACAAAATTTGATTATTTATAAATCGTAATATTGCCATTGGTTCTGATCAGAACGGTTCTGATTCATAGGTTTATAGAAAGATCGAAACGATAAATACTTCCCACAGTAAGGGAAAATGCTAGCTTTGCTAGCCTTTGATCCCATAGGAGTGTAAGTTCCCAAACGAATTGTTTAATTTAATTTAATACAATTTCACTGTTTTGCAATTAAATCCAAGGGCCCACACCAAAAAATCACTCGAAACCAAAATTACATTGAAACCGAGCAACCAGAATAGCTGTCTGTGGAATGTGGGAAACTCCTAAGCCACCCCTAAACAAAAAAAAAAACAAGAAACAATCTTCTGCGCATTAAATTATTTTTGCCGGTTAAACACATATAAATGATTCAAGACTTACCACGTTTCCAGCTATGTGAGAGACCCCTGAGCTTTGACTTCCCACGCGATGTGCGAACCACCACCCACCGGGGCTACAATATGTATAACTTATAAGGGTGGTTCGCCTCCGAGATCGGCGTCAACACCATCGCTTTAAACATAATACACACGTCAAAACTTCCAATTAGAGACAATCATTCGGATCTGGGACAGAGGGCATTTCTGATATCGCTGCAGGGTGGTTTTTTCGCTCAATGCGGTGGCTACAAAAACCATCGAGCTGGTCGGGCAGGATTTCATTCCTTGGATTACCAGCAGAGCAACAGGATCAGAAGGCCGAGGACGAATGAATACCCGCCGGTGGGGTGGTGGTTGCATATCATTATAATCGTGTGTGGTGTTTGGTGTCATCGAAAGTGAAATGATTCCAATTTTTATTGCGGTTCGAGTCAATTAAGTGGAATATTTCGCGACATTTTCTGAATGGTTTTTCGTGTTAAACATAATAAAAACCTTGCTTGTGGGCACTTGTTGTGTGGTAATATTTAATTTATGCACATGTGGATGGAATGGAAATGGAAATGAAGATGAAAATGCACTTAAAAAGGATTTTATGATCCATTGATTTTATTCACATGTGAGAGGGGTTAATCGAACATATATAACCCATAAATAAAATTTAATAAAGGCATTCTGATTTGAATGCAACCACTGAACTTGAAAATGCGTTTTTCTTCTTACTCTTAGTTCGAACCCAACCCACTTATCTCGATTTAGCCTGTGCTCGTGCTATAGGTTCTTTAAAAATAGCTAGCATATCAGATCTGCCGCTCTTTCCAACACACACACACACATGCACATGTGACGTAAGAGAGAGTATTTAGTATTATTATTATTTCAGTGCTCGCTCTTTTTTGTCATGTGAACTTAAATTTTGTTTTGATTATTCGTTTTCCGTGCAAATTTGTCCGAAATCGATAATCGCTCTAGTTTGCCGGCAAAAGTTTAAGTAATAGCTCACTTTTCTTGTTAGTGTCTGCTGAAATTGTGGTAATAAGATCTACACGATTTGTGATGTAACACGAAAATGCACTAGGAAAAGCGGTCTTAGGAATTCTGAACACAGCAAGAGAAATGTGGACAAGAAAGCTACTTATTGGATTTGTCAGAATGCCGGCTATTATCCCGATACGTAAGTGGGGTTAAAACAGCTTTCTAATTTAAAACAAAATAAATCTTAAGATAAAAAGAAATTCATTTTAACCTTGACATCATAAAAATTAAATTTTTGATAAGTACTTCCTGCCTACTTAAATATTTTCTGTTAAATGAATTTTGAAATGAAGCTGTCCCAATAAATATACATTCATAACTTAACAAATATATCAAAAATAAGACTTTTAAAATGAAGACTTATTCAAGGAAAACTTATAATTACTTATTACATTCAATACAGAGTGTCTTCAAATGTTGAAATTGTTTATAAATTATAATTTGTATAATATAATATAAAAAGACGAAAAACATATTAGGGGAATTGCAGAAAATACCCAATCGCGAGTACCCAATGTGTCCTTTCCATAATAAAGACAATCTGAATAGTTTCAACTTAAGAATTTATTCGGGACTATAACGATTAAGTGCAAGATCAGTGCCACGGTACTTGGTTACCGATGGTGCCCTTCTTGTAAAACTTCGCCGTAGCCGAGGCGGTGGTGGCCAATGTCGGTGTGGGCGGAGCGGGCTCATAGGTAGGCCCGCTGCCCTCCGCTTTTAGCACAGCGGCACAACGCCACTGCCTGTTGTAGTTCATTCGCCACAGACGCACGCATCCATCGTCGCCCGTGGAAATTAACATAGTGGCTAGCATATTCCAGCAAACCCTCCACACGGGGCAATTGTGCTCACTGAATTTGATAGTCTGGATGTCCAGCTTAGAAATGCCGGTGGCGTCCCTAAAATGGGGCAAATCATTGGTTATGAGTTATTCCTAGGAATTTTTATTTTTGATCTTACGTCACGCCCCGCAGATTTACGATGTAGAGATCCTTGCTGGCCACTGCCAGCATGTGGAAGGTTCGACCGGCATTGGGGGCAAAAGCCACATCCGTGACGGGATCAGTTATGTCATTAACAGTCTCAATTTTAACACACTTCCGGGCATTCTCGCTGTATGCGAATAAAAACACCTTGCCGGTAGGAGTGGCTGCCTCGTCGCTGCCGGCCTTAAAAATATAAAAGAATAATTTAGTATGGATGAGATCAACCTCTCTCTTGCTTCCTTACCGCTAGCAGCTGGGTAACCATATAAGTGGACGTATTCCATGATAAACAGCTAAGAGGCAGCTTATTAGCAATTTCGTGTTGCACGGGCCACTGCGAGAGGTTCATGATGTCCGGAGCCTCGTAAATGCGGATGATGCCGTCGGCAGATGCAGTGGCCAGCAGGAGTCCCAGATATTTTGGCGCGAACTCTACATCTGTAACACTGGTTCGCGAATCAACCAAAGTGGTTCGACGCACCCAGCGACGTGTGGGAGCATTGGTGGCTGAAACCTTATCGCCAATCACCTCCTCCCAAACGGAGGCGGTGCGATCAAATGAGCAAGTAGCCACCACTTGGCCAAATTCCGGATGAGCCCAGGAAACTCGCCAAATAGATCCGGAGTGAGCCTTCCAGCTGCTAGTGACGTTCCACTTGCCCTGCCCGTCCTCATCCCAGATCTGAAAGCAGAAATTCCGGATCACAGTGGTTGTTTATCACAAGCAAACTACAAATTCTACCTTCACTGTTTGATCGCTGGAGCATGTGGCCATACGGCGGCCATAGTAATCAAACACAACATCGTGTATGACATCCTTGTGGTCGGCAATGATGGGTTCCACGTCAAACATGCTCAAAAATCCGTGTATTTGCCGAAGATGTTTATAAAATGCACGCGCCGAAAAATCTGCGCCAGTAATGCAGCCCTACAGAGACAGGGTTGGCCTACAGTAACCTAACAGCTGTTGCCTACCTCGACCAGTATTTTTGTTAGTATTTTTTAAGAGACGGTCACACCAGCCATTTGGTCTGAATTACGCGTGAAATACGAATAAAAAATCAAGCAAAAAATAACAAAACACTGGCCAGCAGTCGATCACAACTTGATAACTTATCAAGCGTGCCACACGCCCCTCTGTGTATCGCGAGAACCTGACAAATCGGGTAGTCAAGGCCCTTAAATCCGAGTAGAGACAGTTTTGCACCCGGAAAAGAACAGTTACACACAACAAAATTGCCAACCGAAAGAAACGTGCGAAGCGCAGTGCGATGGAGAAGAGTAAGTGCGGTAATCTAAGCGCTAAACGGGTAATTACGGCCCGATTTGAAATGTATGCGCATATATGCAAATTAGAGGGGTGAATAACCCCACAGCATAGCCATAGATCGGGACCCGCGTTTGTTTATCATTTGAATTCGCTGGCTAAAGTGCGGATTTCAATCAAAGTGCAATGGGCAACATAAAGTCCTATTCCTTTTCATCTGCAATATGCTCGCCTGCTTTTGCTCGTTCTCTCACTCTCTCTCGCTCTCTCACTCGTTACTGACCTTGATTCCTATTGGATTTTACACATCGCGCGATGCCCGTGACGTATGTATGTATTTTTCTTTGAGTGTGGGCGAGTGAACAGCATATCTGCCTGTTTGTGTGTGTGTCAGCCGGCTTCAATTACCTAATAAGAAGTAAATTGGAGGATTATGCATCCCTATACACACAAGAAAACAATTTCAGAATACTGCATACAGTAAATATCTATTTTTGGCGTAGCATAAAATAGAAAATCTTTTAAATCTCCAACCAAACATGAAAAGAAGGCCATTAAAATGCTCAGTTAGTTTTTTTTGGAAAATAAAAATATTGTAGAAGCTATTCAGCATTTGAATTTTTGAACAGAAAATACATGGGGTTCTGATTATTAAGATTAAATACTAGGAAAAATGTAAGTCATTTTTTAAATTAAAATATAGATTTTGAATCTTATCTGAAAACTCATTATTAAGGCAATTTTAGATTGATCTTAGGCATAAACAAGTTCTTTCATCCAAATACAAGGTTAGTGATAAGCCCATCGAAATCAGGCGTTTCACACGCGACCGACTTTGGGTTCTATTATTATTTGGAGGTGATATCAGTAGACGGTTTTTTTCTGGCCACGCGCCAAACATGAATAATTCGAACAAAAATCGAAAACCAAAACACAAAAAATTTCCGCGCGATAAGATCCCGGGAAAGATTTTGAGTCTTCGATTCCCGTCACCGTTAAGTATTAATCATAATCGGTCGCCAAGGCCAATGCCAAAATCGGAAGATTTTTCAGGCACTCGCCTATCTGAGATTAAAAGCGGGCGTCGCGTCGGGAATTTCTTTTATGACTTTTAAAAAACCTCTGCTGATGCCGGCAGCCACCGTACACAAAAAAAATGAAAACAAATCAGCGGGATTTGCGTGTTCTGCTCGTGGCAGCGGACTGAATTCGTTAATAATAATTCGAATTCAAGTGCATCGCGCTAATCAATTTCTGGCGTTTTCGCTCATTTAACCCTAATCAGCATCGCTTGCCACTTACGCCAGCAAATTGAGAAATTATGGCCGTTGTTATTGTTTCTCGTAGTAAAGTGCATTTTCGTCAGCGGATAGGTCAACTTTTAGATTAAATCCAGCTGGTGCAGCAACAACAAAAACAATAACGACAACACAGCTGAAAAATCATCGGCGACCTTGACATTGAAAAGCTCCCACATTGGCAGAGATACAGTTAAGAGAGCAAAGAATAGTAGACACATAGGGAGAGAGAGTTTAAAAGACAGCATGTTGGCAACAGCTGATCGCTATCAACAAATCGCTCTTATCGCGTTTTATCAACTACAGACCGTTAGCAACGAATTGCCCTTAAACAGTGGAACTTTCCTACAACGGAATTATACTTTTAAAGATTATTCATACCAATAATTGAAAAATAGTATAAAGAGATACCATTTTTTTTTTGTATCATTTAGTTTTATTATTGCGAGAATATAACTTTTTTTACATTAATTTCAAATAATATATAATAACACTTTCTTGAATTATTGAAATGTAAAAAGAATTATTATGTTATCTCAATTTTTACAATCCACGCTGTTTACAAAACGAATATTTTGACAGTTCAAACGGTTCTCAAAAATAAAAAAGCAAATAACACTCATTCTTAAATTGTTATGGCATATTCGCCTATAAAGATCACTCAAGCCGTCGGACAATGCTTGTCGTCATTACTTTTGTCACATTAATAAAAAAAAATGTTTTTAAAGCCCGAGATGTGATTTCCCTCTTTAATTCCACCGTTTTTCTGTTCGAATTAGTGGGGCTCACTTGTTCAGACATACAGATATTCCTTCTGGTCACTCAGCGCCAGCAACAACAATCGGCTTGGCGACCCGCGAGACCCGCCGGCGATTAACATACGAGCGCAACAACCTGAACACGCACAAACACAAGTCCGCGCACGACAACCTGGCCATAGCTATAGTTGATATTGATAGTGCCGTAGCGACGTCGAAGTCTAAGTCAGCGCTTCGCGGGCAGAAGCAGAGGCGTCCAGGCATCGATAGTGCTTTTCGGACGAGCATGGCCCAGTTGAGTTCCAAGCGTCGGTCACTGCAGTAGCCATCGAGAAATCGTGCGGAACCAGTCAGTCAGTCTGTCTAGGAAGTTGAATCTGATCCTATACGTTATACGATCCGATCCGACCTCGTCTTCATAACTTACAACCCAATCTAGACAAAGGCACACGCAGAGTGGTAAAGCGAGATCAAACCGTAAACCTATAACATAAAAACTAAACCTAAAACAAAACCAAATAAAACTCAAGTCAAGGTCCCTAAAAGTGTGTTGCCGTCCCAAAGATTATCGCTCAGCTAGTAAGATTTCTGTATTTTCGGCTGTTGAGTAATGCTAATAACAGATCCAAAGCCCTCGAGTTCTTATCGTTAGATCGGTCATAGAAAAACATACGACTCTTCTTAAGAGGTGTTTATAGAACCATTTGAGTGCGGTACCACACCTGTTGAGTCGTTTTTAGCGCGGAGTGTGTAATCCAAATCCTAGTTCACTGTGTGTGGATTTCCGAGTAAGGCGCCTGCAGTGAGGCGTTACATAACACCACGATGGTTGCCAGAGATCGATTCCGGTGTCTAATTTGACTTTCTGTGCCTTTCAAAGCCCCGCTGGCTGGCACACTTACACACTGTAATGCCAAAATCATTGACCTCTTCTACTAGCCAACCAATTTGCATTTCTACACCAGCAACTGGGGTTTTTTTCTGTCAGCTTGTGTTTTTTCCATTTTCCTTTGGCACTCTTCTGCGTTTTGTTTTAAATTTTAATGCGCTGCACATTGTACCCCCAATATCCAAAAGTTATTTTCGTAATTTTAAGCTTATCACTCTGCCTAAGGGCATTATTAGCGCGACAATCTTTGACTTTTGGCCCGGGAACACTTTAAGCTTCTGTTTTTTCGTATATTATATTGAAAACTATTTGTGTATATACTTATAATGGAATTTTTTAAGTGTTAAGCTTAGTTCAGACTAATCAGAATTCAGCACCTGTCTATGATTACGTATTTGTCTAGCATAATATATAGTTTTATAGTTAACCTTTTACATTATCTTGAATTCCAATTTGAAGAATATAATAGTGCTAAAAGTATAAACCTTCAATTTTCTATTAGTATTCTTATATTTTCGATATCACCACAACACTCCTTAATTATTTTTTAGATAGAGTGTACCTCATTCGTTAACCATATTTCTTATCAAACGCCTCATTGACCTGGCAACGATTTATTTTTGGGTCTTATATGATTGTTTTTCGGTTTCTTAATTGTATCTGACCAGCTAGTTTATGCATAGATTAGCATTTTTATTTTGTTTTGTTTCGCCGCTTTGGCCTACAAATTCGTGGCAAGGTTTTTGAACTTGAAAAGTCTCGGAAACGAGATGATCGGAAGCCCATAGCAATGCACAGCCACTTTCACTGTCCCCGCAATGTAAATGAAACCAAGCTAGCCGAGACAGACACAAGATACGATTATCTAATCCGATTTGCATTCACCGATTTAAAGCAGCTTTTTGGATATAGCCGATGTTGATCACACTATTAGGCACTCTGGCTGCTTTTCTCGCATTCCTATTGACATTGATCTTTGGCCGCGGCCAGAAAAGATTCAAACCCGTCCAATCGTCAGCAACAACATCGGCCACGACAGCAACAACTAGCGAGAGCGACAACGCCAACACCAATCGTAAGAATCCACAACTTTGCTTAATCGAAACACTTGAAGGGCACACAAATCGCACACCTAGCTGATAACTCAATTTAATTAGTTTATAATGTGTATGTGACTTTTGACCATAACTAATAATCGTTTATTGTTTTTGTTTGTTATCTGTGATTACAGACAACTCCAGCGTGATTGCAGCTACAGCAACAACAACTATTACCAATCCTTCGGCTGCAGCAGCAACATCGCCATCCGAAACCACATCGGCGATAAAAACGGGTGATAATAGATTTCCCAAGACCTGTATCAAAAAAGTCAAGTTCTCCAGCGAAAGTCTCAAGTCCGAGGTGGAGGATCTGTGCGTACAGTTGAAGGATAACGCACTGACCGACCTAAGCAACGACCACATCCGCATCACCTGCCATCAGAACAACAATAATACCATCAACAAAAACAAGAACAACAACAGCATCGATATCGACATCAACATAAAGATGAGCGAAACAAATGAGTCCAATGACACCGCAAACCAATCCGCGGAGGGAGAGAGGCCCAGCTTTTTGGTATAGAAACATTTTAATCCGAATTATTTGGCAACAGCACTGATGTTTTTTCTAACAGGTGGGCGACGAGATCGACGAGAAGGCTGCCGAGGCAGGAGAGGCCTGCGATGAGTTCCCCCAGAAAATGCAGAGCGATGTTCGGCAGAACGGCGATATTTCCGAGCGACGCAAGCGGTTAAGGTGAGGCCCATTGGGTTTACCTAATCTAAAAATAACTTACATCATAAGTACATTATAGTTATTAGGTAGTAAGCCATCTTTAAGAATTTTCTATCGCTTGTAATGTCGTATCAAAAAGCTAAAGATAACGATCGTACAATATTGTAAATAGGTCGTCCCTTAACCTAAGATTACTTAATCCTGTTTTAAGAGTCATCCACTTTTGTTTGACTCACTTAGTTTTCCACTTCTATCTTATCTTTAAAATGTCTTTAGTTAGTCATAACAGATTAGGATTTCTTAAATCTGAAAAACGACCCACTTGAAAGCTATTGCTTTAATTTAGCACTCGAGATATGCATTTTTTTCCGAATGCCGGCAACACATTTCCGCTCAGTGCAGCGAGCAAAACAAAGAACAGGTGACTGCGTCACATCCAAATGCCGCCAAACATATCGCGTGAGTTTAGGGAAAAGAGACGGCACAAAGCTCGGGACCATGTGTGCGAATGAGGAGGCAATCTCTCTGCTTTCCGAGAACTTTTTGCGGTGCGCAAACATGGAGAGAAAAAGTTAGAAGTGAGAATGGGACAATACAAACAAGAGAGTACCATGTGGGGACGCCGCATTCTGTTTTCATTCATAATGTTTAAAACTTGTTTTGCCAAGCGACTGGCCCGCTCTCTTGGTCTCTCCGCTTCTCCGGCCAATGCGGCGTATGAGCAATGGTGGCCAACGGCGCTCCGAGGTTCAGTTCCCAGGCAGTCGTCGGCTCCGTCGGTCCGCATTCCGCAAACCCCAGAAATACGATAAAATATAACCCAAAAGACCCAGCCCGCTTCCCAAATAAGTTTCTCGCGTGTGCGGACATCGTTCGACATTGATTTTTGTGTTTTTTTTCGGCCAGCGGAGCGCGGTGAAAGTGGTGCAGTGGCAATAAAATATTTTGTTGTGCTGTTCGTTTATTAGTCACACTTGCATAATTGCGAGGAGCCCCACAAAAAAAACGACGACGATCCCCTTATCAGAGTTCACTTTTTCCCCTTTGGATGTTATTAGCCCTCGTGGAGCTAATTAGAATGTTAAAACGTCGCGCCAGCAAGCGTTTCGTACTTGTTGAGTCTGGTGAAGATAATGCCAATGGGCCGGGATCAGTTTCGGGAACCGGAGTGGGCTCAAGCTCAGTTATACCCCAGTTTGTGGCCGTGGATTGTGGCCAGAACGAAAGTAATAACAACACCAACGAGATGAATGCCAGCATCAGCAACCATAACGCTAGCAACCAGTCGCCGTCGCCATCGCTACTTGGCGTCCCCGTGGTGGGAACCCTGAAGTAAATCATAACCATATAACCCCCTTTGTTTATCGTAATGCACTGTTCGTCAACAAGTTGTAAACAAAAGCGAATTATGTGCAAGAACTTTTGATCATGTCAGCTAAACCGGTTTTGTCAAATCTTCTTACTACATGCTCGTCTCTCCCTTTTCTTCTACACCTGTCTCATCGCGCCATTATCTACACTGATCAGCAAAAATAGGGCTTATGATGCTTAAAATTTAAAAAAATTTTAAAAATGTGTTGAAAATGTGTTGGTCCATTAAGGACATTCTCTCTTAACTTTTATTCTGAGGACTTCCAAAATACATCCATTTTGTAGCATACTTTTAAACACCTTTTTAATAGTGTTCAAATATTTAAAGAAAGGTATATATAATGACCTTCCGATTAAGATATAAAAGTATTATTTTACTTTTTAAAAGTCTCCATATTATCTTATCTTAATATCTTTGTATCTGATTTGAAGTAGTTCACATTATATTATATATAATATCATAATTATATAATTGAATTTATATATTATTTCCGTTAACAAAAGGTAAATTTCCGCTGTTATTTTCCAGGCCGAGCATGTCGCGTGGCACTGGCCTAGGTCAGGATCGTCATCAGGATCGTGATTTCCACATCGCTACCACCGAGGAATTTGTGAAGCGATTTGGCGGCACCCGTGTGATTAATCGTGTCCTGATCGCCAACAATGGTATCGCGGCCGTCAAGTGCATGCGTTCCATCCGAAGATGGGCCTACGAGATGTTCAAGAACGAAAGGGCTATCCGATTTGTGGTGATGGTCACGCCAGAGGATCTAAAGGCGAATGCCGAATACATCAAGATGGCTGATCACTATGTGCCCGTGCCCGGTGGATCCAACAACAATAACTACGCCAATGTTGAGCTCATTGTGGACATTGCGCTTCGCACTCAAGTGCAGGTGAGTCCGGAATCTGGGGGCCACCGCCATAGAAGTGGCCAGTGTCAGTCCGTGTTGTCTATTTGGCTTGGCCAGCTCCACCTAAAACGCATCGTACGATTTGTATTTGCACTCTGTCAATCGCGGGGAACTGCCAAAGTCAAGCGATCGTCCCGCATACCAATAAACAGACCCCTATTTGTATTCGTGTGTTTACGAGAACCAAGTGACTGTATGTGTTAGCCAACACTGTGCTACAAAATATCCAGGGAATGGTTGTTTATGACTTAACTTTGAGATATGCACAAAGTATCAGCCGACTGCCCTGCCCAATTTCCAAAATTGCTGATCATATACTGTTGAAAGCAATTTAAATGTATTTTATGAAAGCCGTTAGCTTGTTTTCACGGACACTTTTACAGTGTAAACGATTGTACGTGTCAATTGCCAATAACAAATAAGTTTTTAAAGAGATACGCAAAAATCTTGAGAACTACAAAGTAAGCTATAAAACAATTCCTTAAATTCAATTTATCAGTTTTTAAATAGAATTTTGGAGAGATAACAGAATAATATAGTTAACTCATTTACCCTTTGGTTTTGAATAACAGATAGTAATTATAAATCAGAAAATTATCGGCTATTTCAGAGTAACTTAAGTGTTCGGAGGATTGCCTTCAAAACAAACTGCTACACCTGTAATCTAAGACCCTTCATTATTTCTTTCCTCTTACGTACCTTGGCCAACAACCTGAACTAGAATATAAGTGGCTAGATTGGAATGCATTTAAAACACTTAGAAGTGGAAATTCCCTCTTAAGTGTTTACTTTCCATTAGTTATAGCAGGGAACTTGGGGTTAATTAGCAAATGCAACGACATTTTGTTGCATAGTGTGAATTATCTATTTTGTTTTGCTATACGGGTGTTGTCGATGACTACAGCAATGACGTCACGATTGATTTTTACCAACAATAAAGCTCCATAATTTTCCTCACACCCACCACCACGCAGTCCACTGTCCTTGAGGTATTGGGCTTATTAAATCAAAATGAACTGATTACGAATTTGCTTGTGAACCGTTTCTGATTTTAGGCCGTATGGGCTGGTTGGGGTCATGCCTCCGAGAACCCGAAGCTGCCAGAGCTCCTCAACAAGGAGGGTTTGGTGTTCCTTGGCCCGCCGGAACGTGCTATGTGGGCGCTGGGAGACAAGGTAGCCTCCTCTATTGTCGCCCAGACAGCCGATATTCCCACCCTGCCCTGGTCGGGTTCCGACCTGAAGGCCCAGTACAGTGGCAAGAAGATCAAGATATCCAGCGAACTATTCGCCCGCGGCTGTGTGACCAATGTTGAACAGGGTCTGGCCGCAGTTAACAAGATTGGTGAGTGGCATCTCTTAAATAATGCTTTCAGATAGTTGTTAAACTTGTTGTCTCCTAAGGCTTTCCCGTAATGATCAAGGCCTCGGAGGGCGGTGGTGGCAAGGGCATTCGTCGCGTCGACACAGCTGAGGAATTCCCAGCTCTGTTCCGCCAGGTTCAAGCCGAGGTGCCCGGATCACCAATTTTCGTAATGAAGCTAGCCCGCGGTGCTCGCCACTTGGAGGTACAGCTGCTGGCTGATCAGTACGGTAATGCTATCAGCTTGTTCGGCCGTGATTGCTCCATCCAACGTCGCCATCAAAAGATTATTGAGGAAGCCCCTGCCATTGTGGCTCAGCCAGAAGTGTTTGAGGACATGGAGAAAGCAGCAGTGCGACTGGCTAAGATGGTTGGTTATGTCAGTGCTGGTACCGTGGAATATCTTTATGATCCGGAGGGTCGTTACTTCTTCCTGGAGCTGAATCCCCGTCTGCAGGTGGAGCATCCGTGTACGGAAATGGTTGCCGATGTAAATCTGCCGGCCGCCCAGCTACAGATTGGAATGGGAATTCCACTTTACCGGCTTAAGGACATCCGTCTACTGTACGGAGAGTCCCCATGGGGCTCCTCTGTCATTGATTTTGAAACTCCGCCTAACAAACCGCGTCCCTCCGGACATGTCATCGCTGCTCGTATCACCTCAGAGAATCCTGACGAGGGCTTCAAGCCCAGTTCTGGTACTGTGCAGGAGCTAAACTTCCGGTCCAGCAAGAACGTGTGGGGCTACTTCAGTGTGGCCGCCAGTGGAGGATTGCACGAATTTGCTGACTCACAATTTGGACATTGTTTCTCCTGGGGAGAAAATCGTCAGCAGGCTCGTGAGAATCTTGTAATTGCGCTTAAGGAGCTTTCCATTCGTGGTGATTTCCGTACCACCGTCGAGTACCTGATCACTCTGTTGGAGACAAATCGTTTCTTGGACAACAGCATCGACACCGCTTGGTTAGATGCTTTGATTGCAGAGCGCGTCCAATCGGAGAAACCGGATATCCTTTTAGGAGTAATGTGTGGATCCCTGCACATTGCTGATCGTCAGATCACCGAGAGCTTCTCCAGCTTCCAAACCTCGCTGGAGAAAGGTCAAATTCAGGCGGCCAATACGCTGACCAATGTCGTGGATGTGGAGCTAATCAACGATGGCATCCGTTATAAGGTGCAGGCCGCCAAAAGTGGTGCCAACTCTTATTTCCTGCTGATGAACAGTTCGTTCAAGGAGATCGAGGTGCACCGACTCTCTGACGGTGGCCTGCTTATCTCTTTCGAGGGTGCCTCCTACACCACCTACATGAAGGAGGAGGTGGATCGCTACCGCATTGTGATTGGCAACCAGACTTGTGTCTTTGAAAAGGAGAATGATCCCTCCCTTTTGCGCAGTCCTTCAGCCGGAAAGCTCATCAATATGATTGTGGAAGACGGCGCCCATGTGGCAAAGGGCCAGGCATTTGCTGAAATTGAGGTCATGAAGATGGTGATGACTTTGACGTCTCAGGAGGCTGGTACAGTGACATTTGTACGCCGTCCGGGAGCGGTTCTGGATGCAGGATCCCTGCTGGGACATTTGGAGCTGGACGATCCGTCGCTGGTGACGAAAGCGCAGCCGTTCAAGGGCCAGTTCCCACAGCCGGAGAATGCACCGGTACCGGAAAAGTTGAACAGAGTGCACAATACCTACAAGAGCATCCTGGAGAACACACTGGCTGGATATTGCTTGCCAGAGCCGTTTAATGCCCAGAGGCTAAGGGACATCATTGAGAAATTCATGCAGAGTTTGCGGGATCCCTCGCTGCCGCTGCTAGAGTTGCAGGAGGTTATTGCCTCCATATCGGGTCGCATTCCGATCTCAGTAGAGAAGAAGATCCGAAAGCTAATGACGCTCTACGAGCGGAACATTACCAGTGTGCTGGCCCAGTTCCCCTCGCAACAGATTGCTAGTGTGATCGACAGCCATGCAGCTACTTTACAGAAACGCGCTGACCGAGATGTGTTCTTCCTGACCACCCAAAGCATTGTACAATTGGTGCAGCGCTATCGGAATGGAATCCGTGGCAGAATGAAGGCTGCCGTACATGAGCTTCTGCGCCAGTATTACGACGTGGAATCGCAGTTCCAGCACGGCCATTACGACAAGTGCGTAGGCCTAGTGCGAGAGCACAACAAAGACGACATGCAGACAGTGGTCAACACCATCTTCTCGCACTCTCAGGTAGCCAAGAAGAATCTACTGGTCACGCTCCTAATAGATCACCTCTGGGCCAACGAACCTGGACTGACCGACGAATTGGCCAACACACTCAGTGAGCTGACCTCCCTAAACCGAGCGGAACACTCAAGGGTGGCGCTGCGATCCCGTCAAGTGCTGATCGCTGCCCACCAGCCGGCCTATGAGCTGCGCCACAACCAAATGGAGTCGATATTCCTATCGGCCGTTGACATGTACGGCCATGACTTCCACCCCGAGAATTTGCAGCGCTTGATTCTGTCGGAAACCTCGATCTTTGACATCCTGCACGACTTTTTCTATCACTCCAACCGAGCTGTGTGCAATGCCGCTCTGGAGGTTTATGTAAGAAGAGCTTACACCTCCTATGAGCTGACCTGCCTGCAGCATCTGGAGCTCTCCGGTGGTTTGCCGCTGGTGCACTTCCAGTTTCTCCTTCCCACCGCCCATCCGAATAGGCTGTTCTCACGCATGTCCTCCCCCGAAGGATTAGATCAGGCAGCAGCTGAATCCTTAGGAAGCTCATTTGTACGCACCGGTGCGATTGCGGCTTTCGACTCCTTTGAACACTTTGAGATGTACTCAGATGAGATTTTGGACCTACTCGAGGACTTTGTCTCGCCAGCCATGGTGAACGCTAAAGTGTTGGAGGCTGTGGAAGCTGCGGATTCCATCTCGGACAGCCGACACAGCACCTCGATTAATGTGTCTCTTTCGGATCCTGTGACCCGTGCAAACGCTGCTGAAGAAGCCAAGTCCACGGAACCTATTCATATTGTAAGTGTGGCCGTCAGGGAAACGGGAGACTTAGATGACCTGCAGATGGCTCAAATCTTTGGGCGTTATTGTGAGGAGCACAACGAGGAGCTCTTCCAGAGACGTATCCGTAGGATTACCTTTGCCGCTCTTAAGAAGAGACAATTCCCGAAGTTCTTCACTTATCGAGCCAGGGACAAGTTCACGGAGGATCGTATTTACCGTCATCTGGAGCCAGCTTCTGCTTTCCATCTCGAATTAAATCGTATGAAGACTTACGATCTTGAGGCTCTGCCCACAGCTAACCAGAAAATGCACCTATACCTTGGTAAGGCCAAGGTATCCAAGGGGCAGGAGGTGACAGACTACCGGTTCTTCATTCGCTCGATCATCCGTCACTCAGATCTGATTACCAAAGAAGCTTCTTTCGAGTATCTGCAGAATGAAGGAGAGCGTGTGTTACTTGAGGCCATGGATGAGTTGGAGGTAGCCTTCTCACACCCACATGCCAAGCGCACCGACTGCAACCACATTTTCCTGAACTTTGTGCCCACTGTCATAATGGACCCGGCTAAGATTGAAGAGTCAGTGACAAAGATGATCATGCGATATGGCCCGCGTCTTTGGAAGCTGCGTGTGTTGCAGGCCGAACTCAAGATGGTCATCCGTCAGTCGCCGCAGTCGCCCACTCAGGCAGTGCGCCTTTGCATTGCGAATGACTCTGGCTACTTCCTAGATATTTCCATGTACACGGAGCAAACGGAACCAGAGACAGGAATCGTAAGTATAAATTTAAAACTATTTCTTAAATGTTTTTAGCAATGGCTCTTTCTCTTTTTCTAGATAAAATTCAAGGCGTACGGAGAGAAGCAAGGATCTCTGCATGGCCATCCAATCTCCACGCCCTACATGACAAAGGACTTCCTGCAGCAGAAGCGATTCCAAGCGCAGTCAAACGGTACCACCTATGTTTACGATGTGCCCGACATGTTCCGCCAGATGACTGAACGTCACTGGAGGGAGTTTTCAAAGGCTCGTCCTACGGTGGATATCCGCATTCCCGACAAGATCCTAATCGAATGCAAGGAGCTCGTTCTCGAAGGCGATAGCCTTGTTGAGATGCAGCGTCTACCCGGCGAAAATAATGTAATTTTACTATTCAGTTCATATCGCGAAGGTACTAAAATGTTTTCTTTATTTTAGTGTGGCATGGTGGCTTGGAGCATTGTCCTTGCAACTCCTGAATATCCGAATGGCCGTGAGATTATTGTAATAGCCAACGACCTTACTTACCTGATTGGTTCCTTTGGCATCAAGGAGGACGTACTGTTCGCCAAAGCCTCCCAGTTGGCCCGTCAACGTAAAGTGCCCAGGGTAAGTTCATCCTTAGTCCGCATTTCTTCATTTACTTAGTACTATTCCATTTTCTTTTCACAGATTTACATCTCCGTTAACAGCGGTGCCCGCATCGGACTTGCTGAGGAGGTGAAAGCGATGTTCAAGATCGCATGGGAGGATCCAGAGGAGCCCGACAAGGGCTTTAAGTACCTTTATTTGACCACCGAGGATTACGCCCAGGTGGCCAATCTGAACTCGGTGAGGGCCATCCTGATCGAAGATGAGGGTGAGCAGCGTTACAAGATCACCGATATCATCGGCAAAGACGACGGACTGGGTGTGGAGAACCTGCGGTACGCTGGTTTGATTGCCGGTGAGACGTCGCAGGCTTATGATGAGATCGTGACCATCGCAATGGTCACCTGTCGTACAATCGGTATTGGATCGTATGTGGTGCGTCTGGGCCAGCGCGTCATTCAAATCGACAACTCGCACATCATACTCACAGGATACGCTGCCCTCAACAAGGTAAGCAAATGAGAGCTAAAATTGGTTTTTTGAACATAGGGATCCGATTGTTTTAACTTAACTATATTCGCGAAAAATGTTATATCAAATAATTACACACAAACAGCGTAAGCAGAATGCCTAATGGATTTCTCTTCCTTCCAGTTGTTGGGTCGTAAAGTGTATGCCTCCAACAATCAATTGGGTGGCACCCAGATTATGTTCAACAACGGAGTCACCCATAAGACTGAGGCCATCGATCTTGATGGTGTCTACACCATCCTTGACTGGCTCTCGTACATCCCTGCCTACATTGGTTGCGAATTGCCCATTATTCTGCCTAGTGATCGCATCGACCGGCCTGTGGACTTCATGCCCACAAAGTCGCCGTACGACCCTCGTTGGATGCTCGGAGGCCGCGTGAATCCCGTGAATGCAAATGACTGGGAAAACGGATTCTTTGATCGAGACTCCTGGAGCGAAATCATGGCGCCGTGGGCCAAGACAGTTGTCACCGGACGTGCTCGTTTGGGCGGTGTCCCCGTGGGCGTAATTGCTGTTGAGACACGCACCGTGGAAGTGGAGATGCCCGCTGATCCCGCCAATCTAGACTCGGAAGCCAAAACGCTACAACAGGCGGGTCAAGTGTGGTATCCGGACTCCTCATACAAAACGGCACAGGCAATCAAGGACTTCTCGCGAGAGGAGCTGCCACTTATTGTGTTTGCCAATTGGCGTGGCTTCTCCGGAGGCATGAAAGATATGTACGAGCAAATCGTCAAATTTGGGGCGTATATTGTCGATGGACTGCGAGAGTACAAGAAGCCGGTGCTCATTTACCTGCCGCCCAATGCTGAGCTGCGAGGTGGAGCCTGGGCTGTGCTGGATTCTCTCATTAACCCGCGATACATGGAAACTTATGCTGATCCGGAAGCCAGAGGAGGAGTGCTTGAACCGGAGGGCATTGTAGAGATTAAATATAAAGAGAAAGACCTGGTCAAGACAATACACCGCTTGGATCCCACCACAATTGCGGTAAGTTTCAAGTTGCGAGAAAACTTTAACAATTTTGATTAATTTAATGTGCCCTTAAATTACAGCTGAAAAAGGAATTTGATGACGCAAATGCATCTGGCGACAAGGTTAAGGCTGGTCAAGTAGACGAGAAAATCAAGGCTCGACTCGCTGTCCTTATGCACGTTTATCACACGGTGGCAGTTCACTTTGCCGACCTACACGACACACCAGAACGGATGCTGGAGAAGGAGTGCATTAGTGAAATTGTTCCTTGGCGCGATTCCCGTCGCTGGCTTTACTGGCGTCTGCGTCGTCTCCTTTTGGAGGATGCGTACATCAAGAAGATCCTGCGTGCTCAGGATAACCTCTCTGTGGGTCAGGCCAAACAGATGCTGCGACGCTGGCTGGTAGAGGAAAAGGGAGCCACAGAGGTGAGTAGTTTTTTAATCTATTATTTTTCAACTCTTATAAAATGTCGTTGTTATTTTTAGGCTTATCTGTGGGACAAAAATGAGGAAATGGTTTCTTGGTATGAAGAGCAGAGCAATGTCGAATCTATTGTTTCCCGCAACGTAAATTCCGTAAGACGGGACGCTATTATTTCTACAATTTCCAAAATGCTCGAGGTAAGTTAAACTGGAGCTTACACATCTGATGAATCCCAAATTTACCCTAACTTTATTTGCTTCGCAGGACTGTCCCGACGTAGCGCTGGACGCTGTGGTGGGTCTCTGCCAGGGACTGACGCCCGTAAATCGGGGCGTGGTCGTACGCACACTAGCTCAGATGCAGCTGAACGAGGAGTCTTCTAACAGCACCCAGGGATGATTCTACGCTAGGTTCTAAGTTCATTCTAGGCCCCTATCTCACCCCTTCCCGTACCCGCCTTTTCCCACATTTCTCATACCCCTTTTACGCTTGTAAAATATCGCAGAGCTTGCACGACATGCATATTGTTTAGTTGAATTTGTTTAAACGTAATTAGCCTAAATCTAGTTATGTATTGGAGTTGTAGGCATGGGTAGATGTTGCCTAAGTGGCAAAACTAGTAGACTAGTTGTATCGTGTACATACTTGATTATGTATATCCCTTGAATACAAAACATTCCATTAGTTGTCTAAGAACTAAAGTCCTTTGTACACAGAGCTTTTTGAATTATATGAGTTACTGAAAATATATATATGGTACAATACATTTTTTAAAATCGCTGGATGGCAATAATTGTTTTTGTTTTCTTTTCTTTTGGTTCCACAGGATCGATAATGTACATAATTTCATTTATTTTTATAAATTAAAAATGAAATCTATAGCAGTCGCGGGTAATGTCCTCCGATTTGCTGCGCTCCTATTTGCCGGCTCTCATTAAAATGAAGGTGAGATTGGGAGAGATGTGCTGGTGAGGGCCGGGTTCAGTTCAGGTTATCTAGCCAATCGGGCTCGGCGACACTAATCTTCTCTATTATGGAATTAACTTGGTAGCACAGTGACTGGATCTGTCTATCCCATTGCGGCAGTAGTTCGCGGTTCTCGAAGTGCACAATGCCCGAGATCTGGTCGATGTGTCCGTTCATGCGGCCTTCCGTGATCATCTGGGAGGCGATCTTCTCCGCCTTTACCGCCGGTATGTCCAGCAAGGCGCCCAGCTCCTCGAATGTTATATTGTTGTACAGTTTGCTGGCCGAAAGCAGATTGTGCTCGAAAACAGCTCGATCAAGAATCGATGAGCCGTCTGGGGTGGCAGCCTTTTGGTGCTCTTGCAGCAGGGCTTCAAACTCCTGCAGTTCCGACCGCCGAATGATACGCTCCAAGTACATCTTCTCTAGAATGCCGTAGGCCGGCAAGTGCTGGCAGCGTTCGTCTTTGAACAAAGTGGCCAACATGCGGGAGCGCTGCTGGCCGGCGGAGGCGAGCACTGTGCAGATGAGTGCTTTCTTCAGTGCCATCATTCTCTCACCTTGGTCCACAATCTTTCGGTAGGAAAGCTCGTTGTATCGCTGTGCGGCTTCGATGAATTTGCGCCGGTAGTCCAGGACACGGGCATAACAGACTTTGTATAGTACCTTAAAATGGTAAATTTTGTAAGATATTGTTTTTATATGAGGTTACTACAATATTAAATTTACCTGCAGTTCCTCAGAGCTAGTTTCTGCCTGTAGCAATGAGGCGCGGTTAATGAACAGCTCCGCCTGCACCGAATCGTTGTCCTCCAAATAAAGACGAGCAATCTTCAGGTAGGTGCCAAGCTTGCACTCCACGGAGTATTGTTTCTGGCCCGTCTCCAACGGGATACCCACTAGAACTGTAGCCGCATCTCGCCACTGCTGGTTGCGCTCATAAATGTTCGCCAGATGGAACCGGATGCCGGCCACCTGTTCCTCGAACGATATGACGCGCGGATGAACCTTCTCCAGAGTAAAGTGGGAAAGTTGCTTGGAAAGGTCGTCGGGAAGTTTGCTAAGCTCGCCACCCACATCGTTGAGGATCTGACGCGAAATAACCAGACTAACGTGCTCGTTCACAATGGCCTCTACGAAGAGCCGGAGACCATCGATCAGCTCCTGGCCGGTGTTTGCAAGAACCGTCTTCAGCAACTGGCGGTATTTGTCTGCCTGGTCCTTGTGAGTTCCAGTGAAGTTGATCAGGCCCATCAGCTGGTTGCGCAGGATCGCCGTCGAGATACCCTTGTTCGTTTTTGCGTAGTTTGCGGCCATGTTCACTTGTATTCCTAATTACTTCGCACTAACTAAGAACAACAACGCAAGCTCATCCCCGTTATCGATAACTTGCGAGTCCGGCCGAGACAGTGCTGAGTGCTTAGCTCTTTTTTCTACTTTTGTAGTGATGCGAGGTTCCCGAATATAAAATCAAATCCCTACTAGTTGTACTCCTAATTGAATATATTTATATTTTGAAAAAAATGAAGATACAATTTTGTTTTATTATTAGATTAACATATTAACTTATAAACATGTCATCGTCTATTTAATAAAAACAAGTTAGTTTATATTTGATTTACAAACATACAAATGACAGCAGTTCTAATTTAGTGCTGGTAAACGATTATAGGTTGTAATCGATAAAAGAGATTACCAATAATGTAAGGACCCTTATCGCCTAAAATAAAATATAGATTCATTATAAGTAGATTTCTTACGGTTACAGACAATTCTCCAGTGCAAAATTATTAGTGACTAATTACCAAACTCGAAAGAATCTTTGCTTTAAGATTTCCAAGCATTCTACGTCCAAAAGGGTGGAGACAAAGCCCACACATACATACACTTATCAGGAGCAGAGCAGCTCGCCGAGTGAAGTAGAAAATGTATCCAAAGGAGTCAAATGGCCGTATTTGCGAGCAGATATGAACAAAAATTGCCAATTGACGACACACAAGCGCTAAGCTGCGAGATAACCGCTGTCCAGGAGGTCGCTGGACATACGGTAGGTGAAATCAAGAGGGGCGAGCTGCTAGCCCCAGTGAAAAATCAATAATTGTTGATGATTTCATGCAATCGTTGAATGTATGTGTGTCTGCTTGCAGGAGTACCTGCTGCGCGTGTGGAGGGGCGCCAGCAATAAGGACTACTGGACCGTACTGCGCCGCTACAATGACTTCGACCGGCTGGACAAATCTCTTCGCGTCTCCGGCATCGAGCTGCCGCTCCCTCGCAAACGCATATTTGGTAACATGCGCCCGGAGTTCGTAGCTGAACGGAAGCAAGCCCTGCAAGTGTACATAAACGCCGTTCTAATGAATCCCATATTGGCCTCCTCGCTGCCAGCTAAGCGATTCGTTGACCCCGAGAGTTACTCGCAGTCCTTTCATGGTAAGTGCAATTCTCTTGAGAAACCAGGAAAAATCGGCTTTGTTTTACCCAATCATCTGTAGACCATGCCGTGCAGAATGCGATGCTATGCCTGCGATCCGATACGACGTGGTCCCTGGGCGGAAGCATGGGCGCTATAGGCTGGCGCCTAAGGAAGCATTACTTCAAGGTAACTACCAAGCCGCCGGAGAAGAGCAGCAATAAGCAGCTGGTCAAGAGCGGGTCGCAAACCCATCAGAGCAAGCATTTCGCAGCCGGGAGTAGCAATGGTAGCGGTCACTCCATCGATGCAGGAACCCTGGATCCTGGGGCCGAGGTGGTGGCCGAATGGCTCGAATACGGGCCCGACAAGTTTGTGGACGAGAAAGAAATCGGAGGAATTATGAAAAGCTTGATGGGTCTTCAGCATCCGCACATCGAGCCCGTTCTTCTTGCCGCACACACTGAAAACGGCTGCCTTGTCATCAGGAAGTCAGTATATAAAGGAAGTTTAGTAGATTATGACTAATATCGAGATAAATTGCCTTCCTAGGTTCCATAAGCATGGTAGCCTGAAGGATGTTTTGTGCATGGCTGCGAACCCAAAAAATCCCTTCCTCAGCAAGTACGGAAATCCAAAGGGGCGCACTGCCCTCTCAATGAAGCAGGTCGCAACCTACGGCAAGCAGATATTAGAGGCACTTATATTTTTGCATTCCAAGGGATACGCATATGGTAAGATTCAATTTCATTTATTAGAGAACCATTATTAAATTATCAAATGTCACACAGGTCACTTACATTCCGGAAACATAGTGATAGTCGATGATTGTGTGAAGCTGTTAGACATCGAGAACTTCTTACTGGGAGTACCGGCCTTCTACCGACCATTTTTTATGCAGCATAGCAAGATCCATGCCATCGAGACTATTGATGTTTACTGTTTTGGCCACGTACTCTTCGAAATGGCTATGGGTTACCCGCTGCAGGAATCTGTTGTGCGCCAAATAACAGAATGTCCGGAGGCGTTAAGTGAGTTCTTGTATATAACAAACATTTTATATTGATTCTAAGTCATTTATATCTACAGAATGCCTGCTGGAGAGCATTCTGTCCAAAGAAGCTTGTAAGGCGGGCCTTCCGACTCTGGAGCAACTGCTAAGTCACAGATTCTTTACTCAATACGCTTCTACTGAAAGCGCTAGCGCCGCCGCGAGTGCTGAGAAGCCGTATTTCAAGCTATCTTTAAACGCGAAGGAGCTGCTTAAACAGGCGGCTATGAAGAGCGAGAATCGCTTGCGAGATGAACAGAAGTCAGTGAAGAATCAGAAGCGCATTGTGCGCGTCCAGGAGCTAATGAGCTCCGAGGAGGAGAAACGCAAGTCCAAGCAAAAAGCAGTTAGTTATTTAAACCCCATCCCTTTCACGTAGCTCAAACTCACACAGCCACTTAACAAACACTTTTTGGTTTCTCTTTTCGTTTATTTAAATCGATGCTTACGTCTAGAAACTAGAGCACAAACAGTCGAAGCTAAAGCAGCAAGGTTCAATCCAAACGAACAATGGACGCTTGTCGCTTGTGGCTGCGACTGCAGCAGCAGCTTCCTCCAGCACCGCAGTGGTTGGTGGGTTATGTGGGGCCGACTCCTTCAACCGCTCCGACAGCACTCCCGAGGAGCCCGCACTGGCCGGCATCAAATGTAGTTATCCAAAAGCCGTTCACAGCTTCAAATTAGTAGTTTGTTAGCTTCTTACTTTTAACTCACCAGACTCACATGTGATTTGCTCTTCCTTTTAGCCCCACCACTTACTCCGGCGGCGCACTTGGGCGGCATATATCAGCAGGAATTGCCATCGTCGCCCGGCGCATCGGTGGAACGGCAATCCTCTACACCGAACATGCTGGCTGAGGATGCGGACGGAGGCGATGGAGATGAGCCAACCCGATCCGCTCTACTGGAGTCCATCTGCAAGTTCAATCGCGGATCGCTACGCAAAGTGCGATCCAACGACTAGCTTCGGTGCTAAGAGATTTATAAACATAACAATTTTTGGACCAAATGTGGCGTTATGAAATAACGGTGCCATCAAAAAAAATCTTGAAACTAATCGAATTCCGAAAGCTACATTTTTAGAGGCATATTGAAACAAAACAAAAAAAAAAAAAACAGCAGATCGAAGACACCGCTGAGCATAGCATATAACCCAAAACAATCCAGCAATTACTATATGTACTAACGAAACCCACTGATTATAATTATTGCATCTTATACGTGTCCACTATACATTGCATACGATTTATCGGCTAAAAAGAATGTGTCTATTTGTGTAAGCAAGTTACATGTCACAATTGCGAACAGACTCCCGGATCGCAACTAAAGCTTTACCTATGTGTCCACTACACGACTGAAACTAACTTTGGTACGAATATCTAAAATGAGAAATGGAAACAAAGAAACTAGAACAAAAAAAAATAAGAATCGACATACAGAGAAATTTAGTACTTTCCAATATTTACATAAGTCTGCACCAAAATTTGCACGAAACGAGACGCTATTCTTTTATAAGGCCCACTGGCCCAATATAGTACATGGATGTTAGATGTCTAAGAAATTGTTCCTCGGTGTTGTGCTATCTCCACCAGCGCGTTTTTATCGCCAATTTTTAGTAGTTGTACTGCAGGTTTTGTAACTGAAATTGAGTTTTTATTATATATTTCGAAGAGCCACGAATGTTTTAAAAACACTCAACTGTTCGTTAAAGTCTAGACATACTCGGAGTCCTGGACTCAAAATAGTTGAATAGTTGAAGCAACAGACAAAAGACAAGATAATGTGGCCAAGAATTCGCACTGTTATTGTTTTCCTTTTTATAGACAATTTATTAGGTGTGTATTTAACCAAATCCAATTTATGTATCAAGTATATTTATATTTGAATATGTGTATATATATGTATGTAATTGATGTTTTGTGGCCACAAGAGCACCCAGAAATAACGTAAATATCGTAAATTGATATGTGTATTATCGTCTACTGACTGTGTGCATATGTTTGATATGTATACTTTAAATGGGAAAACAAACAGAGAAGTACTAACACGAAATGTGACACATATTCCCCACACACATATTGCAAACCAAATAAAGTGTAAACTAATTGTCGTTGTAAGTTAGAAGTTTCAATTTCTGGCGATCTAAGGGGGCTCTCATTTTCCTGTGTTGTCCGGAGTTATATTTCTGTTTGAGTCTGGGAGTTCTGAAAAACTTTTTATTAAACACTTTGATCATGGCTGACTCTCCGGAAGAGCGGCGAAGCAAGGATGTCGTGCCCGAGGCTGCCGTCAAGGAGGCAGAAACTGGCAAGGGCAAAAAGGAGAAGAAGGAAAAGTCGGCCGAGGGCACTAAGCCGGTAAGTTTGGCTGACAAGTGGCGCATAATTTGGCTTTTGGTATTGATTCAACAAACGCCACGAATTGCCACGGCGACAGGCCGTCAGGCAATCTGGCAGGGAATGACTTAATGGCATAATCATTTGTGGTTTTATGGCTAACCGCGACGCACTCGACCCTACTCGATTCCAATAAAGCCAACAGAAAAATGGCAGCCGCTGCAGCGAAGAACTGGTCGGGCCTGGTGAATCTTTGCCTGGGGCAGGAGCGTGAGAAGGTATACGATTGATTTTGCCATTATAGTTACAATAGGTATTTGATGTCATTTTAATGAATTGATGCTTGTAACGAAATGTGAACACGGGAATGTATAGATTGACTGAAATTTGGCAGTCACGCCATATCTTGTGGGGGTTCTATTGGGAAATTTAGTGTCTTAGGTTTAACAACCATGCATGTTCGGTTTCCCATTTCATCATCATGCAGAGGCCGGCAAGCAGCCAGCGCGGATCGCTGACCAAGTCGCATATAGGTGTTCCTTTGGGCATGGGGGCTCCGGCCGCCAAGGTGAGTTTATTATATGTCCAGCAAGATTCCTTTATATTATAAGTTATTTTTAACTTGCAGCCCACTATGCGGTTCATGCCCACCTACCGTCTGGAATCGAAGAATCCATTGAATAAGGAGCGGGTGGAGAACATTATTAAGGCTGTGATGAACAGACATTACAACGAAGAGTACATGTTTCATCCCAAGCACTCACTACACATGGCAGCGCAGGTCAGTGAGGAAATTAAGAACCGGATCAAACTCGACAACTATGACAGGTGATTTTGGCCACTTTGGTATTCATTCCTGACTAAACTTATTCCGTTTACCCTAGATACCGCTACATTGTGCTGGTCACTGTCGGCGAGTTTCTGATGCAGGGCCTCTATTCCATGGTCAATTTCCTGTGGGATGCTGAAAAAGACGGATTTGTGACCTACAGCGTAGAGAGACCTTCGTACTTTGCGGTCTGCACCACCTTTTACCTGTATTACGATTGAAGTCGGGATTCGGGGAACTAGGCGCCTTCGAGTTGTTATTAAAATTGAAGTTATCTTTAACACTAGTGCACACTTTGTTTACCTTCCTGCGTTTGGTCACCAGATTTATTCACTTTCCTTGGCACTCGGCACTGTAACTCACAACTCACATTTTTAAACACAAAATTTTGAACACATTTCATTTCGGTAGTTGACGTTTATTTAAATATCTGTATAATAGTTTGATATAATATTTTTTAAAGCAAAAGTAATTTTTGCATCTGTCTAATGATGTAAGTTAACTGCGTTTAATCGTTTTAACTATCTCAGAGGGTACAGATTTACGATTGCTATATATATATATATATATAAATAATATATTTGAGAACACACGCATACACAGCACATGCACTGGGCCAACTACTTGAATTTTCATCGTAATAACTGATTTCGGTCCGTGGAATGACACTTGAACTCACAGAAACATAAATGTATCATATGAACGCATATATAAATTATAAACAAAACACAATTCTGTTGAGAGCAGCCACAAGAAAACCAATGTAACAATTGCCAAACCCAATCAAACAGCAGAGACATTTTGGAGCAAATGCTACACGACGTTCTCTCTTCGGATGGAAGACGGATAAAGTTTTGGGATCAAAACACGATTTGGTTTTGGATTTAGCCACTTTCACACACCCACAGGCCTAAAAAAACACCAAGCACCAAATAACCTCTGGGAGAGATTGAGGAAAACTGAAATTCAGCTAGAATTTGATCACTTCGCACTGATTGCTGTTATAACGGAGAAAATTTCACTGCAAACCAACTCCGGGAAGCACTCCATAATCCTCGCTTTGGACTCAACTGGACAATCAGACCACTACTTGGTGCACTGGTGCACTTCTTGTCGCACTGTATTTTAAACATCGTTCACAAACTGAAGACCAAAAGGCAAACTCATCATCAGTGTAACACAAATCAAAATGGAAAATTAATTTTAAGGAACACAAAAACTATTTCATCGAAATTATTTTGCACTAGTTGTTGATCCATAAGCGGACACTCGAATTGAGTGCTTTAAGAAAATGTTAGGATTTTTTTTACTCTTGTTGTTTTTCTTCTCACTTGAACATAATAAAATTGGGAAAATTTTATAGGTATATGTTTTTAAATACATTAGTGTTTGATTTTCTTTAAACTTTTGGCACAACAATAAAAAAATGTATAAACTTCACTGTCACTAACACATTCAGAACTTGAAAGGAAACCATAAAGAGATATCCTGTCTGCAAAAGAATGTTAATTAATGGTTAATTTAGACGGATTTGGGTCATGAAGTGTGGGTGATGTCTCCTCGTTTCTGCTCATGTCTCTAAATGTATGTGCATCATGCTTGAGTTCATGTGTGTGCGTGTGTGCGGTGCTGTGAGGATGCACATACACGACCCGTGCATGTATGTGGGCCCCCATTTGTCCTCTTCTCATTTTTTGTGGGGGCATCTAAGATACTACTACGGCTGCTAGGTTATAGTTAGGTGTGGCGGAGTCATCCATTGAGCACTGCGGCTAGTCATTACCTCCAGTTTGTCTCCTCTCCTTCAACGCCATTTCATCTTAGGCCGTTCCACCGCGCACCACCACTATTACCAGGTGGTCCTCCTTAAGGCCTTCCTCCGTCAAGCTGTGGCAGGTGCGTTTTAAGAGCTCTGTAGAGAATTCGCATGGTGGAAAGGCGTACAGCACACCGGTAGCCTCCGTCTCCTTATTAAGCAGTGAGATGACGCCAGCCGCCTCCTTCTGCTTCAAGTAGGAAACTAGGTTTCTTAACGGACGCGTCTGTACGCTAGTATCGTCGCAGTTGGTATCGTTTGTGGAGCCTGCAAGGCCCATGAAAATGGCATGAGACGAAGAGGATGCAATGCGCTTCTGCACATCGTCCAGCTTCGGCGGATCCAAGCGAAGTCGCTGGGTAATACGTAGGTTGTGCTTTCCCTCCTCGTCGCGCATTAAGGATTCAACGATATCAGTATCTCCGTCAGTCAGATGAAACTTAGCTGGGAACAAAGAGCTCTTGAGGATCAGAGCTCCGGTCCACACGGTGCTGCATTTACGCGCCACCTCCGGCACCGTACTAGCCGATCCAAGGGCATCGTTGCGACGAGTCGAGGCGTCTGAGTCAGATCCGGGGGAGCGAGCCCGTTTCAAAGGCGATCTAGATCTTGAGCGTTCCACACCAGGTTCCCGAGAAGAGGAGCGGGCTCCCCTATCATATGATTCTCCTGGTGGTCGTCGCCACTCGTCATCCACTCCTCCAGGAGGCGGCACTGAAGAAGAAGAACCTCCCAAGGAACCGGGATGTGGTGGTCTGTGCACATCGTTGTGATAGTGGTACATGCCTCGTCCTCTTCCGCGATAGCCACCACGTCCTCGGTAACCACCTCGTGGTGGATACGGGGAATATCCACCTCGCGGGGCATAAGCCGCGGACTCTTCGTAGTATGGATCGTATTCCGGGCGCCGGTACTCCAAAGCGCTTTCGTCATATGGCGGCTTGGAGCCCTTGAACGGTGCAGCTGGTGTAGCTCCTGGCAACTCTGCGAAGTCCGTGCGAAGACGGCGGTCTGGTCCACCTAGCGGGAATCCTCGCATCTCTTTTACCGCTGCCGTGGCCGCCTCCACCGTCTCGTATTGAATGTAGGCATACGGCTCGCCCTTCTGGTACTCTATTTTCTTTATAGCGCCAAAACGGTCAAACTCTCGCTCCAGTTGGGTGACCGAGGTCCAGGCACCCAAGCCTCCGATCCACATACGCGTGGCTGGAGTCACCTTGCCGTATCCGATCTTGCACTGGAACTTCCCGATGTACTGACCCGATAGCTCGATTTTTGCCCGGTGAGCCATATCCAAATTTTGGTAGCGCACAAATGCAAATGCGTTACCAGTGCCCGGGGGCGGGCGCTTGATGTCAATATCATCCACAACTCCATATTTGCCGAAAATTCGGCGCAGCTCGTCATCGGCGATGGTTACTTCCAGATTTCCCGCAAAAAGCGTTCGAGTGGATAGGGGATCATCCTCTGGCTGCACGTGATGCAAGTAGTTCGGGAACTTGTCCTTCTTGCTCTCAGGCTTTTCGTAAGGAGCGTGGGGACGTGGTGCCATTGGTCTCATTGGAGCGTACTGATGTGGTGCATGGCCATGAAGATGATGAGGATGACCGCCGCGATGTAGTGGTGGTCCTCGTGGAGGATGGGGATAATCATGGTGCATTGGCCGATAATCTCGAGGGTGCACTGCGTGCGGATGCATATGAGGAGGACCATAGCGGTCATATGGATCAAGGGGTGGACGGCGGTGATCTAGAGGAACGCCCTGGCCCATAGGTGAACGCGAGTAGTGGTATCGCTCATAGTCCGGTGGAGACATAGAGTGTCCTCGGGGTCTACAAGTCAAGAATGCAGTTAGGAAATGTAAACAAGATAAATTCTTAAAATAAATCCCACCTATACTCTGGCCTGGTGGCCGACTTGTACACCGGTTCCACTATAGCCATCTTGTCGTAGATGATAAGACGCGGCTTATGGTGCTTTGCCTCGCGTGCATCCTCCGGCGTCCGGAAACAAACATAGGCCACCCTTTCGTCGAGGTCATGAGCCAGTCGAACACTGAAGTCCCCAAACTTCTTGTACTCGCGGTACAGAGTCTCCTCAATGAAATCGTCAGGAGCTTTGGGCGGCAGAGCGCTAACGCATAGGACTTTGTATCCAGCGGATCTTTCCGTTGGTGGAGGACCGCGCATGTAGGGCTCCCGGTGCGGAGAACCATAGCGGCCACGTGGACTCGGAGACCGGTCCAAGCGGCGCCTCATGCGTTCCGGTGACAAGCGCTCCGGGGAGTCGCCCGGCACCCCACTCCCGTTGTCGTAACCACGACCCATGCTTCGAGAGTTACGCGACAAACTGCTCCTAGAGGCCGGTCCCGGAGAGCGCGAGGCGCTTCGCTTCATGTTATGGATTTTGATTGTGATTCGATCGGCTCCGGCTCCGTCTCGATGACTACTCATGGGCGGCTCTTCCGATATGCTTTTTCTCGGTTGTTGTTGCCTAAGAACCCTCTGAAAATTTGGCTCTGTGAATTCTGAAAAGTATTAAAGATTCAGCTTGTGAAAGTACAAGTAGAAAGTAAGCAGACAAGCGGCGGTCAGATGAAAAAAAAAAAATGGCGGCAGCCCAACGACAAAGAAAAATTATATGTTCGGAAAAATTCTGAAAAACTACGTTTATTTAATTGAGACATTATGCTCTTACCACTTTTTATTTTTTGGAGGGTAACTATAGTGCTCTTTTGCTAAGAAATCGCGGATAAACCTCGAATTTTTTCAGTTTTCAGCGGCTTTGCAAATTCTGTATGCGTCGAAAGTGGCGTGCAGCAATCGATAACCGACCATTGATTCTTTAGAGATGATAGCGAACATATTATCGAGTTATATTTGGTTTGGTTGCTGAAATATTAAAAAAATATTCGATTAAAAGGAGTGATGCATTGGATTATAAAGCAAATATTTTAAGATACTTATATTTTAAAATATTCATGGTTTTGAGTAAAAAAAATCTATAACTACAAAGAACCCTAATATTATTATATAATAATAATAATATAAACTTACCCATTTTCAATCGAATATTATCGAGCAGCACTTTCTCGATGACATTGTCGCGGCATCTCATTCAAATTCGTTAAGGTTGCAGGTAAAATAAATCACAGGTAGAAAACGGACGGACAGAATTAAATTCTCGTTATATTACCAGATGCCGGAAAAACCAAATGGGTGATTAGAGAGAAAGACAGTGGTGTTTGTGCGTTGTAACAGCGACTTTTCCGATTATAAAGAGGCGCCCGTAGCCGTCTAGAACCATTGATCCATCATAACTAAAAGCGAAATGGTGCATTTAGCTACTGAAAAAAAGAACGAAGAGGTGGCACCCAAAACCCCCAGGCAACTCAAACTGGATGGCCACGTTGGGTTTGACACTCTGCCGGATCAACTGGTCAACAAAAGCGTTCAGAACGGCTTTAGTTTCAACATCCTTTGCATTGGGGAAACTGCTCTCGGGAAATCAACTCTAATGGACACGCTCTTTAATACCAGTTTTGGGTCCGTGTGCAGTCCCCACAGCTTACCCAACGTGAAGCTGAAGGCGAGCACATACGAACTTCAGGAGAGTAACGTCCGCCTAAAACTGACCATATGCGACACGATCGGATACGGGGATCAGGTGAACAAGGGAGACAGCTACAAGGCTCTGCTGGAGTATGTGGATAGCCAGTTCGAGGCGTATTTGCAGGAGGAGCTGAAGATCCAACGCGCAATGTCTAGTGCTCATGATGGACGCGTCCATGCCTGCTTGTACTTCATTTGCCCCACTGGTCATGGACTGAAAGCAATGGATTTGGTGTGCATGAAGCAGCTGGATACAAGGGTGAACATCATTCCCGTGATTGCTAAGGCAGACACCATCTCCAAGGCGGAGCTATCTGGTTTCAAAAAGCGGATAATGGACGAACTGCACCGAAACAAAGTAAGCATTTACCAGTTTCCAACGGACGATGAAACGGTAGCCGATACCAACGCCTCGATGAATGACCATGTGCCCTTTGCTGTCGTGGGTAGCACGGAGTTCGTTAAGGTAGCTGGAAAACATGTCCGTGCTCGGCAGTATCCTTGGGGAGCGGTGTTAATAGAGAACGAGACGCACTGCGATTTTGTAAAGCTGCGTGAGATGCTCATCCGTACCAATATGGAAGATCTGCGCGAGTTGACTCATACACGCCACTATGAACTCTACCGACAGCGGCGCCTGCAGCAGATGGGTTTTGTAGACGTAGATAGCAACAACCAACCTGTGTCCTTCCAGCAGACCTTTGAATCGAAACGATCAGACCACCTGGCCTGCTTGCAGGCCAAGGAGGAGGAAGTGCGTCAAATGTTCGTGCAGCGGGTCAAGCAGAAGGAAAACGAACTGAAGGAGACTGAAAAGGATCTTCACACCAAGTTTGAGCGGTTAAAACGAGAGCACCTGGAGGAGAAAACTCAACTGGAGGAAGCACGTCGCCAGTTAGAGGAGGAGTGCCAGGAGCTACAGCGGCGTAGGTTGCAGCTAGCCAGTGGTACGCACACCCTCACCTTGGGGAGGGGCAAGAAGAAGTAATATATTCTTAGGTTTTTTCACTTTGAGAATTCAATCGAATAAAAAAAAAATCTCGATTCGATCGATTTTATACATTTTAAGAAGAACTAAAAATTTTTAATTAAAGAAAAAAACACATACATATACATACATAGATTTTAAGACTTGACGAATTTTTTATATTTGTTTTAATTCAAATACAAAAAATAAAATCTTATTTCTACTTTTATAAAGGATTTATATTTGTTTTTTCTCTTTTTACATTTTGTTTTGGTTCAAAAGTTTTTTTTATTCAAAGGTTTTGCTCTGGCTGATTTATCGATAATTTAAATTCTATAATACGAATTAACAATTTCATTGAAAAAAGCATGAGCGGCGGAATTAATGCTAACGAAACAGAAAATTACGCACGTCTTAACCTTCAAAATCATAACTTGATAATACAGCAATGTTGTTTTTTTACACTTTTTTTTCGGAATTTACCAACTTTTGCTCTATGTTTTGAATAGTGTTTATTGTTAACGATTATTTAATTTTACTTGACTGAAATCCTATTGAATATTTCGGCTTCCATCAATAATTTATATAATCTATTGATCTATTGCATCTCCTTGTTCTGTTGTAATCTATAATCTGTAAAGTAAGTTGTTTTATACTACATAAAATAAATAAATTTAACACCAATTAAATTAAAAATATAGCCATAACAATAAAACTACGGAGAACATTCCAGACGAAAAATATAGCAGACTTTTTTATATTCGAATTTTCAAGATATATTTTCTAATGGTATCTATTCCATGAAAATCAGTCCCCTTTTAAGTAATATACAATCATACCTGAATTTCGGTGACGACACAAAATGGGATACATATGTTTCGCGGAATGGTTTTATGACGGTCATATCCAATATGCTGGAAACCCTGGATTAGCTCGCACAGCTGTGATGGAACTTCTGGTCTTTCTGCCCTGCCCGCTAACCGCCCCTTCTTTTCCTTTTCGCTGATAGCGATTGCAATGTTTTACCTCTCTTCGGTTCTCTTTGCTTCTCGTTCGCTCTCTGGCAAAGTGGAAAAATAGGAAAACAAATTATAAATATGCTAACATCGCGGATCGGAGCGGAATGGTTAGTCATTCTGATTTTGACGATGGCAACAAGCGGTACTAAACTAGAAAGTGGGACATGCCCGGTGGCTACGGATTCCGGCTGTGGCGGAACTCCTCCAGACCAGGCCCGGTACGACAATTACCGTATCTACAATGTGGAGTTCGAGAACGAAGAGCAGATCAAATTGTTTCAAAAGCTGGAGGAACAGAGCGACAGCCTCACTTTTATCGGTCATGCCCGTGAAATTGGCCAGAAACTGTCCATTCTGGTCGCGGCGCATCGGGTGGCTGATTTCGCCGATCTGCTCAAGACCTACAAGGTTAAGCATCGAGTTCTGGTGAGTTACGAAAAATAAATCTTCAAAAAATCATTTCTAAAACCATTTCTTTTGTAGACCTACAACTTCCAGGAGAAGATTGACCGCAACCTAAAAGAAGTTCAGCCGATTGATATAGATGCCTCACAGTTGGACTGGCAGCACTTTTTCCACTTGAAGACCATCTATGGGTGGCTGGATAAAATAGCCGAGAAGTACCCAGAACGTGTGACCGAGCTCGATATGGGCACCAGCACCCAAGGCAATGCCATTAAGGGCGTTAGGCTGAGCAGCAATCCCAATAACAAAGCCATTTTCATAGAAAGTGGCATTCATGCCAGGGAGTGGATAGCCCCAGCCGCCGCCACGTACATCATCAATCAGCTACTTACCTCCCAGGATCCAAAGGTACAAAAACTGGCCCAGGACTACAACTGGATCATTTTCCCTTGTGTTAATCCCGATGGCTACAAGTACACATTCGAGCACGATCGAATGTGGCGAAAGAATCGCCAGTTGTTTGGCACCTGCCGAGGAGTGGATCTGAATAGAAACTACCCGGATCACTGGAACAGCACGGGTTCTAGCAGCGATCCCACACGCTATGATTTTGCAGGACCCTCTGCTGGCAGTGAACTGGAGACCCAGCGTTTGATTGAATATATACGCACAAGTGTAAGCAAAGAGCAGATCAAGACATACATTGCTCTGCACTCTTATTCCCAAATGCTGATGTTTCCTTATGGTTACACTAAGGAGCGGGTGTCAAACTACGACGACTTGCAGGAGTTCGGCAAAAAGGCTTCGGCAGCAATTAAGGCGGAGAGCGGTAAGGACTACGTGAGTGGCAGTCTGTATGAGACCATCTACCCGTCGAGCGGCGGTAGCATGGATTGGGCACATGCTGAGGCGGGAATCCCAATTGCTTACACCTTTGAGCTACGGGGTCCTCCCGATAGCCAGGATCTCTTTATCTTACCTGCGGTGGAAATTCAACCTACGGCCAGCGAGGCCTTCACCGCCATTCGCACCATCGTGGAGGCGGCGGCCGAGAAGGGCTACTATAAGTGAAGATTCCTCGACTTTCGGGAACAAGCATTTTTTTACGTTCAACGATCTAGACAAACTTTAAGTGCATTTTTTATCTGAGACACGATATTATCTTTATCCAAATAAAAATAAACTTATATAAAAGCTACATAAAGTGTAACCACAAAAACACTTAACGATAAGAATCAGACGGGCATGACACTTCTGTTGGATTTATGGTCAGATTAGGGTAATTCTAGCCCAACAGAGTTATGGTTTCACGGCGCTGGTGATGTGGTTTCTAGGCGAGAGCCGGGGATCGAATATAGCCTCTATATGCACGTGGCAGTCTGTAAGAAATAAGTTTTTTTAATTTTCAAGATATATTTTTTTTAATGTTCATTAATACCATTTTCCATTAGAAAAAGGCAGCGATCATACAGAATAATGCTCTCCACCAGTGGAGCCATCATTAATCGAAGAGTGTAGAACGAAACTATTCGCTGCCAGTTGTCCAGGTCGGTTTCCGTCTGTTTGTTACTCAGTACCCGGCTGTCCAGAGCTTCAAAGCGAGTTCCTTGAACGGCTTTCTGAAAATATCTGTACAACTAATTAAAGAAGTCTTAGAAATATTGTAAACTTACTGGTGGAACGTCATGTCTGGTGAGTGCTTAACATTCCGGAGCGCACAGTGCCTGAGGTCTGGGAACTGCTGGACAATTATTCGCTCGGCAGCTGCCCTAAATGAGTGGATACGGAGGTGTTCGTAATCCTTAGCCAGCAATCGATCGTGATACACCTCCATGGCGTGGCAGGAGATCTCACGGGCCTCGTAACTAAGATAGTTACCTACTTGCTCACTAAGGAATTTGCTTAGTGGATAGCCGTGTACTTGCTCTCTAGAATGCGTGTCCTGGGTGGTCATCTTTTGGTAACAACAGCCCACAAAGTTGAGAAATTTCGCCTGTGGGCAGCCAAGAAACATACGCATTAATGTTGGTCCAAGATTTCCACACGGATGTAAGCCGATGATTCCGAAGCTAAACTTGTCATCCTCTAACTGCAGGGCATTCCTAATGCTTGATAGGAATTGAGCTGGCTGCGTGCTGCTCTCCAAGCGCTGTGTGAGATGCACTGGTCGCTGAAAGTGACTGGTTTCAGCCTGTGATAGGTGCTTCGCTGCCATCGACTCTAGTTTCAAATCAATTTCCGTCGCTTTCTGGTTGAGATCAGGTTGCATTTCAAAGCAGCACACTTGCAGTCCATATCCGTAGCCCAGAATGCGTGCCAGGTGACCCACGCCCGCCCCAAAATCCACAATGAAATCAACAGGTGTCTGACGATGGCTGAGGGCACAAATCTCTGCCATCCGAGTAATCTCATGCTGCTTCTTTGGCTTCACCCGTTTCTGGAACATGTACTTCAGTTTGGGATGATTCAGAAGTGAGCATGGAAGGGAGTTCTATATGGGAAATTATAGATTTAACTTATTCTGGGGCAGAAAATTATGTCATTTTTACCAACTTTGTGTTGGTTTTTGGGTGCACGATTTATGCAGAGTTTCCGCAACTCCTGTTGCAGAACCATTAGCTCCACTGGCCATTTCACCTGGTGATCCTGATCCTCATTTTGAAGCAGCTCACTCAGATACTCCATGGGGATATTCTCCAAATGCTGCTGCCAGACGTCAGGTAGCTTATTCCAATGGTCATCTAGGTAAAAGTCCTAAAATTGAGTATTGCGTTTAGTTTAAACTTAAATGACCAAGTATTTAAGTACAGACCAGTACATAGGCATCCAACAACCATTCATATTTTTTAAGGAGCGCCAAGCTCTGCTCTAGTTTTTCTTTTACAACCAACATTTGTTAAATGCAAATACAATTAATGAATTTGCATCACAACAATACATCACTTCTTACATAGTTTTAGTTAAGTTTTCAACCATCTGTTGAGTACGCACTGACCGGTTTATAAAAATTTGTTCTTTAATAAAACTAGTTCATTTTTAAATCCCCAATGATTCTCGGAACCAATAGCTAAAACAGCTGTTTTTGTTGCACTTTTTTTTATTTCGGAAAACTGCTTGTTGATTCTTGTGGTCAAGGCTCCTTGGACTGATAATGTCCGATTCGTCACTCAAACCACCCTCCAGTAATCTTCCCCTAAGACCTCCTCAGGTGGTAGCTCTAGCAGGATCCTCTGGTAGCCTCCAGTTGCCCATAACTGCACCTCAGAAGCTGAACTCCTGCCCAAATGGATCAACAACCTCCTCAGCTTCTGGCTCTGCCACAGGAAATCCACGCAACAAGTGTGCACTCAAGCCGGGCTACTCCCTGATGAGCTGGATACGGCTGTGCAATTCCGGAGCGGATCTATCAGGGACAGGAGGACGTGTGGTACCAGTTTCCCGGACAGAATTGGCCACGCACAACAAGATCGACGATGCTTGGATGGCGATTCGAGGTCGAGTTTTCAATGTCACCCGCTACATGGATTTTCATCCAGGCGGAGTGGACGAACTGATGAGGGGAGTTGGACGCGATGCTACCAAATTATTTGACGAGGTGCACGCCTGGGTCAACTATCCGCAATTGTTGGGGAAATGCTACGTGGGACCATTAAAAGAGAATGAGACAAAACCGGCCAAAGAAGCTCCTCTGATTACAAACGCGATTTTAAAACCTCCGGAGATTGTGCCTCGTTTTGATTGGATTCAACAGAGGAGTGAACTTACGCTAATCTTTTACACCCGCGGTTTGGCCAATCCAGGCTTGCTAATTCGACGGAAGAATTCCCAGCAACTCGCTGTACGGGTTTTGGTGAAGCACAATTGGCATCATTTTGACTTTCAGCTAAACAACAATGTAGAATGGCCTCCAAAAGTAACGAAAATAGGTGCGGAGACGGGAAAGATTGAGTTGGTCCTGGGCAAGGAAGAGCCAGCACCGTGGCCAACATATGGAACACATGTATCTAGCAAAGTAGACTCAGCTAGCATACAAGATGAAACCTATCAGTATGAGGTAACTCAGCACAAGGACATCAATCATGACTCCTTTAGGGTCAGCCTGCAAAGCACTCAGCGCGAGGTTTTGATGGTCTTGCCGGTTGGTTACCATGTGGATATAGAAGTCCCACTAGAGAGCGGAGTAACTCTTAGAAGCTACACTCCTGTGGATCAGTCTTTTCTTCATTCAGATTCCTCTTCTAGTGAAGAATGTTTAAACTTCCTTATCAAAAGGTATCCCAATGGGCTTGTCTCCAGTCACATACATCAGCTCAAAGTTGGCTCACACGTCCAATTGAGTCCACCCCGGGGATCTTTCCAGCTTTCGGAGCTCACTGCACATAGAAACGTTCTTCTCTTGGCAGCAGGAAGCGGTTTAACGCCTATTTTAAGTTTAATATCGCCAATCTTGAAGAGAAATACTAATCGAATGTGAGTAATTGATTAACTATAAATCGTACGAAATTAATATTCGTTTCACATTTACAGCGAAAGCTTGATATTGATGTACTTCAACAAAACTCCAGAAGATACATGGTTGAAGGAGAAACTAGAGGAGATACACTCGCGAGATGAGAGATTCACCTGCACAAATATTTTCTCCCAGGTCAAGGATAATTCACAAAGGATATCTCTGGAGCTACTAGCTCCCATGTTCCAAAAAAAGCAACCGGAAAGATGTACTTATGTGGCAATCTGTGGACCAAGTGGTTTTAATGACGCTGCTGTAGATATTTTATGCCAGCTGGATGTTAAGGCCAATCAAATTCACGTATTCCGCGGCTAAGTGGGAACAAATTTTTATTGCGCACTTAATCTTCATTATTTTTATTTATTGTATAGCAAATGTTTTCGACTTTCGACCTTTTTTATTGTTTTTACATGTTTTCGTTTTAATAATTTAATAAGTTTAACAAATACTAGAAAATTGTAGTTGGATTTGTTTTCATTTGCTTTCTGTCGTCCAAAACGCCTCGGACCTAACTCGTTGTCTACTCACATACACTTTTTGCTTATGTAGAATTGTAAATAACCGAGAACCAAATAGTAACCAAATGGAGGGCAACGTACAAAATTAAATATAAACAGCAGAAATTGTTATATAAAGAATATATAGGATGTTAAGAATATCTGGTTTTACAATTCATCGCAGGGACGTCAGGAACCGCTGCCGAATTCCAAGTTACAAATTGGTAGCACATCTAGCAGCACATTGGCGACTTGACACATTTTTTTACTGACGCCCACAAAGACGTTTAAGTAGACATCCGTACATGTTACTGTGTGATGGTATGGTGTGTTTTTATGCGGGTGTCCTGCAGCTCAAAATCTAGACTTAATAGGAGCGGATTGCTGGTGGCACAGTCGAGACTTCGTTGTCCAGCGTGGAATCGATCACGTTTCTGTAGTCCAGCGTTATGTCACCGTTGTCATTGCACACCCACGAGAGCGTGTGCTTGCGCCAATGCTGATCCATGGGCTTCTTCTGCTGACCCTCGATAGGTTTGCTGAAATCCTGCAATACAAGTCCATTAATAACCAGTTTAAGGGTTAACTGTATGCATGAAACCTTACGTATTCATCCTCGCGGACCTTGAAGTCTTCGCGGGCGTGGGCACCTCGGGATTCCTTACGTGCTTCGGCACTCACAATGGTCATCTGGGCATTAGCCAACAGATTCTGCAGCTCCAGCGTCTCTACCAAATCGGAATTCCAAATGAGCGACCTTTAAGAAACACGGAATGTTAACAATAACAAAAACTCAACTAATATTTCCCACTTACCTATCAACAACCTTGATGTCCTTGAACTGCTTGTAGATCTCCTTCATCTTGTTCACACCGTCCTGGAGAATGGGGCCATCACGGAACACAGCAGCATGATGTTGCATTGTCCTTTGCATCTTCAGGCGCAGATCGGCGGTGGTGATCGAGCCGTTGGCGTGGCGCAGTTTGTCCAGATTGGCCACGGAGGCCTCGCCAGCGTTTTCCTTGAGAGTGGGAGCTGGTGCACCGGGCTTGTTCAGCTCGGCAATGGTCTTGGCGCAGGCACGACCAAAGACCACCAAATCCAGCAGAGAGTTGGCACCCAGGCGGTTTGCACCGTGCACCGAGCTAGATGCCGACTCACCGGCAGCATAAAGTCCAGGTACTATCACATCCTTGCCCTCCTTGTCGATGGTGATCACCTGGCCGCGATAGTTCGTGGGCACACCACCCATGTTGTAATGCACCGTGGGTAGCACCGGGATTGGCTCGCGAGTCACATCTACGCCAGCGAAGATCATGGCGGTTTCGGAGATGCCAGGCAGACGCTCGGCCAGCTGCTTGGGTGGCAAGTGATGCAATTGCAGGTACACGTGATCCTTTTCGGGTCCAGCGCCACGGCCTTCCATGATCTCAATGGTCATCGAACGCGAGACGACGTCGCGTGAAGCCAGATCCTTGGCAACTGGAGCATAGCGCTCCATGAAACGCTCACCATTGCCATTGATCAAATATCCACCTTCTCCGCGGCATCCCTCAGTGATGAGACAGCCGGCACCATAGATTCCTGTCGGGTGGAACTGTACGAACTCCAAATCCTGGGATGGCAGACCCTGACGGGCAACCATGGCGGTACCGTCACCAGTGCAAGTGTGGGCTGATGTGCAGGAGAAGAACGCACGTCCATAGCCGCCGGTGGCAATAACCGTGTTCTTGGCGCGGAAGCGATGCAGTGAACCATCCTCTAAGTTGAGAGCCAGCACACCACGGCACTCACCGTCCTCAAAGATCAGATCCAGGGCAAAGTACTCTACGAAGTAGTTGCAGTCGTAACTCAAAGATTGGCCATACAGCGTGTGTAGCAGAGAGTGACCAGTACGATCAGCCACAGCACAGCAGCGATGGGCCTGTCCGCCCTTGCCGAACTTAAGACTCTGTCCTCCGAAAGCTCGCTGGTAAATTTTTCCGTCCTGGGTACGAGAGAACGGCATGCCGTAGTTCTCCAGCTCAATGACAGCCTTTGGCGCCTCTCGTGTCATGTAGTGGATGGCATCCTGATCGCCCAACCAATCGGAACCCTTGACAGTGTCGTACATGTGCCACTTCCAGTCATCCTCCTCCATGTTGCCCAGTGCGGCATTGATACCACCTTGAGCGGCGATAGTGTGCGAGCGGGTGGGAAACAACTTGGTAATCACAGCTGTGCGGAATCCCTCGGCCACCAGACCGAAAGCCGCCCGCAGGCCAGCTCCTCCTGCTCCGACGACGATCGCGTCATAGGCATGGTCAACCACCGGGTACTGCTTAGAAATCTTGTCCGGATTCGCCGCCGAGGCCTGCTGGCGGCCGTGTGTGATGTGGTAGCTGCGTTGCACTCCGATTGCAGCGGCACGTTGCTGTAAGAAATAAATGAGCGATCAGTAATCCGAAAATATAACAGGTAAACGTTGAAAGGAAAAACTTAAAATTGTTTATTTCTTAATAGAAGATTTATAACTAATATAATTCCCCACATATAGCTGTGATTACTTTAATGACCCTCGCGATGCTATTTGCATTATAGGAGAATTCACGTATTTAAAAGCCTAGCTTGTCAATAAAGTCATCAAATCATGTTTGTGTTAGTCATTCAGCGATAATTCACAATAATTTGTGAAAAAACTTACGTAAACTTTTAAGATTACTTTCTTTGCTGCAAATGATTGATTTATCGTGTATTTTGAAATATTAAGTATTCGGTTTAATGAGAATACCCCAACTAAAAATATACATATCTACATATCAAAAATTATTATCTTATCAAAAGATCCATAAAAATTAAACGCAGGAAAATGCAAAAAATAATTGCAACAAAAATGACGACAATTAGTTATAACAAAATGAACACAAGACGAATAAGTAAGATGATATAGAAGTAAAGAATAAGAGAACCCACCCTTCTACTAATAAAGATCTAAAAATGTCGCCTTTAACTGAGAGGAGATAATACAGACAGAAAGACCGACTTGCAGTGATAACTGCTTATGTAATAAACAAATTATTTAATTGAACTGGATTTTTTCGGGAGATAAGGGGCGGGGATTATTGATCAGCTCAATTGTATAATCAGCTGTTAGTTTTGTTAGCTGGCCGACGTGCCTCCACCTCGCTCTCTCTTTAGCTCTGCCTCTTTTTTTGTTTTGCTACATTATCCTCTCTTGCATGCCGATTTCCCAGATTGAGCGGTACTTATAAAGCTTTTCAAGGCGTGTCGTTGATCGAAAACTAAATGTTTTCAAGTGCAGTTTGTTGCACGCATAGCGAAATGCACGATATCAGCGATTGAGAGGAATGGCACAGGGGGGCGGGGCAGTAGCATAACATAACCTCGCTGGTGCACACCTTTCTTTTCACTTTAAAATTACAAAAATTGCAAAATCCAACTCCGTAGGATTATATTCACTTTATCCTGAATATACTAGATTAGCGGAACGGCAATGTATAACACCTGGCAAACAAATTGCAGAGAAATTACATAACACAAGTCGGGGCAGCGCGTTTTTGGCCAAATTCATTGGACGTTTTGTTGTCACATCACGAGCGCAAAGAGTTCTTATAGACTCGGTTGTATAACCATTGTTTTAATATGTTATTTTCCAAGGAAAATGGCTAGTATCCTTTTCGATCGGCAACTTACCATGGAGGCGACTGCATTTTTGGCCAAAATCGATGGCACTCGCATGATTCCGGACATGATTGGCTGAGCTGCGAGGTTCTACTGCTGCTGCTGCAAGTTTCTGCAATAGATTGGACCGAAAATGATGGATTACGCGCTTATGACAGTGTTTTGTGTTTATAAAAAAAAACAAATAACTACGTGTGGCGATGTGCCTATGTGATCGAAAGGAAAAGTTTACAAACTTTCAAATGTTGTGTGTGAACTGCCGCTCGTCGGCACTACGGTTCGGTTCACTGAATCGCTCCTTGCGAAAATGGAACTAGAACCAGTTCATCCCGGTCGAACGGTGTCCGATTTAATGTACAATAGTATATATGCATTATATACCTGCAGATATATTTCTTTAATTAATTTTACGACCTTAACTATATACGTATTTATTTGCATATTTTGTATCAAAAGATAAACATCGGTTCATTGAACCGAAATCCAATGAACTTTTTCTAGCCTGCAAAAGTGACCAGTTCATAAAGGGGCAAAAATCTTTTAAATGTACAAATCAGCTGAAATATTGTTTATTGTGGGGTGGGTAAAATAAAAACATTACAAAATACAAATGCATGATTGTAAAAATATACAAAGAGATTACTGTCTTTAAGCGATCACGATTCCAAATAAATTTTGAGTGAGATTCTGGTATTTAATTCGGTGGCGGTTTTTTACCACAACGCTGAGCAAATTCTTCAGGAGTGAGGTCAGCCAAATGGTTAATACCCATTTTCCAAGTCACTTCGCCCTTCTCGAATTTCCGATTATGTTCATCAATCCGGGCCTTGGACTTTGCGTAGAGTTCACGCCGCATCTGATCCTCCTCAGCTTCGTAGATCTTGTCGAACTTGGACTATGGAATGTGTACGATTAAGGATATTGCGTTGTATATAGGAATCCTTACTTTGTACTCCACCCACTCTTCATCTGTTACTAGAGACATCTTGACACTTGTAATTTTGGTGGCAGACTAAATTTTGTTTCAATTCTGAGGTTTTATCACAATTTTGCACTGACTCACAACATATAAACACAACAAAGAAACGTTAATACAGCTGATCAGCGTTGCCATATTATCGGAATTTGAAACATAAACAACAGTAAGGCCTCGCTTTAATGATTTCTATGTCCGAAAAAATTATATATACTGGTTTCATTTCTTACGCTAAATAATATAAACGCTTTTCCAAATCAATGTTTACGGTGCACATTATTTAATTTGGTTATGATCGAAAATTTGAATCCAGATATATGTAAGTTTAACTTAAATTACTCAAGTATGTTCATTTCTATATATGCACATATCGAACACGGCGTTATATGCATACATTTTTAAAATACCATCCATTTGGTGGGAATGAACTTTCCCATAGAAAATCAAATTAAAAAATAACATTTCCATATGCTTTTGAATTTTGTACAATTTTCAAGTTTTTATTTATTTCGTGTTTGCTCCTTCGTGTGTATCGTGTTTTTAATAATACGAATTTAAATATATATATTTATATGCAATTTCTTACACTCTAAACGAATTTTAAGAAATAACTTTCTGGCTTTTCGTTTGCTTTTTTCAAAAGTTTTTTATTATTATTTGCACAGAGTGAGAATATTGACAAATTTCTAAGGTTAATCTAAAGACAAAATTATACAGACTTTTTTGCTTTGTTGACGCAAAAAAGTTGCTAGAAATAAGCTTCTGTCGTTGCGCAAATAATCAGTTTAATTATACTTTATATAATTATCGTAAGTATTCATTTTGCTGTTTTTGTCTAAGGCTCAGCAATGCATATATATTTTGTAAGGAGTTGTGTTTTTTGTGAATGGGTGGGTGGTTGTGTGAGTGGAAAAGCAGAAACATTCAATATTTATCTGACTTTAATGATGTTCGGGGTTTAAAGTTTAATGCAGTTAATTTGAAATTTAAATGCGATTAAGTTGTGCCTTAAGGTTTTACATGCTATGGCAGTCATTTAAGTTAGTTGCAGTTCTCGTTATCGTTCTTTTTGAATGTATAAAAATGGGATAGCGATTTTAAATCAAGCACATCTACTTACAAAAGAAATGCTGAAATTTGAGTTTAAGGGAAATTTCCTGTTTTGCCTGCGATGTGTTTCTGCTTTCCTCAGATAAATCGCATGATTTAGTGCGAGTGTGTTTTTGGATTTTCGTTTTCTTCATAATTTATTGGTTTTTATAAATATATATATGTATATGTAGGTATAAACAATTTTACGTACATAAAAATATATAATTATTTATATAAAAAACTAATACAATTGCTGCATGTATACATATTTATTCATTCGTTTGTGTGTGCAAAGTGTGGCTGCGCGGAATTTAAAACAAAACAAAAAAGAACACAAAACATAAAAAGCGATTCGACAAATCACACACATGCAAAGAATATCAAATTGTGGTTGTTTTGTCATCGATTTTATTATTGCATTTATATAAAAAATATTGCATTTAAGTATTATTATGTGTACATAAGCATGTACCACGCTTCTATGTGTCTAAAGACAAAAGTTGCCTTTGATTTAAACAAATCTTTGCTGCCTGGGAATTCCGACCCTTTCCTTCTGTTAATTTTTCTTTTACTATGTAATGTGTTTACGTAGTTTTTTGTTTTTCTTTTTTAAAAGCTAATACATCTATAAGTTGTTTTTTGCAAATTTACTTGTATAGAACAAAGTAGCGTGTCGGAGATATTGCGTCTGAATCTGCAAATTCCCTCCTATCGTTATCATACAAATTGTGTGTGGATTGCATTTGCTGTTCGGGTGCCTTGGCCATTGTATAAATTAAAAATTAGAATTATATTATAATAGATATAAGCTGTGAATGCGAATTGGGGGAGGGAGGGAGGATATCCTCTTAGATGCATCTTAATCGATTTTAGCTGCTCATTTGTTGCTTATTTAGGCCTCTCTCTCTTATATAATGCTTCTTCTGCTGATCTGGGCTACAGTTTCCTTTATCTTCGTGGTTTCATTCATTGTCGTTAGTTTACTCGGTTCCCGCTGATGGTGGGAGGGTGTGTCAAGATTTCTACTCCTACTCCTACTGGATTCCGCTCTACTCAGCCATCGAAGCCCGCTTAGGCCTCGGCCTTCTTCTTCTCCTTCTTCTTTTTCAAAAACGAGGGTGTGCGCAGGCCCTTCTTCTTCTTCTTGTCTTTCTTGGGTGATCCGTCCGTGGAGACATCCTGGAACCGTAATAGAAATTTGCAGTGAGAATATCGGTTGCGCTTCGGTTAGTAAAATTAAATGAGGTTAGCAGAATGCATGATATATTGGAAGCTGATAATCCAAGCTTCAACTTGTGAGTTCGATGAGTGATCACTGATCTTGGTACTTGGTACTGATGAGATGTACTTACCTCTTTACTGCTCTGGGAGAAGGTGCTCAAGTGTGCCTCCGAATGATCGCCATTTTGTACGTTTTCACCTATTGCAAAAGGGTCGAAGAAATACATTAATAAAACTGTTTTGCAAAACAAAATAATTTGAATTTCCTACAAATGTAACTCAGTGGACGCACACACAATATTCGATATTAATAATCGCAATTACTTTCACCTTATGAGACACGCACAAATAAGAATCTAACTAAAACATGTAGTATATGTATTAAATGTATTGGGTGGTGAGAGTACATATAAATGGAGTTTGGGTTTGGGAAATGAAATACAAGGACCATGCAGCAGTAATCAGCATTAAATATTAAGAAGCAAGCAAACATGCACAAACTACAAACATAAATAATAAATGAAATAATGTTACCTGGACACACTGATTAAACTAAACTAAATTTTAATGATGAGCGAGGGCGCTATGTCTTAAATTAGGTTTTAAGTTTGGTAATGAAAACGAAATTTATTTTATTTAAATGTATAAAAAATAAAACAAAATTTAAGATTCGACAGGAAATTAAACTTAACAATTTCACAGAGGATTTAAATGTACAACGGTTGGTTTGAGATTCAGTGTGAACTTTGCATTTTCACATGGTGATTTAGTTACTTTCTTAACATTAAATTTAAGAGAACAAACGAGTAAAAAGTGCAACAGTTTGATAATCATCATTAAACCTAAGTTAGCGTTTTTATCCATAAACTTTATAGTAACAAAAGTAATGATGTAAGTTATGTATCAAAATCTGAGTATATCTTAGGACATGGCAAGTCCCTCGGCCAACTGCGAGATGCGAGCCCGACACTCGTGTATGATGGCATTTTTGTGCAGCATGTGGGCAGTCACCACGCTATTAAGGAGACGCTCCAGTTCCTTCTCCAGACTGCTGATTATATCATTTAAGGGCTCACCGTCCACTGGCAATGGTGGAGAGTCTTGAACTGGTTTTGTCGGAAAGTCGCCCACAGCCACATAGCTATAAGTGTGGCACAGCTCTGGCGCGGAGTTGCTGCGCTGCACCAAGGACAACGAAGAAGGCGGCGCCGGCGGAGGCATGGATGTGGTAGGAGGTGTGGCTAGCGGAGCCCTTGTTAACGGCTGCTGATGGAGCAACTCCGCCTGGCGCTGCTTAAATGCGAGTTGCTGCGATATGTAATGGATCTCCTCATCGATCACCCTCTCTAGTTTAGCCCGGAACTCCTGCTCGTGCGTCTGGACGCACTCGGCATTACGCAATGACACGTTGATCAGTATTTCGATAGTTGCTGGCGATTGTGTGGTGGTGGTAGTCGGGGTGGGCGAGCTGCTCAAGGTCAACTTGATATGCTTGCCGTGAGTGTAAGCCTCGGCCTCCTGGGTGGATGAATCGTTGCTGGTGGTGGTCAGGCGTGGGCGCCTGCCGCTCGTTTCGCCCAGACCACTGTCTCCAGTGCAACGAAAACCTTCCTCCTGCTCAGCCTCGGGTCGCTCCCGATCCGCTTGTTCTCGGTCATTATTATCGGTATTTTCAGGAAGAACATGATTACTTGGTAAAAAGGTGTAGCTGCGATACAGACCGCTGTCCTCCTCTCGCCTCCGAGGCATATTGATAGCTAGGCCGCCCATTAAGGATTCCAGTTCATCCATACTGTCTACATCTAGGCCACTGCTGGTTGTGGCACTATAAATCCGCTGTTTTCGTTTTGGAGGTGTGACTTCCAACTGGATGTGCTTCTCAGAGACAAAGGATTGTGATTGGGATTGAGCCCAATTGCAGTGGGACTGGGTAGGCGGCTGAGTAGCTGTCACAACATTGAGCAGCTTGCGGTTATCCAAGCTTAATGTCGTTAAATCGATGAAGGACACAACTTTTTCGCGCTGCTCGGCCACCCGTTGCCAGATCGATCGATGTTCCGGATGCAGCAATATGGTTGGCGACGTAATCAGTGGGCAGTTGAAGCCAAAGTGGGAGATTGTGCGATAGGGAGTTGAAGAAAAACCCGTAACGGACTGATTCCTTTCTTCCGGCAATGAAACGGAAGCAATCTGATTCCGAATGGGGGTACTACTAACAAAGGATATCTCATTGCCCACAAATCCAGTTACATTTCCATCGTGATGAATGCTCATATTGCCATCGTGGACTGGCGGATAGTTATGCTTGCTGACGGGTTCGACCTTGTGTATGACATAAATCTTTTGCTCTAGTTGTCCAATTTTGAGAGAGGCATTCATGTAATGCCTAGGTGAATATAGGAAGGCATACTTTTGGGCCAAGTGAAAGATAAGTGCTAGAAACAAAAGGGGGGGTATTGAGCGCAATAAAAAAGATGTTAAGTATGATTCTGAGCATCTGAAGTATCCGAGTAACGCTCACGACGGACGGGATGTACGGGAATCAATATCTAACACTGGAAAACAGGTGTTTACAATTCTAAGACATTGGGAGGGGGTATTTACTACTAAGACTTATATAATATTTCATTAAGATTACAATATTTTCTTTTTAAACATATATTATAACATGTATTTCTTTGCCCCTTAAAATATTAAACCCTTAACCGTAAGTAGATAGGTTCACCAATATATCAACTTTTATTTTCGCTGTAAACCACATTACATTACAACATATGAGTTCAGAATAAATGAAGGATTATAATGTTACTTAAAAAATTACAAAATAAAATCAAATTAAAGTTCACGACAAGCAGTGTTAAAATCATATGCAAATATAAAATGCAGAAAAAAAAACTCAAGAAAGAACTCCAATTCTGATCTTCTGTTCCTCAATATTTAAATTCCCAAAAAATAATTTATTTTTTATCATCTCCTGGTTTCTCTGTCTCTGGACCACTGGCCTCATCATCTTCCTTTACCAACCCATCCTTAAAACTTTCTATTGTCTTGATATTTTCATTTGATCTCTCCTGTCTTTTCGGCTCTACCTCCTGGACAAACATATTCAGACCCTGTACAACGCAAACTGTATCCAGGGTGACGGAGTCCACATCTTCATCAGTTGAAAGCTGGTTGGTCTCCGCTCCGCCATCTAAACGATCTTTTTCCATCGCCGCTTTTGAGGTTGAGGGTTCGTCGTCATTGTTAGCCAAACCCTTATCATTTTTGGCTTTCACCACACTGATGACTTCCTCATTGCAGTAGTCAGTGTCATTGTCAGATTCGGCGTACCTTTTCTCCATTCGATTTAATTCGTTTGCTGAGGAGAGGAATTGCCCGGAGTCGCTGCTAGATCGATTCTTCTTTTTCTTTTTCTGTTGCCTATTTTCCGGATTGGTTTCTTCTCCTCCGACATCATCACTTCCCCTAAAATTTTGAGATTTTTGTTGGGCCTCTGATCCACCAGTTAAACGTGTGGGCTCTTCCAAAGATGTTTCATCCTCGATTTGGCTAGAGAAATCTGGCTGCGATGTTGTTAAATCAGAATCGGTTATAACCTGGTCCTGGCTGTTCGTTTGGGATTCAAAATTTGTTGATTCCATTTCCACTTTCTGGGACGATGAGTCTTCTGTTTGATCGTTAGCTGTCATTGTCATTTCGAAAGATTTATCGGATGAATTATCTGGAAATGGAGAATATTCTGTGACATCCTGAATAGGTTTCGGTGCAAATTGCATTTCTCCTGGATCCTCTTCGGTTGTTTCTCCGCTTGCCTGAGTGGATTCTTCCTCCTCATGTGTGTTGTCATTTGCGCTGTAGTACACGGAGCTATTAGTGGCATTTCCTTTATTATGCGAAGTCGGGGATTCCTCTTCACTCCGCTCATTATCCACCTGCTTTTCCTCCTGACTTTCCTCCTCCATCTGAAAGGTGGTAGTTGAAATGTTATCAGAATTTCCAAGTTCTTCATCAGCTATAAAGAATGTACTACTGGAAAGAGTTCGATGCAGGGATAGATTCGATGAGCTTAATTCTGGATTTTGGGCACGATGATTTCCCCCATGCAGATGCCGACTTAAAGGCGGAAGAGTAATCACGGGCTTGCGACGTTTGGCAAACGGCGAGGACATGCCACCGCGAACGGTGTACAACGCCCGTGCAGAACTCTTCGCGTTATCCCGCGTTTGATCTGATGTTCCGCGTGGAGGTGTTGGCAAGGAAACCCATAAACGGGCGCCACTGTCCCGCTGTCCACACTGAAAGGCGCACACCGACGATGGTCCCGATCCGGGAGAAGTAACTATGTTGCTCCTATGTTTTCTAATTGATCCGGTGGCACTTTTTGGCCTGCTGGCATTGCGAATGTTCTCCTGAATAAAGTTACGCTTTCTGCGCGGACTGCTCCTGCACACAAAAGTGGTGGAGGAGATGATTCGCTCTAGAGGCGTCTCTTCATCAGTGACTTTATGTTCCTCCTCCTCGTTCTTCTCACTTTGCTGATCCTCCGACCAGGATCGCGACATCCGGGGCGTTGGTCGGGTAACAAGGTGATTATGAGCCATAGAGCTACTAGGAGCACTAATGTTATGAGCAGACAGCGAGGAACCACTCGGAGTCATAGGGGTGCCCTGTGTTGGGTTAGGGTAAACATGAGTGCAAGTGCGAAAGATCTCCTCAGTGACCAAGTCTTGCAGTTTCTTAGGCGTCATTTTGTTACGAATACTGTGATCAATCTTCTCAAATATGGGCTCGCTCTCGCTAAGTCTCTCGTCCTCAATGCGCTGGAGGACCTCGCGCTCAAGCGGAGTGAAAAACTGGTTGTCGTTCTCCAAGTTACAGACTTCCATAGTTTCTCCAGTAGTCTGTTGAAGTCCCTCCTCTACTTCCACGTCATCGATGTCTTTCTCATCGTGACGATCCTTCTCTTTATCAGTGGACTCCTCTGGCTCCGTTGATATTGGAGTCACTGGTTTCTCGTCGTCGCGTTTTTCCTCTTGTTCTAAGTTGATCGCTGTGCAACTATTGGAATTGGAAGCCAAAACTGGTTCATGTAGGCATACATTATCATCGGCATTAGGAATGTTCTCCAAACTTATCGAACGGTATAAAGAGCAAGGAACGACTGGGTCTACTTCAACAGGAGAGCTGGTGGTGGTACATGCTTCATATTCCTGCAGCTTCATGGTGGTAGCCACTAACTTTTCTAAATTTTCACCTGCTACGGTTAAACTTTCTTCGAACTTCTGCAGGATTTTTGGTAATTCGTCGCTTGCTTCAGTCAGGGTCTCATCCTGGATATTATCAAGCATAACATGGGCCTCAGTTTCATTAAGATCGCCATTCTCCAGTTCACGATGCGTGCTCAATTGATCATGAGAACTAGGTTCTTGATCATCTATAGTCTGTTGCTCGTGCTGCATCTGCTCCTTGGCCTCAAAGTAATCGACATGTTCTTGCCACAGCTCTTGGAACTCAGACTTGCGACGCTGGCGCTCTTCACGGCACATCAATTGACGATCCACTGGATTTCCAACTACTTGTTCACCAGTCGGTGTCTCCTTTATTTCCAAGGTAATCCTATGCTCAGTCAATGGCCTCTGCACAAACTCATCGGCATAAGTCGATATTAACTTGTCCTGTGGTTCCAACCAACGCCCAAAGCTCCAGACTTCCGTTATATCAGCTTGCTGTGCACCGAAAATCCTTTGAGGAGCCACACTGGTGGCACTAGCAGCCACACTTGAAGTTGCCTGCTCCACCAACATAAGGCTATTATCACTATTGATGTGATCCGGATGAAAATTAACATTCGTCGATTCTTCCGAAAAGTTGAATCTTTCGATCTGCCGGAGGAAGTTTATGGTGGATGAGGCGGAGGACACGTCTTGAGTTTGTGTCTGTGCATTCCGTAGGATCTTTGGAAGTTCGGGCAATGCCAACATTTCCCCAAAATTGTCGTATAGCTCTGGCAGCGTTGGCAATTGACGGCGCTGCAAAGGAGTACTTCCTGCGCTGGTCAGCTCATCTGCACAACTACTAGTAGCTGTTCCGCCTCCAATCCTCTGCAGCTCGGGCTTAAGGCGCAGTAATTTGTCGAAGCAAACCTGACACAGCTGGTCATAGCGAGGTGTGGCGAAGATCTCCTCATAGCTGATGCCTCTCTGCATGGGCCTGTATCCCAGGGCCTGTTGATCCCTTTCCTTTGGCAAATGCTTATGCTCAGTGTGTGGTTGCTGTCGTGGTGAATTAAAACCAAAATGGGATCCCGTGCGATAGGGTGATGGTTCCATTATATTCGCTGGCTTCAATGGCCTACGAGATGTGCCCGAAGAACACGTCGCACTGGTTATAGTACATGTACTGCCGGTAGTGGCAGCCGAGTGCCCAGATCCACCGCGATAACAACTGGCCAGGTAACCCAACTGCTCGCTGTGGAGAGCCCGCAGCAAAGCTGAGCACACCTGCGGTTGGGCGCAGTGTCCCAATGAAGTGGCGTAGACGTAGGAATATATCTGCTCAGGTGGCGGTATAGGATCCTCAGCTTTAGTTGGAAATAGATCCCGCCGGCACTTGCTGTTACCGGTCGAGATCCTGTCCCGCCCACGATGCTGATTCTCCTTGTCCCCTTCATCTATCTGAGATTCTTTAATTTCATTATATCCTGGTCAGAACGATGTTAGGGTGATTGGGATGAAAGAGCCGAAAAATGGTCAGTAAATATTTGTCATATGCTAAACAAAACTTCGAAGCCAGCATCTTGGCAAGTGCGGCTCTCGAAATTCATACATACATAAGGGCAATACGTACTGGATTACATATCCATAGATCTGAAAAACAATAGATCCTGCTTTTCGAAATATATATCGTTTCTGGAAGTCAGTCCTAAAGGGAAGCTCTTAAGTATTAAGTTTCCTAACATAAGAAATGGTGATGCATCCAAACCAATTGAAATGAGATAACCCAACCGTCATGTCTTGTTTCTTTAGTCCTATGATGTGTATTAACCTCAAACTATAGCTAGTGTTTAGTTTTGGTGCAGCATAAACTTGCCATGGGCTTGTGGATTATATGGGGGTTATATATAAATATATACCATTAACAACGAACTGTCAGGGGCTAGTGGATTATATGGGGGATTAGATTATGTACACCAAAAATACGAGTAATATTTCAGAGATTATATACAGTGGGCGGCGTTTAGCCTGAGTACATTGAAGGGTGTAAGAAGTAAGGGGTATCTTTCGATCGGGTCTTGGTTCGTTACCTCGGCCTGTTGGCGGCTTGCGATTTGTGGCTGTGTGAGAGCGTTCGCCGTTTATAAAACTAAGAGTGGCTAAAATAGTATTGAGAAATGAAATTATAAAATCATATTCAGCGCAAGTGAAACGCCAGACAAATGTGAAACAGACGTAATTAGGTGACTTAAACTAGGAATACGTACGTATAGTATTGTGTTAGATTTAGTATCGATTAAGCATGCTTTAGAATTATAGACAGGGATTACTTTTTGGACTAATATAGCTGACTAGGCAACTAAAGAAGCAATCAACAGAAAACAGCTGCAGTTTAAAATAAAAAAGGGATAAATGTAGTTAACACGGAATAGAGATCCCAACGAAAGTGAACAGAGCAAGCTGCAATTGAAATTCTTGGCTAACAGCGCTTAATGTGATTCAGCTAAGAGCATTCGGCAAATATTATCATGACAGGTTCAATGGGGTTTAGTGTGCAGGTGGGGTGGTTTATGTTTATGTTATGCTGAACATATTTTCTATAAACTATTTTCTTGATTTTTTTAGTTTTTGTTAAGAATTTCATTTTTTTTTTGTCGTCTACACACTAAACCTCTTGGGGCTGCACTCACCTCCAACTCAAAAGGGGTTTCATTTTAAACTGCTTATTATTTATTTTGTTTATTTTTGTGTTATAGAGCGCAGCAGCCGCAGAAGTAGTAGTAGAAAAGGTAGTATGTAGTAGTAGTGGGGTAGTAGTAGTAGAATTTTGTGTTCTGTTGATAGCTTCGGTTGCTTCTTGTTGTTGGTTGCTGGTCTTTCGTTTTATTATAAATTTTTGATTTATTTTACTGTAGAGCCTACACACACTTCGTTCTCAATTCAATGCTAACTAGTTTTTCTTTTAATATTATTGCTCTTTAAGCTGCCAATTTATTTGGTTTTGGGCTTTCTTCCTATGTGAAAACAATAGAAAGGTAAAATTTTGATTTACAATTAGCCGAATTCAGGAAATCAAGCTAGAATTTTGTATAAAAAAAAAACCAAAATGTAACTAAAACTGCAGCTTTACTACTATAATAAATCGTTTTTTTTTGTTGTGGTTTTAAGTTGGATTGTTGTTGTGCTGTTCTATTGTTGGTTGTTGAAAGTAAAAATCATTTAATGCACGCCGGACAAAAGTTGGTTCCTTGGAAGTATTTTATAAGGATAAATTGTATTGCATAATAAAAAGGAACTAATTATATAAAACTGAATAACAAAATAAAACTGTGATATGACAGTTTAAGGGGAAGTGTTTAACAAAAAGGAAAGTTAAAATATTAAATCTACTATATAGATCCTCCAAAATTCCAAATTTTGTAGATCTCACAAAAAGGATGTTGTGACGGTATCAATGGCTACTAGTATCTTTTTGTTAACTACGTTTGGTTGTCATTGAAATGTGTGTAGTTTTGGCCGTGTGTGTATTTGTGTGTTGATAATTATAGTATGCGAAAATACAGCAAATAAATAAACGAAAAAAAGGGAAAATGGCATAAGAGAAGGTTATTAAATGTTAGAAATCCAATTAAATAAGTATACCAAATAATCAACTAAGGTAATAATTAGAGGTGGAGAAACATCGATGCGAACATCGATGACATCGATGTTTTCGAAACATCGGCAACATCGATGTTTACCGGAGGAACATCGATGTTTTTTCTTTTCTAAGGCACATTGATTGATTGGCGAATTGTAAGTACATATATAACTTAATTTAATGGCTACGCTTATAAAACGTTAGCTTAATAATACTTCTGCGATCCGGCATCTTCGTGCGAATCTGAAAGAGTTTTCAGTAAAGCTGGACAACTTATAAGTGAACGTCGCACGCGGCTATCATCGACCGTTGTCGATAAGCTCCTCTTTTTATACAAAAACAAAGATGTAAATAAATACACAGATACATATGTATATGTGTATATGTGTGTATGTGTATATGTATATGTATAAATATACATATATAGTAGAGTTCGGAATAGTAAGTATAGTAGGAATATCACATTATCCAAAAAAACTATTATTTTCTTTGGATCATGTATGTATATATTGAAACATTGATATAAAAATTTGTTTTTTTGTTATTATTTACAAACTAAGAATATGACAATATACCAAAGAAGTAGAACATGAATATCATGAACAGTTTTATTTTAATTTGTTTTTCTTTTCGTTTTTATTTAATAAGTGATTAATAAATTGGATATTTTTTGTTGAAAATTTGACTTTTAATTTTTAAACATTACAAATTAAAATAAAGTTTAAATACATTAAAATAACTGCACATTTTTTTTATTTAAAACATCGATGTTTCATCGATGTTTTCGCCAAAAACATCGTAAACATCGATGTCCGTGAACATCGATGTTTCTCCACCTCTAGTAATAATACTATAAGGTTTAAGGCTACTTAAAATACTTATAAAATATAAGAGCTTTCTTCAAGGCCTTAGTTAATAATTAATAATAAAAAATAAATAATAAGGCAAAATAAATAAACAAAACGAAAAATGCATCAAAAGGTATAACAATTGGGGGATAACAAAAGAACTTAACAAAAACAGAATAAAAACTTTGAAATTTCGTTCACATGATGGCTGGGAAAAGACATAACTCTTGGACATGTGTACTTGGAAATGTTTTATAGTGAGCGTGATCGAAATATATTATAATTTTATATAGTAGATAACAACAATGTAATGAAGAATTCGTAGTACACAAATGGACTTACCATCACTCAGCACTACTTCCGCCTGTCGTGGCACTGGCGCTTGCTGTGTTTGGATCTCAATGACCTGGTGCTCTGAAGTATTAGAAAAACACACATGAGTTTCCGGCTAATGGAATGGTTTTGTAAATAGTTGACTTACCGGTCTCTGGTTCACTTTGTGGGTATTTCTTTGTCCCCGCCTGCAGGACCGCCTCTGATTCCGAAAAATCTGTGTCGGTATCTGCAAGAACATGTTTATTTAATATATATTTTCCATTACTGAATGTTAAAACTTACATTCACCATGAACCGATTTCTTCTTACGCTCCACTGTGCGCTTGTATTCATTGAGTTCATCGTCCGTAACATTGTCGAATGGGTTTTTGGCATACGGAGCCTTGTACACCGTGGCATTGTGCTGGAAACCACGCTGGATGATTCCCTTGGAAGCGGCACCCATCATGACCACATGATCGCCGGTCTGTGAGACTGTTGCATCCTTGAGTCGGCTAGCCTCATCCCATGTTACGCCCTCTAGAATATGCGACTGTGGTCCAGCGGAAATCTTATCCGCCCGGCGATTGTCCTTAATCTGTTTTAAAAAAGCTTCCAGTTATTAAAGAAATTCAAGAGGTATTAATCGTTTAAGATACTGACTAGTTGCTGGACACGCTTGAACTCTCTTGGATTTGTTCCTGCAGGCACAAACTGGAGTGGATCTTCTATCCTCACTGGCGTTGAATGGGTGGGAGAGCCCTCAGCCACCCACTAAGAGATTATGTTTTAAATCGTAAATTATGTTTTGTGGAGAGGGTGGGGTGTGGGGGGCAATGCAAATAGAAAAGAAAGAGAAAGAAATTTGTTTTTAATGTTGGGTGATATATAAAGAAACATTCCCATTCAACATCTTGAATCAGGTTTTACACATTTAGTCATCTAATTTAAGTACATTTACTTTAATCTTAAAATTAATATTAGATTTTAGGCATTCCATTGCAAGCTGTTTCATTTATATAGATATTCAGTAAATATGTTTTTAGCCCTCTTAATATCTCACATTTCTATTTATATTTTCAATGAACAAATAAACATAACTTAACTAAAATAACAAGCATAAATGATTTTGTGCCTTGAAAAACAATGAAAATAAAATAATAAACAACAAAAAAACCATAAAACATGCAAAGAAAGTTTTTGTTGAATGATAACAAACGAAATGATGAAAAATGAAATCAATGAGTGAAATATAAAATGCTGTTTTATTTATTACGCTGTGTTTAGTATTCGTATTAAATTTCTTTCTCTTTCTTTGCATTGTTTTAGCTTTATCGTTTTGGAGGCAGCAAAATATCCCTAAAGGAGGCACAAAATCATCTATGCAAATTTATGTTTTTCATTTATTTTATTTATTTGATTAATGCACACATTACACAGTATTTGTTTGCTTGCTAGCAAAGCTTGTAAAATAATTTTGGTTTAGCACGAGTTCAAATTCTATTTCCAAGGTATATAAATATAAATATAAATATATAGATTTTGTATATTGTTTACTTTAATTTACTTAAACACTAAGAAATTTTATGCGTGAGTATAGTTGCAGCTTAGTAGCAAAGTCGGAACTAAAACTGAGTGCTAACGAAATGGAAATCATATATATGGGAGTAGCAAGTGGAATGTCTGGAAAAAGTTGAGGGATGCGGTATCCAACAATTTAAACTATTTTCCCTCAATCTCCTTAAGGCTGCTGGTTTTGGTTTGCTTCATATCTTCGAAAGTAATGATTTCTACCTTTGTTATCTTCTTCGGATCCGGAGTGCCGGTCTCCAGGACCTCGACCTTTTGGTAAACGTTGGGTGAGTTCAGCCACCGGCTGCGGTCACCTCCCTTGCGTATATCTCCCTTCTTCCAGATTCTGTTAATACGATAGTTACCATTAGCATATAATTTAAAGAAAAAATTATTTCAATAATCTTACCCTTGACGGAAGAGCTCCTCCTCTTCGAGAAGATAGCCCAGAGATGAAACAGCTGGCGGTAATTCCACATCGTTCTTAGGCTTGGGAGGATCTGATTTGATCAGAGGATGACGGTAGATATAGCCAGTGCGGTAGCCAGCATTGTCCAGCATGCGCATCAAGGCCTCAAATTCAGCACCGCCTACACGCCACTTGGGCGGACTGCCTACCTTAGGCACGGCAGCTTCAGCCGCTTCGGCAGCACCGTCTTCGCCTGCCGAAACGGCGGCAAACTTCTTCTCCAAATCCTCTGGAGGTCGGCGCGACTGCTCATAGATAGCCTTACGCGACTCCTCTGGAATCAGCACCAAGTTATCCAGTCCGACGGGCAAAAGCTTCAGTTGGGTCTCGCACGCCTGGACAATGTGGCAGGCGGCGAAGAAGGCTTCCTCGATGGTCTCGCCGCAGCATAACGCACCGTGGTTGGCTAGAAGAATGACCTTGGAGTTGGGGCCGAGGCTTCGGACCAAGCGATTACGCTCCTCCTCATCGAACAGGCCGGTGTAAGCGTGAGTGGTGATCTCGCCCAGGACACAAGCATCCTTGGTCAGAGGCAGCAATCCGGTTTTAAGAGAGGAAATGGCCACTACTGGACTGCAGCCGATGTAGATGGCGCAGCGAATATCTGGACGGGCAGCGTGTACCACCGAGTGGAGGACAAAGTCTACAGGAAAATAATTAAGTAATTAATTAGAAAACAGTAAAATTATATCAGTTTAAAAATTTGAACTTACGACTCTTGTTGCCGCCAAAGTTTGTGGTGCCCTGCTCCACGATCTGGCCCTGCATGTCCACCTTGTTCAGCGCCGAGGCAGTGATCTCGTGGTAGAGCAGGCCATACGGATTAACCAAGAAGTACTCCTGGTCGACCTTTAGTCGAGCCGTGATCTGTGCCCCCAGACCTTGGGTCCAGCCGTACAGATCGAGCAGACGGAATGTGGCAGCCAGCTTGCACCTGAGTATCTTTTCGCCCTTGGCGTAGCCCATGGACTCAACGCCTCGTATGTCATTGATGGGCACCATGCAGTTGCTGCTCTTAAAGACGCTGCCCACCCGCGACACCGGCACGCCCACAATGTCCGACAGCTGCTGCAGGATACCACTGGCACCAGCTCCTCCATCGCGGGCCGAATCCACGATACGCTCCAGTTCCTCGCGGAACAGCTTTGAGCCCATGATGGCCTCAACCCTCTTACGACGCTCCATTTCGCGCATATCCTAGGGGAGGGGAAAGTAAAAAAAAGAAGAAAAAAGAGCGAGTGAAGGGTGGTTATCCGTTAGGGCTTCGTCGCTTGCACTTACCTGTTCAATATCCGCGGGACGTGCTTTGCTGTTGTCATCATCTTCGCCGGCAGTGGGATCTATTCCATTCTGTGGCGGTTGCTCAACTTCAGTCATGATTTATTTTTCTTGTATTTCAGTTAAAATGCTGCAATTAAATGAAGGGGAAGGTTTTTCTTTATTTAGAAAAGTGCTTCTTGAACTTAACGCTCAGCTGGAAAATTTTCGACTGACCTTAAAAACTGCAGGGCAGTAGCACCAAAAAGGGGGTGGCAAACAAGAGAGACAGAGAGTCGTGGATAGTAAGAGAGAGAATGGAAAAGAGAGAGAGAGAGAGATTGGAGTGCAACCACCCAAGTGAGAGAGTCTCTCAGAGAGTGGAAAACTGACAGACTTTCCTGTGAATGACAAAATTAAAAGTGTTTTTGGGAGAAAGCAGAGAAATTGGAGGGGTGACAGAATTGGACGGCCGCATATTTCCACTTTAGTTAATGTCTAATTTTGGCCAATATAAATTCTCAATTTTAGGGGGAAAACTCTGGGGAAAATGCATATGTACATCCGTATTTTTCCCAAATACCCACGTGCTGAAGCGACAGCATAAACAGAATCGGTGAGAACTATTTTAAGATCCATTTGGCTTTTTAGGAAACCCAAAATTGATGCCTCGAAAATCAAAACGAATAGAATGAGCTCGCTATCTCGATCCCAAAATGAAAGAGCGAGAAACAAAAATAAATAAACAAAAAAAAGTGTGTTGCTCTTTTAAATCTTTAGGCGTGGTGCTTTCAAATACCACCAATATTAACCTTCAAATTCTCGTAAACATTCAGCATGCGAATAAACACTAAGGAAATAATGTCATCAACAAATCGCGCGGCTGAGATAACAAATCGAAAAACAATTTCTTGGCTCAGCCAAAATTGCAATCCGAGACAGCTAAAAACGAACCGACTTTATTCGATTCCGACATGACACACTTGAAGCAACAATAAACCATAATTAATGTGCATTATGCTGACCCGATTTCTTACAACTACACCCACTAGCATTTCTTTAGTTCTCCGCCCAATTAAAAACACAAATTTCTACAAAATATGCCAATTTAGAGAGGAAATTGCAATGAGCAAATGGGAAGGAAACGATAAAGACTGGTGGAAGTACACAGAGAAAAAGCTTACTTATTTAGCTTTAAGTGCCTACATCCTAATTTTAAAACAAATAAATTTCATTTTATTTTCGGTTAAACAAAGTCAAAAAGTACCTAAATTCAAAAAAATAAATATTTAATATAGATATAATATAATAGAAATATTTCTTCTATGTAAAGTATAACCTCATTCGTGGGCGGCGCCTTTGTAGTCGGCTTATAAGCTTAAGGAAAACAAACCTGCTCACAAAAAGAGAAAAGCACAAAGCAATTGCATTGCTAAAGTGCATTGCCAAAGGCTTTATTTGCTGCTGACTTTGCTGTTTTGCTAATTATGACGTATTGGCAACGCGTGCCGCATATTTTAGCTTGCTTTTAACAACAATATCGTGATGTGAAGGTAATTGAACTTTGCTGCCAACAGCACCTCACCGCAATGTGCGTGGGCGGCGGTAGAAGTTTTCAGTTTTGGTTGAAATAAAACAGAATAATGCTGAATAAACGCTTTTTAAGTGACTACAAAAAAGATGCAGACGAGCTAGGGAGTCTCGTATGCGTGGGCGTCAAATGAACTTAACGAGCCAAAGAGTTTTCCAGCGTAGGCTGATTCCGACTCCTCCAAATGGAGTTGAAAGTTGTGTAGGTGGCAAAAGGTTGATTAAAGAAAAGGAACAGAAGAGTTTCTATGGACCAAAAATTGGTTTCTCACGCAGTGCAATCTTAAACAATCTCAATGCAGTTTAAAGTACCTATACCAATGAAATTATAAAGAACTAGTTTAAGTGCTGAAACTACCTAATGTTGGTAGTTGCTAACCTCGGAATTGCTTACCAAATTTAGACAAATATGTCAATTGCCAACTTTATTTAAGCCTGCATAACATTTGGTTTATTGAACTTTAGCAATGCCAAAAAACTTCTCCACTCGCTCTCTCTTGGCTTTTTCTCTGTGACCTTTTTGTGCGGAAGACAATAATTAAATTTAGGAGCAGCTAACGCCACAGCGACGCCATCATCGTCGCCGCCATCGCGTCAGCGTCAGACAATTGTTGTTGACATTATGCAATTACATCACACTTGTTTGGTGCGGGACACACCCATGTCTTTCAATGGTTAAAGTGTGCCGGCTCCAAAACCGGCAGACCAAGAATATTTATAAATGTTGTACAGAATGTTGAGAATGCTACGAAGGCGAGGCAGAAAACAGAGACCTCACCGGAAAACAGCCTATTTAACAGTGTGATATTTGGGCAAGGTCTGCATAGATGATAATAAATAGAAATAAACTAATTACCTTTATAAAACAAAAGGTTAATAGTGGGAGCAAAATATTAATAACAATGTTTTCATGGTTTTCGTTTAGAAGCAAAAAATATGTTGTACTCCAATTAGCAGCTCAGGCCAATTGACCCAGAGAACCAAACACCCTCTATATATGATTTTCACACATACGCTGCCGGCGTTAATTAAATTTCCCAAGTATTCAATTATCGCGCAACGGAAGAGATCTTACGTAATCTTCCACTCCATCGAGCACAACCCAGACAGCTGTCCCATCGCCTCAAGTGCGAGATGTAAGAGCAGCAGGCAATAAGGTCGCTCGCAAATGATTTCATTCAGTTTTAATAATGCAACAAGTCACTCAGTCAGTCAGTGGGGCACATGGCCAGATCCAATGATGATGATGATCATCTGGAAAGATTTTTCAAGCCGCAAATAAAAAAAAAAAGAAACAGGAGACCACTCCCATATGGCGGCGACAACAATAAAAGTGAGAATAGTAACAAAAACGAGTCAATAAACCAGCGTCAACTGTAAATAATAATAATTTGTAGCCTGTCACTTATGAAAAATACAAATCTGTGCACCCATTCATTCATTGGGAGAAAAATAGCTTCAAGTTAGTTTAAATTCTAAATCACTATAGGCTATTCTGCCGACTCGTTTCGTTTTACCTATTTTTCAAAATGTCTAAAAGCAAGCCACGGCAAAAGGTGAATATTTACAAGCACGAAAAAAAATTAGAAAATTTGTTTCAGAATTGACCCTACACGTTTTTAATAAAACCTAATTGAGGCAAATCATAAATAAAATAATGATGAAATACCTCTAATATTGTTTGTATAAATTGACGTTGTGGCTCACTAGGATGACGCGCACACCGTGAAAATATATACGTTTTTTTCTGCGAAACATAGTCAAAAAGAACCAGCAATGTTTGCAGGTTCCACAGTAGAACGTTTCGCCCTAGACCATCCCCAAATTTTCTGACCAACGCACCAGAAATGACTAAGAGCGATAGGTTGGTTGCTCCGATACCAGTTGATATATTTCACTTTGGACGCGCTCGGCTCACAAGCAGTCGTGGCCGAGTGGTTAAGGCGTCTGACTCGAAATCAGATTCCCTCTGGGAGCGTAGGTTCGAATCCTACCGGCTGCGAATAGGATTTCTTTTTTTTTTCTTTCCTCTTTCAAGACTATAATTTTCAAAAATATACTACTATTTAACGTTTTTCTTTCAATTAAAAACCTATATAAATGGAAAAGTATGCACTTTTATATTATATTTTGTTAAAGGCACTATGGGAAATAGTTTATTGCGCTTGCTAAAAGCGCACTTCACGTATTTTTTAACTCAGTTCCTTTGCATTGATTTCCTGATCAAAAATATTATACAGTGATGATAGTCTGATGCCTATTTTTGCTACCCCTATTTGTTTGTGACACCAAAACTGTTCGGTGTTTGGCTGCTCCGCTTCCAGCTGTTTCCGTGGTGTAGCGGTTATCACATCTGCCTAACACGCAGAAGGCCCCCGGTTCGATCCCGGGCGGAAACATGTCATATTTTTTTTATATTTTCTTTACAAACATTTTTACTTTTCATTTAACATTGAAATGTTATGCAACATAATTTGAAATAAATAATACTTTTAAATGCATTTTCAGCATGATGAAATTATTTAATTAAATTGTCTGAACACACACATAAAAATGCATTGGAAAAACAAGAAATAATCCAAACGAAAGAAAAACCAAAGTGTCAAATGGTATGTTTTACTCATTCCCATTCGTTTTATTTTGTTCGTTCAATATCATTATGGAATATACTAGTGAGCTTTTGGCTGGCCTGGCTTCAACTGTTTCCGTGGTGTAGCGGTTATCACATCTGCCTAACACGCAGAAGGCCCCCGGTTCGATCCCGGGCGGAAACATGTTGACTTTTTTTTCTTCTTTCCGTGAACATTTTTTGAGTTTTTATATCTGGCCTCCATCTTTACTTCTTAAATGTAATTATAATAGTTTAAATATAGATAAGCAAAATGACGCGCCGTTTGTCTTGCATGATTATATTTCTGCAACCTGTCACCGAAATGTGTTCACTTTGTCTTTGGGCTTTATCTCTTCTCACTCTTAGAGACATTGGAGGCCGTGCGTGGAATTTCTTAATAAGGTGGTAGCAGGTCTTCTAGCTGTGTGGATTTTCTGGCTGGTCGTCTGTCTGTCTGCCGTCTGCTGCTGACTCTTCATCTGCCTCTTGCTAATTTTGTTTGTTTTGCTAACAAGCTGCCAGTTTGTCTGGCTCGTACCCGTTCGTTCTTCTGTTCTTCTCCCTTCTCACTTCAATTCATTTCTAGGGTCCAGAACCACTACTATCCGGCTACCGAAAGTCGCGTGTGAGTCGCGTGGCTTGAATTACAAAATCCGCACATAAATCTCATCAAAGTTGGCGGCGCCAACGCCCATTGTAGTATGAAAAAAGACTTGAGAAAAGTGCATAAGTACAACAATTGCTGCTGCTTCTGGTTGAAGGAAAACAAAAGTTAAGTGACAACAACAAGTGGTCAAGTTAAACGAAAGGAAAATGATTTATTTGCTTTCTTTAGGCAATTTGCTTTTCGTCTGTCCTTGATGTAACCCAAAACCTTTTCGTAGAGTCCAACAAAAAAGTGTTTCACTGCTTCGTTGTCTTTTACTCACTTGGCCAAAGGCCAGAAAAAAGCTTGCCCAATTTTCGTTTCTTTTTAAATCACATAAATTTAGTTTGTAAAATTGCCAAATAAACTTGAAATCTGCACAGTTGTTGAGGTTGGGTGACGTCCATCGTAGATAATTAATTAATAAATATAGCTTGGTGAATGGTGAAATATGAATGGCAAGGCACTCTGATAAAATGGTTTTAAAATAAAAAGGAAGTGACACTAATTTGGAATACTTATAAGATTACATTTAAGTAAGAATTATAGTCTTAGTTATTAATATTATTTTTATTTATTCTCTATTAAACTGGGTTCTGAAATAATCCTATTTGTGGAGTATGACATCATCCAGGACATTGTCGCACCCAAAACCTTCCCTCCTTTAACCCCCACGAAACTCAAATAAAACTTCATCCCTCGGAATATGACGTCACTTCCTGTCATTAACTCAAAACGAAACTCAAACATAAACAGCCAAGGCGGCACAAGCACCACCCAAAGCCGCCCACTCCAAGGATATTTTTACGACTCGCGTGGAAACATTTCCCGGCCGGCAATCTGAATTGGTGGCGCCACCATTCTGGCATTCTGTCATTTTGTGGCGCCCGCCGACTATCAGAATTGCATGGCAACACGACGGTAATGAAAATACCGGCCACAAAAAGGAAAACGAAACAAAAAAGGAATCAACACTGTAAGGACTCTAAGGAAAGCCTAATAAAAATTTGGGCGTGTCACGGGACAGGTATTTCCATAAGGAATCGCGCCTCATTTCACTTGTCCTGTGGATTGAGGTGGAGGGTGGGTGGTTGAACTCTGGTGACCCCCAACACGCGACCGGCATCGTGTGGCAATGGAACTTTTATAGCCTGCTGCGTGTTTACGGTTAGTTTGAGTTTCCCGGATAATCGATGGGAAAGCCCAACGACTAACACATGTCCTTTGCGACTGTAACTTAATCTTGATACGAACACATATTTGCAGCATTAAATGGGCTTTTAATTGCACTCCCGGTACAGTCTACATCCGGTGTGTTTAGTAATTATTGAAGGGCTATCGAAGGGTTGAACACTGTCGACAGGGCAGTAATCAGAATATGATGGTTATTACGGGTCGGTGAACCATTTTCCTCAATTAGTATTTTAGATGGGGTTACCAACTTGTCAATATTGACATTGTAGTGCGGAGGAAAAAGAAAATGTTTGCAATTTGGTAAATAGATCAAAGTTAAAAAATCTTTTTTCTTAGTTGCGAAAATGGAATTCCCATTAAACGCTTTTATATTTTCAACTTTTGTTAGTTTTTTTTCATTGATTGGCATTTGTGGAAAGCGTTACACTAAAATATTATAAAACTTTTCACCCCGATTGCCAAAGAATAAAGAACAAAATTGAAAACCAAAGTCGGTCTTTCAGTCTGGTTCAATGACCCATTTATGGAAGCGCTAGATGAACGCAAAACAATCCAATCTTCTCTGCTGTCTCTCCGTTTATTGCTCCCTTTATTACTGGCAATGTTTGCTGAAAGCCAGTGTACCATGCCCGAAGGGTAAATCACAATTTATCCATTGCACATAGATATGGAGATATGTATATAGCATTACGCATATCTATATACCATATACACAGAAATGGTCGTATATGAAACAGTCGGTATAAAAAGCGCCAAGCAGACTCAACGCTTAAGTGGCTTTTAATTCAATTTCAAGCGAAGCAGAAAGAGATCATAAAGAATGTATGATGTACCAAAAAGTCCAGTAAAACAAAGGTCATCCTTAATTGAATTAGAGGTGAAGTTATGCGTGGCATGTAAAGAGATATGAGATAAAAAAAGAAACAGCAAAGAGAGCTATCAATTTGCATTTCAATTACATGACACCTACATGTGTATATCAGCAGAAAAATCAGAGATAACTTTGTCATTCGGCTTATCGCACAACGTTAAAGAACCTCGCCCCCATGACATCACCTTTAGTTGTTGATTATAACATTATTATGAACATGAAATATAGAGAGAGAGGAAGATGACACAAATCTCCGCTTGAGTGCCGTAAATTCAAAATCATTTATTTCCCTTTGACGGTCGTGGCCTCGATTAGTTCTCAATTAGTTTGGCAAACAATACAAAAAAGAAAAACCCGGAATAAAATTAAATATAGCTCAAGTATGGCGTAAGCAAAAAGTTCAAAGTTGAGAGAGGTGTGGTTTCCTCTCCTCTCTCTCTCACTCTAAACTTCTCCTCGGTAAACAAGGGTCAATAAAAACGAAAGAGAGACCTCAATCACAATCATTGCAAAAACCTAAAAGCAAATATGTACCGGCAGATAAAATATAAAATAAGTCAAGAGAGAGGGTCTCGAGTTTGTTTGCTCCGTTTTGTTATTGTTTGCTTGCTTAACACTTGACTTTATGGGTGAGGTGAACAGCCGAATACATCTAAAACTCACCTTAAAATTGAATTTGTTGCGTGGTTATAATACTATTGATGTCTGCAAAGAAATATTTAAAAAATTGAGAATCAGTAAAGTGTAAACACAAAAGTTTATACGAAATATTTTCCTCTGAACCTTTGCCATAGTGACTAGACTTTTCAATGAGTCGAACTTGTTAGTTTTTAATGCGACTCTAATCGGTTTTCTTTGGCCAAATAAATATTGTAAAAAAAAATTCTGAGAGAGAGGAAGAGCAGTTTCCCTTTTCTCGACAAACAGATTTTCACGTCTTCCAATACAAACAGAGAGTTATTGAGATGCTGTGTCTGCTCTGCGGTCAGCGTCTCTGTTCGATGATGTCATGTGAATATTTTTAGTTCGGGCACGTTAAAATATTTTCGTACTACTCGTTATTTTATATTGCGCTTTGCCCAGACACACACACGCACACTCAGTAAATAAATACAACGATATGCGACTCTCCTACGAAACCAAATAAAATAATTGAATTATTGAGGGGGAGGCAGAAAGCAAACTGGAATTCTTCGGCAGAGGAAAATCACTATATGGAAAAAGCATGGTAAGCAGGAAAAATTTGCATATAAATTACCACATTACGAGCTGATAAGCATACAGTATGTCCGAATATTAATTAAATTTAATTTAATAACACCTTTCTCCGATGCGCTCAGGTGATCTTGCACATTTCTCTTGCCACGCACAATTGCAGACTGAAATTGGCCAATAAATGCGCTCTAAATGTTTCTGCGTGAAAGCCCAGACACGAAGCATTGGTGGTAATGTAATTTAGCAGCTTCTGGTGTTGATTTACAAACTTAGAGGATATAAACGATTATGTAATCCGCCTCTTTCGTGTGCTACACAATCGGTCGTTTCTGCCTCCTCTTTTCGGTTTTTTTTTTTTGTAATATCTTTGTTTTTTTGCATTATGAATTCATTTATGCAGCAACACGTTTGCGCTTATTGTTGCTCCGGTCTCTATTGTTATATGATGATAATAATGATGATGGTCTTTTTATAGAGCTTTATTGTTGCCCTCGTGTTTGGCAATGCTTCAATGCAGAGAAGTTGTTTGAAAACCAGATTTTTTGTTGACATTTGTGCCTAGTAAAGTGGGTTAGCTAGCCATTTAGAAAAAGTGGAAAATCGTCTGACAGAGAATTTCCAATTGGAAGTAGACGGAAGAACAATTGTAATGCCATTTATTGTATTATGGTCAGCCACTTGTCACGTTTGTCAGCCACAAAACCAAATTACATTTAATTCCATAGTATTTACATTAATTACAACAAATTGTGGCAATTTTAAGATACGAGAATAAAGAATGAAACAAGAACTGGTTCCCATTTCCCACGCCCCCACAACGGTAGAGAACGAAATTAGCCTAAATTCCATTTTAAATTTAGTTCAGTCGGATCAGACCGCCATAATAACAGGCTTTCAATCACTTTCAGCCGACAAAGACGGGTATACATATGCAAAGAGAGAGAGAGAGAGAGAGAGAGAGAAGAGCAGAAAGGCCCAGCGAGAAGATACAATTCAATTGAAGTTCAAGCGCAACAGAAGAAATGCCAGCAAGAAATGTTAAAGAAGGCAAGAAATGCAGACAAACAGCTCCTCCATCATCATCAACAACAACAACGCCGCTGTCTTCCCATCTTTATAGAAATTGTCTACATTTTTCTCTGCTTCGCTCCCCAACATTTTCAATATAATTATCCACATTGTTTTGTTTTCCTTCTGCGGGTTCCGAGCTTTTAGAGCTACAATAACCACAGCAAACAGTGACAAACCCAGTGAGTGCACTTTAAATGATGCTCTTATTATCTTCCATGATCTTTAACTTTCAACAAATCTCCATAAGACTAAATATTTTTTAAAAAGGTTCAAGAACCTTAAAAAACGTCAGAAAATAATTTTGGTATTATATTTTCCATACTGTTTCTTGTTATATTTAAATTATTTAATGAGAATATTTTCAATATAATAATTAACTTAAAATTATGATTGGTTTCAAAATTATAAAGTTTTTTTTTTTTTTAATTTCTTATCGAAAGAAGTACTTTCCACGCCTACTCAATAAAGAGTATTAAAGCTTCGACATGCATTCAACTCTTTTTTCTTATTTCCCTCCAAGATTTATGTTGTGTTGCAGCAGTTTGTTGTTGGCTGTGCTGCTTCTGCAACTGTACATTTGTTATTGCTTGTTCCTGTCCCTGTCTCTGCCTTCTCTTTCTCTCTCTTTAGCTGACTTGCAGTCCCAGGTTTATTGTTGTTCTTGCTGTTTTATTGATGAGCTGCAGTTGTTTAGCCAGCAGCAACATCTCTCTTTTTTTAATCTCGCTTATGTGTCTCTGTTTTGAAGCTTGGCACGTACGCCTCTTTTATTTATTTATGTGTGATGGTCTCTGGCTGTCTCTCTTCCCTTATCCGTCCCACTCTGTTGCATCTTCACGTCAATTTGCTTTGGGGCAGAAACAGAGTAGAAGTTTTTTTTTTTTTTGTTTGGTTTTTAGGGAGCCATAAATTTTAAGCACTCGCTCTTGGACAAATTTGTATTTTCGACTTTAGCCAGAGTTGCCAGACTGGCCTCAAAAAGGGAACTCCACCGCTCCATTAATCAAAATTATGCAGCTTTATCCTCCTAACCATTTTCAAATCAATTAATCACCAGTGATGTGACGTCAGTGGGAAACTTGATAAGCACACGCTTGGATAAACAATTTCCAATTCCCAATCAAAAGTCATTAGAAATGGTCGGGCCATCAAATGCATTTGCATTGACGGACACGCCTTAATAAAGGTTAGAAAGTTGGGAATTTCGTCTACTTGAAGTGCATTTCATATCTTTCTTTTTTTCTTGGGTTTTGTTATTGTTTCAGGGCTCACAATTTGGAATTTCCGTCTCATTTCCATACAAACATTTTTTTGTTGGTTAGGTTCCTCAACAATTGTTTACTGTTTTAACTATGCACTTCCTCCCGTCAGAATGAAACACACTCAGGAAAAATAAACAGCTGAATTCATGTTATTCTGCTTAATACAACTTTAACCCCCCTTGTCAACATTTATTTAAATATATGCATAATCTATTTTAATTCGTTATTTTAATATCTTATCAAAATTAATTATATTGTCTGATTTTATTTTATGTGGAGAACATCACATGATTTTTTTTTTGTGCAGACAGTCTGTCTGATATCCGCCGTTCCACTCGCACATTTATTTGTCACTTTTTTAATTCGTAGCGGAAGCAACGGGTTTTGTCCTGTTTTTTGTTAGTTTTTTTTTACACTCACACTGTTTTTGGCCTTCTCAATACTTGCAGTTACCACAAATAATGCCTCAGTGATTTTCGGAAATTCTCGCAATGCAACTTGCGGTGTGCAAACAAAATATATAAAAAAAACCTCAATTGAAACCCTCAACGAACGAGTCACGTCTAATTTGCGAATTGAAAACGGACAACAGAACTAGAGGAACAAATAAAAAAAAAACACGGGCACAAGTGGAAATGATAAGGGGTGATAAAGGGGGAGGCAGCATAAGCAATGAATTATAAAGCCCACTGTCCATGCGAGTGTGTGTGGGTATGAGTGAATTCGAATTAGCAACAAAAGCCAGCAAACAAAAAGAGCACATTTTCATTTTTTTTTTAAGCAATGTGTGCGAAATGACGTCATGTAGCGCACAATAGGTAGCTGAAGCAATGGAATTTTAGATTTCGATATGATGAGCATATAGTACAGGAAGTAATAGAAAACGTAGAAAGTGACTGGAGAATGGTTAGTTAGCTACTACCTATGCGAATAAAATAAATCCTTCTAACTAAATGTTTGATGTTGTTGTAACAAACGGTTGCTTATATCGAATCGGCAATCTAACCAGAAAACGTAACAAGAATGAAGGTTCCGATAAGATTGCCGCAGAACAAATACAGTCCAACTTCTATGACTTGCACCACTCAAAAAACAGTCATACTTCTGTGTTATAATAAACTCTTGTGGCTAATAAAAATTGGGCTTTATTCCATTTCTGTGTGAGTTTAATAAAAAAGAAATAGTATAAATTAGAATTGGCACAGTCAGACAGAAAAAACAAATCAACCCAACTGTAAGAACACACTTTGGCAACTATTAAATCTCGACTGCAGGCGTTGGGTTGCACTGACAAATAGCATAAACAAGTTTTCAATATTTACAAATCTGTTTATCACTTGTTGCTGCTTTTTGCTATTTACTTTGCTGAAAGACGAGAGGCCAAGGAGGAAAAGTGGGTCACAAAACTTGCCAACAGATGCGCGCCAGCGGGCGATTTATTAGCGACAAGCCAGCCAAGTGCATTAGACACACTACTAAGATTCGCTAGTGGCAATTTGTTGCTAAGACATAGAAAATACAAAAACAAAAATTGATAAAATCTGCGGCGAAAATCGAAAAAGCCGTATGACGTGCAACTGTATTTCTATTTTCTATAATCTGACAAGCGCATAGAAAGTCGGAGGGAGAAAGAGGCATGAATCATAAGGAAAGGAAAAGCACACGCACACACAATCACACCCACCCAAAAAAAAAGAGAAAGAGAGAAGAAAAGTGGGTAGAACATTAAGTTTAAACAGGGTTAAAGGGGATATCTGGAGATAGAACCTTCTTAAAAGTTGCACACTTAATATTTATTTATTCATCATCCTAATAACCTTCCTTATACCCCTTCAAAATGTATACTAATTCCACCACTGTGCTTTAAGCATAACAACAAAATAGACATATTCATACACATACACACCGTGTTGCGTGTGCTTGACCAAACCCAAAAAAAAAAACTACACTTATTAGAGAAGCACAAAAGATGGCGTCACCGGACAAATTACGGATCATCTTCTCTTAACGGTTTTAATTATGCACTTCATGTGGGAGTATTTATTACTTAATGAGATAACTGCACATAATCCCGAAAATATATAGAAACACTCACCGGTACTTTTCGAATTCTTCGAACAATCGTTGATCCTCCAGTGGCCACAAACACAGGCACAGGTCACAAAACAACGGTCACACTCACTATGTATGTTAGAGGGGGAACGCACGCGTTTTTTATATATATACTCTCGCTCTCGCACCTCGGTTTTCGGCAGCTATTTCATACAAACACACATATGTATGCCACAGAGAGAGACTATCAGTAAAGGGGAGGAGGGAGAGGGGTGAGAATTTAATAGATTTAACTTTGTATTGCCTTGAATACAATTTGTTTAAAATAAATTACTTATATGTTTTTGGGCTCCTTGCACTACACAAACTGTTAATATTTTTCAAAGATGGCCGCTGCTAACGGCACTTTGCACTGTTAATTTTAATTCTTTAAGAAAATGCACCAAGCACTGCTGCAAATAAATAATAATTGTATTGCCTACGAGAACTTAATCCAAAATCGTATCCGACGAACAGCGCACGTTGACAAATGGACGAAGAATGAAGCTCAAAAGAGAACGGCACACGGAGAGAAGCACAGAGAAAATCAAACTGGAAGGCGGGCGAGCAGTGTTAGGCAACGTCAATTAGAGATGTTAAAAAACATTTTAGCTTAAGTAGCAGACAGACAAACTGGCTTCTAAAACGGGGTTAACTAAATTTGGTAAACAATAAAATCAGTTTGCAATATACATTTAGCAAATTGAGCAAATTTATTCAAGAGATTTTGAAAAAAAAAAAAGCGAGTGAGAGAGTATTTCATCCTGCAACGCCCAAATATAAGCGCTTGTGTGTGTGTGAGAGAGAGTCAGAGAGTGTGTGAGTAGGAACGAATATTTGGAGCAAAGCGTAAGGGAAAATAGCGGTGCAAGTCCTTTTCGCCACCTTGACCACAAAAAAAGCGCTTCTTTCGGAACTCTCGCACTTTTAGGTATTCTTCGCACAAAAACTATGTCAATTAAGCCGCACACGTCGATTATGTCATATTATTTATACAAATACACTTTCACACACAAGCGCCGCGCAATATACATACATTAGAGTCTGAGCGTGTTTGTGTGAATCAACGGCGTCCCATTCTCATCGCCGGCAATGCCGTGAAAAAATCGATGAGCACTATGCCGCTCCGTCTTTCTATTTATTTTTTTTTTTTAATTTTATTCACTAAAAACTATCACTACTTTAAGCCGTCCACTAATTGCTTAATGGGTTTGAAAAACCACTGCTTACAATTTGTAAATGCTGTTTTTCACGAAATTTCGGCCGCGTGATGTCTTTCGTTTTCGATATTCGCTTCGAGTGTGATGGTGAAGGAAAGGCTTAAAAATACTCTAATTTAATTCTCAAAAATACCAACATATCGTTAATGGTCCTATTAATACGGTTTTCGCACTGCCTTGTTTATTGCGTGTAATTAAAAATAATAAAATTGTAAGCGGTTGTGTGTCGGAAATAAATTAAATATTACTTATTTCGATATTAAATATATGGTTTAAATTCTGTATTTGGAGATCTTTTCTTGTTGGTGTTTTTTAGATCACTGTATATATTCTGTCCTGTATATTCAGTAAATTTAAGTTTTTTCGATACTCCAAAATCAAAGATATATTATTTATGTAGCCTTAACGATACTAACATTTAGCAGAGACTCAAACTATGTAAAGTAACTTTTAATAGCGGTGAAGCTATCTAATTTCTGTAAATTATTAATATTATTCACAAAAATATAAATATACTTTTAAAAAAATGATAATTTATTAACACATTACTAATAGTTTTCAAGTTTATCATATACAAAAAAAATAACAAAAATATACATTCTTCGATAAAAAATACTAAAACTCGATAGTCCGACCGGCAGTCAGGTGTTGAGATTCAGATATAAATATTTGTAGTGAGATACCTGTGAAGGTGAGCGGATCCGTTACTGTTACTTTACGGTTGTGTTGTGATTTTGCTAGTGAAAGTGCGTGAATCAATTCGGAAATCGTTCTCTCGGCAATCAAGGTCCATTACAAATCGGGAAATATATTTATTAACAAAGATTGCTTTAAGATTTTGCAAAATCTCTTTTATTTCCCTAAACATGCTAGGCACGGGAATGAGCCAGGCCTAAAGAATGCATTAATTATCAAACCAGTTTGGGTTTCGCAGTAGAATTACCAATGCTCGCAAATACAATAACAGATGGGGGGCCCAACTAACATATTTTGTCCCAATTAAAGGCCAATTTACGATTGTGACGGAAATATATCTTATATATAGGCTGTACCTATGTAGTAGTTGCATTTTCAATGTCAATATCATGGCTTTATATGGGATAAGGAATGGAAGCCCAATCTCTCCGAATGGCGCACACCCTTTGAGTCACTAGAGAGTCTCATGCTTCCGAATGATGTCACACAATATAGCATATATAAACGGCTACATATGTATAAATACAGCATTATATATATGTGGAAACGTATGAATTATATTTGGGTGGGAACCGAGAAATTCTTGTCTCCAAAGTATAATTTCTATTTGATAAAACCCAATGCTAATGCTCGTTGCGTGAATTAAAGTAATTTCATTTAACTAGAGAAACCGTCACGTTGGGAATATTAACGCTTTGTAATACTCGTTAAACCATATTTATGCCTTTAGGGTGTGCTTTTAATTCCAGTGCTAGCCAAATAAGTAAATATGGACGAAATAAATATTGGACTTTGCTAACTAGATATCAGAACTAGATATATATGAATGGGTTTTTAATCTTTTGCGGCACCTTGCTTTGTTATTCACTTAAAAACTTTAATTTCAGATATGGATGACTTGAGGGGATTCTTGAGGCAAGCGGGACAGGAGTTCCTAAATGCAGCTGGAGAGGCTGCAATGGGAGCGGCCAAGGATGTGGTTGGATCGGTGATCAATGAAATCTTTATCAAGAAGGAGGCCGACACCAAGAGGGTTCTTCCGAGCATCAAGAATATGAGAGTTGTAAGTTGACCCACTATGCTATCATCAGCTATATACAGGGCTAAACTATACTAAAAGCTATACAAACATAAACAATCCATTAAAATCTCCATATGCATGTTAACAAATCCATTCTAATCAATCATTAGCGACCATTGCAATCTCAAAGTAATGGTACTTTGTACTATGGGAACGTAAGTACTTACTCCAGTCATCGTTATGGCATTGACATAATTCCCTTCCAAGGATAATGCGTTGCCAAAGTGTCGTACTGTGTTGTCCTTGTGTTGTTTTTCTTTCGCATGTAAAAGTGTATACAGCATCCTCGTTTATAAAACTTTATTACACAAAAATATACTCTGTGAATACATCTACTCTTATATACATATATTACACATATTTTGTTGGGTTCACTTAACTAATACAAACTATTTTTTAGCTCGGAGAGAAGAGCTCGAACCTTGGACCATATTCCGAGGTGCAGGACTATGAGACGATTTTGAACAGTTGCCTAGCTAGCGGATCCCTTTTTGAAGATCCACTTTTTCCGGCATCAAACGAGTCCCTTCAGTTTTCTCGTCGTCCAGATCGTCACATCGAATGGCTGAGACCTCATGTAAGTTCGATTAACCTAATTATTTTTGAAGATAAATTATTTGTAATTTTTATATAAAGGAAATTGCCGAGAATCCCCAATTTTTCGTTGAGGGTTATTCACGTTTCGATGTCCAACAGGGAGAACTTGGTGATTGGTAAGATAAATATTAAGTCCCTTAAAAGATATAACAATAATAACAATCCTTTATAGCTGGCTCTTGGCTGCCACTGCTAATTTGACCCAGGAATCCAATCTTTTCTTCCGCGTTATCCCAGCAGAACAGAGCTTCGAGGAGAATTATGCTGGCATCTTTCATTTCCGCTTCTGGCAGTATGGTAATATTAAACAGAAACAATATTGACTTATTTTTTTCACACACTTTCCCAACATTTTTAAAGGTAAATGGGTGGATGTGATTATTGATGACCGTTTACCCACATATAATGGAGAACTTATGTACATGCACTCCACCGAGAAGAACGAGTTCTGGAGCGCACTGCTGGAGAAAGCCTATGCCAAGTATGATTAGAAATTATTATTCGATTCTTAATTACTAATAAACCATAAATTTTAGACTACATGGATCCTACGAGGCCCTAAAGGGAGGCAGTACTTGCGAGGCCATGGAGGACTTTACGGGTGGCGTTAGCGAATGGTATGATCTAAAAGAAGCCCCCGGCAATCTTTTCACCATTCTGCAAAAAGCAGCTGAACGTAACTCCATGATGGGTTGCTCTATTGAGCCCGATCCAAATGTCACAGAGGCGGAAACTCCTCAGGGTTTGATTCGTGGTCACGCTTACTCCATAACCAAGGTTTGAAATAATACTTGAAAATAATCAGAACTAAATAATAAAAGTGATTTCATTTAGGTTTGCCTTATTGACATTGTTACGCCAAATCGTCAGGGAAAGATCCCTATGATTAGAATGCGAAATCCTTGGGGCAACGAAGCTGAATGGAATGGACCTTGGAGTGATAGCTCACCGGAGTGGCGTTACATACCTGAAGAGCAGAAGGCGGAAATTGGACTTACTTTTGATAGAGATGGAGAGTTCTGGATGTCCTTCCAGGATTTCCTGAACCACTTTGATCGAGTGGAGGTAAAAAGCTTAAAATTACTCTTATAAGTAATATGACTAAAAATGTCTTTTCAGATTTGCAATTTGTCACCGGACTCGCTGACCGAAGACCAACAGCAGAGCGGCAAGCGAAAGTGGGAGATGTCGATGTATGAGGGAGAATGGACACCCGGTGTTACAGCTGGTGGTTGCCGTAATTTCCTGGACACTTTCTGGCACAATCCCCAGTATATTATTACTTTGGTTGATCCCGACGAGGAAGACGAAGAGGGGCATTGCACAGTGATTGTGGCCTTAATGCAGAAGAATCGCAGATCCAAGCGTAATATGGGAATGGAATGTCTGACCATAGGCTTCGCTATCTATAGCCTCAATGATCACGAACTGGAGAATCGTCCGCAGGGCCTGAACTTCTTCAGGTACAAGTCATCAGTGGGACGATCGCCTCACTTTATCAACACACGCGAAGTATGTATTAGTATGTCTCTAAAAATTGTGTAGTTACCTAAAAGTCTGGTCTTTCATTTAGGTATGTGCTCGGTTCAAATTGCCTCCTGGTCACTACCTGATTGTGCCTTCAACTTTCGACCCTAACGAGGAGGGAGAGTTCATCATTCGAGTATTCTCAGAAACTCAAAATAACATGGAGTGCGTACATGTAGAGAATGATAATGAGTTTGTATATTAGAAATAATGCGGGGTTTCAATAACTTCTAAATAAGCTTCTAAAGTGCAATATGTGGTATGTGACTACGGTATATTTATATCTTTAGTGCTAGTAAATGTTAAACTAGATTTGTTTGTTTGACTCTTACCCTCTCACATTCCCGACAGTTCAATTAGAAAAATGCATGTTGGTTATTTCACTTTTTTAATCTACTATTATATAAAATATAGTTGAGATTAACGCGTTCAGTATTCTTGAAACTTTCGAAATATTTGTCTTACGTCAGGTTAAATATTATGTCTGTCCATTTGTTTAGTTTTTGGATGAACTCAACCTAAAATGAAAAGTATTACAATAACTTTGTCTGCTCAGTATGAAATCCTTTTATCTTTTTTCACCTCGTTAGGAATTAAAAGGGAGGTATAAAGTTAGTAGCAGAAATATTTTTATCCGTCTACTTTTAACCCTTGCTTAAATTGTATTTTTGTCATGTAACACTATATATTTATTAAAGTAAAAATAAAGATAACCGCCTACAAAAATGTACTATACTTTTGAAAAAAGGACCTCCACAAAATGTATTTTATCTTAAAACTCTGCTTCAAATACTCATTAGGCCATTCAAATCCCTTGTACTTGTACATAGTATATTGTATAATACCATTTGTTTCTCTATAAACGCTTTATTTCTCATTCATTTCAATATCAATCATTTCGCTTTTCACTCCCAATTAGAGAGAATGATGATCATGTGGGTTATGGCGGCAAAGCCGATCCGGTAAGTACATTTTGGTAAGCCGGATCGTTTAATTAGGTATTTCCCTCTAAAGATAACACCAGGATTCCCAACACCCAAGCCCTTGGATCCGCAGAAGGAGAGCCTGCGACGCCTGTTTGACAGCATTGCTGGCAAGGACATGGAAGTGGATTGGATGGAGCTGAAACGCATTTTGGACCATTCGATGCGAGATGGTAGGAAAGGAATTTAGCGTAGTCTGATTGCAGTTTCAAAGGAATTTATTCTTTTCAGATCTACCTAAACCAGTTGTATTCAACCGCTTTTCCAATAATATGGCATTTGAGACACAGGCTGCAGGTCCTGGTGAAGATGGAGCCGGTGCTTGCGGACTTTTGTCCTTGATTTGTGGACCATTTTTGAAGGGAACTCCATTCGAAGAGCAGTTGGGCATGAATGACCAGTCGAATAAGAGGCTAATTGGGGATAACCCATCCGATGGTGGTCCGGTGACAGCAAATGGTAAATAAATTAAGTTATAGAAGAAAGGAAAACATATTAATAAGAAAAATCTGATTACAGCTATTGTGGACGAAACTCATGGATTTTCCAAAGACGTTTGCCGTTCAATGGTGGCCATGTTGGATGCAGATAAGTCTGGCAAGCTAGGATTCGAGGAGTTCGAGACTCTGCTTTCGGAAATTGCCAAATGGAAGGCTATCTTCAAAATTTACGATGTGGAGAATACAGGAAGAGTGTCTGGTTTCCAGCTTCGTGAGGCTCTCAACTCTGCTGGCTATCATCTAAACAACCGTGTTCTTAATGCTTTGGGTCATCGATATGGCTCACGAGATGGCAAAATAGCTTTTGATGATTTCATCATGTGCGCAGTTAAAATTAAAACTTATATTGGTAAGGAAAATAATCCATCCCTAAGAATTAAATATTAACTTGAATTTTATATTTTAGATATATTCAGAGAGCGAGACACCGAGAAGAACGAAACGGCCACATTTACTTTGGAAGAATGGATAGAGCGCACCATATATTCTTAACTGAAAGAATTATATCTAAGTTAGCAAATCAACTCGAATTAATATTTACATACAATCTCCTAATGGTAATCTCCAATATTGTTCTTTATATAGTACAAAACAAACAATACTTCCGAAGAAGCTTTCATCCAATTGTATGATCACATCCTTGTATTTTTTGTCGATAAACAATGATCACCGAATTTATTGACTTGTTGACCCAGATTGATAATTTAGTTATTCAATAAAAAACATATATTACATTTGCATTTTAAAAAGGAATTTGTAGTTATTTACTTGTGTGGTTTAATTAAATTAGAACCTGCTATGGGGATAAATAAAATTGTTTACCCAATAACTTGATAAACTTGTTTTAAAGTTAAATCTACAATTATAAGCCAAAAAAGATGATTCGCTTTTTGTTTAGTAATTCGCTTTATTTTTTTGTGATTAAACCTTGCACCAAAATAACTTGCTTTTAGTAAAGCTTATCATGGTAAACTATAAATCACAATATAAATGTCTTAAAACACACCCAAAATTATGAAGAAATTAATTTTTAGTTGCATTAGATCGAGTATATTACCTATAAATATTATTACTAGCCATCTTCATTCAAAAACGTGTCTTTGTTTCTTAAATTATTTTGACTACATGACGATGTGAGAATGCGGCCGGCCGAGTTGGAGTCTCGTCAAACTTTAGTGAGTAAGTATGTTCAGAGCTATGTATATTCCGTACGTAGATAAGCGAATTATTCGCTATATAGTTCGATTGATATACATATCTTGATATATAAATTTTAAGTATGTACATTAGGTTAGGTCTTTAGGTTAATATCTATCTTCGCAGACTCGAAACACGTGCGCCTTAAGAGTTACGCGTGACCGTGCAAGGCTGACGTATTACAGTACATATGTTCACCCGGGCTGCCCAGAGTCTCCTCAACAATTCGCAACGGTTCATTTGTCGACCTGGTGGTGTCCAATCCAATGCTCATCCCTCTTTGCAAGCTACCTCCACCGGTAGAATCGATACTGGTGGTTGGATTTTGCAACTGCAACTGAGAGCTAAAGCTATGATGCAAATCATTATCATATATCCCAGTATTTTGTAGTAAATCTCCAGATGTGCTCGTCTTAAGATATCCACCACCGAGCTCATTTATTGGCTCCGTGACAATGGAGCCAGAAGTTGATTCAAAACTTGATGAATTGCTGGATTCTTTTGTTGCGAATGGCGGGAATAGGTGCTGATAGCGCTTTCGAATCGAATCGACGACATCATACAGGTTTTTAGCATCCATAGCCAATATATGGGCAGCAGACAACATACTCCTTCAATACAAAACCGAATTAGAATTATTTAACATCAAAATTAATAACAGTTATTAACACTTACCTGCGATATTCGCAATCCAGGGTAGTATCGCTATATTGCTGAGCTAATCGCATCGCTGAGACCAGTTCATGCATGTCTTTGGAAAGTACTTGATGTGCCATTTGCACTTCCCTAATTAATTAAAATATAGTTAATTAATAAAATATAAAAAATAAATTATCAATTGGCTTACTTAAGGGCCTGTGCTGGGAAAATCACGGATATTTTGTCAACAGATGTGAGCAGGTTTCTCAGCTTGACGCCTACATTTTTAACAAGTTCCAAATAACCTTCAGTATTAGCTTTCTCCACACCTTGTGACAGCACCATTATTGATTTGACCACTAGAGTGGTGGCGCAATAGACTTCGTCATCTGCGCGGTTCATTGGTCGACTTGAAACTGCATTGCCAACGTTTCGGGAATTCGAACCAATGTGTTCGTCACCAGATGTTAAGCCAGACAAGTGATCCGCCGAGGAGTTGTTTGACTTCAGCGAAACGAGATTGGCATTTGGAGTCATGGGTCGAGAACTGGAATTCGAGCAGTCTGGTAAACTAGAAGGTCCAGCTGACATGAAGTCAAGTTTAAACATTTGTGCCTGATGATCATTAATAGATCCTTGGGGTATTGAACAAGACCTCTGCCGCTGAAATAAATTATTCTATAATATCTTCTACTTTAAGTAATGTATTATTACTTACCAGCAATTCCTCTTGGATTAACCATTCGCTATCGCTGTTGCTATCCTTTTGCTGTTGTCGTAGCTTTTCACCCAATACATTGTGCATTGCCTGAAAATTGAAAATTGTTATTACCACTTTATAAAAAACTTTAAATACCTTAACAAAAACTTAAAGAAATTAAATCAAACTCAACGTCTTTACTAAATATTTAAAAAAAACCAACTGAAGAGGAAACAAAAGGGAAATAAAAAGGAAATGCAAACGCTTAGCTGCCAACTGTCCAACATTAGGGCCAAACCTGGTTTCCCATAGCCTCGGCTTGCAGAGTGGCCATGCAAGCAGCTCCTTCAGAAATGTTAGGTGGCACCACCATATTTTGTGGACCTGAAACTATCCACTGTCGCTCCAATTCCCTCTGATTTCTTAGAGCTTCGTCCATGTTGTGTGGAGATATGACCCTAAATGAATCCATCGCAGGCCCCATTGGTACATTTGGATTCATTACAATGCAATCTGTTGCTTGTACCGGACCAATTTCAACTGGCCGCATATTTATCATTGGACTGAATTTGGGCTGCTGCTTGGCAGACACACAGGTCTTAAGGCCGACACCACCGAAATCGTAGATTTCCTCGGGCAGAGCTTCGCATTCGATGGAGGTTTTCATCTGCTGGCGATATGCATGAAAGTAGGTGTTCCGCTCCATGCTTCTCGAACGTTCTGCCGTGTTAGTGCAATGCGGCGGCTTCGTATTGTAAAAAACTAGATTTTGAGCCGACATCAATGATTGGTGGCGTTCCAAACTACCGCCTTTCGAGTGTATGGACTTTGCTGGTGGCGGTTGGTGTCTCTCCAAACTGCCATATAGGCTATATCCAGCAACCTTTGACATTGATGGATTTGAGGTGTTTTCTGCTTGGATTTGATCCTCTGTTTGAGGTGGACAAACGACGAAGCTATTCTTTGAGGGCAAACTGCCCGTAAACATTCCTGCTTGGTTGGGACTAGGAGATTCAAGGGGGTTGGCTAAAGCGTTTAGGGGGTTAGCCATTTGACTAGGACTGCTGTTAATAGAAAATTGGGATCTAAGCCTTTCGGATTCTGCGATGGGATCTAGTTTAAACAAATCTGCTGCTGGTAGCTTTGTTGTCTTAAGTGAAACATCTGATTTGCTGTCATCTAATCCTACGGCTAGAGTATTAAATACCGAAGCTGGTGTGGTGTATGCGGCTGGATTGATTCCTCGTTTTTGGTTCTCCATCATTAGTTTCGCCAGCACCGCGGGATTTTGTGCAATAATGTAGGTCTGAGGTAGAGCCGTTGTTTCCGGCATTAAGCCAGTTATGTCTGCAATAAATTAAATCGTTTATGGTTTAAAATAAAATAGTTAAGTTTTATTAAAATACCAGAATCATGCATCGCCCTTGAAGGTTTCGATGGCGGAATGTCAATGTCGTCACTGCCCACCCATGACATGGATGCCACTTTTCGTTGCTCCCTTTTTAGAGTTTCCGAAGAATTAATGCTGTCCTCGATAAGAATTTCACTAAAAAATAAAAATATAATTATTAATTAAGGAATTGGTTGGCTTTTTGTTAAACTTACTGTAGAGTTTCCTTGATCCGCTTAAAATTTGGTCGTTTCAGGGGTTCATACGCCCAGCACTGAGACATTAAAGAATATAGCCGGGGCGGACAATTTGGAGGCAATGGTAGGCGCTCTCCATTTTCCAGCTTTAAGATTACATCGCTGTTCTTCACACCTTGAAAAGGCTTTACTCCAAGCATGAGTATTTCCCAAATACAGACCCCTAATAAAGTAATTTATTTAGCAACAAGGAATGGAACACTAAATATTTTACCAACCAAACATCCACACATCACTAGCTGTGGTGAATCTTCTAAAGTTGATAGACTCGGGGGACATCCATTTAATGGGAAGGGCAACTAAAAGAAAATAACTTATTATTTATAAGCGCAAAACAAAATATAAGGGATATCTTACCTGTGGGAGTTGAATGATAATACGATTGATCAGAAACCCAACGTGATAATCCAAAATCAGCCAACTGCAAATATATTTACATATTTTTATAAGCTAAACATAAAAAGGTATTGTAAATTACCTTAACACATGTTGGGGAGCTGACAAGCACATTACGAGCAGCTATATCTCTGTGTACAAACTTTTTAGATTCCAAATAACTAAGAGCAGTCGACAACTGGTAGCAATACTTTAGTAGGGTACCATGACTTAACCTACACAAAGATAAAGCAATATTAAGTGAATCAATCAATTATGTTTTAGTATCACCTGTCGCTGTTTGTCTTTAAATAAGCGCGCAGTTCTCCAAGCTTGGCCAATTCCATAACTATCCAAATCGGCATTACGCTACAAATGCCAATGAGCCGAATAATATGGGGATGGTCGAATTTCTGCATAATATCTAAAAAAGATCAAAAGTTCAGAGCTTCAACTAGAAATTAAAAGAATATTTAACTTACAAGCTTCTGCAAGAAAGTTTTCAGTTTTTTCGGGATCGTCATTGGCTTTACATGTCTTTATCGCGACTTGAATAACATCAGGTCTTGCATCGGCGTTTCTTTGGTCACTATTGCTATCTTTGCCATTTCCTATGGTGTTCTTTCCCTTGGGCAATTTCGGTAGAGTATATGTGCCAACATAAACATCTCCGAACTGCCCAACACCAATTTTAGCACTCGCGGTAATGTGGGCTCGGTCCAACTCATAATTACGAACGGTTGGCGTTGAGTAATCGCCCTCACCCTCCAGTAAACCAATCTCGGCATAATCATCAGTAAGCATCGGCTTTCCCTGAGTCGAATTGTTGGACTCCAATGTGGAATCATTGGGCAGCGCTTTGGCGCTATCGTCGCTCGATGCTGTTGTCTCTCGCTGCCAAATCGTAAACTCTAGATTTTTTGATAACAGCCTGCAGTAACCGTCAATAAGGTCGGCAATACTCTCAGCAGTCTAAAAGTAACACAAGAAGCAATTAAAAGAGGTTATTATTACCTAAATTGCAAACTCACATTTATACCATTGCACGTTATAACCAAATCCTCTACATTGTTGGACGCTGATATTTTTATCTGCGTTTTAATCTTCTGGCAATTGCAATTAAAGTTTTGCATCTCAGATTCTGTAGTATTTTCGCTAGACTTGGACAACTTTTCCTTTGGCAAAGTGCAGGTTTTAATAGAAACAACATCTTTAAACTGAGCTACATTCTTTAAGCTGGCCTGAGGATGAGTCTGGTAAGAGATTCCTGGAAATAATGAAAAAGGGATCAGGTTATGATATCCCCTTGCATATTGTATAATAATTACCAATATGAGGACCGACGTGTAGAATTCCAGAAATATTCCATGCCGAGCTCAAAGTTACCGAGAACTGCTCGAAGTTTGTTAAATAAATATTTTTCAAAAGATCGAAGAACCTGTAACAGGAAATAAAATATAATCTGGACACGAGACATTAAACTTTTCGAATGCTTACCGCGTCAAATACTCAATGTCGTTATAATTGTAGACTTTTTTGTAACCGACTTGGATCATTTTCTTAAGATTCTTTGGCTTTGATGTGGCTATCACAGATTGGGGAAGAAAACTTTTAAAACCGATTTCCTTTTCAATGTAGTCAATGTGCTGCTTCTTGTCCGGAGCTTTAACGGTTATGTTCTTGAAATAATGCCTGATGCCTAGACAGCACAGCTGCACCGCTACCTCAGTGTCGATGGATGTGACATTGGCTTGGATAAAGTCTTCCTTCACCTTGAATCGAAATTATAGGAAATTGGTCATTAGTTTTCCGTATAACAATAGGTACTTTATAAAGTCCAGATAAAGGTACCATCTAGATATGCATCTTACCTGATTGAAGTAGTAGAAACATGTGGCCTTGTCCTCATCGAAGAGGTCCTGAATACTGTTCGGCACGTAGCGCACCCTCAGCTCCACTCGCCACACCCTGTTGTCGGTGATCCTTCGGCCGTGCTCTAGCAGAGCTTCATCCAGTTCTGCCTGGTTATTTGGGCAGTCCACGTTCGAACACCCTGGTGTTAGGATGTGCGTGAGTACCTTCTGCATCGAGGTACTCCTAGCCAGCCAGATCACCTCTTTTGTGATCATATTAAGCATACGGCAGGCATATCGCTGGATACTTGGCGTCCGTCCATCCGTGCCGAGATCTTCGACGGTTCGCCGGATCACATGGAAAACGGTCTCCTTGACGTTGAACCGAACAGCCTTGAAGCTCTTGTTCGGCATATGCACGTGGATGAGATACTCCTCGAGGAATACTGTTGAAGACATATATTTCATTTAGTTTTGTGGTCCGAAATCGAAGTAGAAGACCAAAACTCACACTCATTTTTAGTGGGCGGTGGTTGACTGCTGGCTCCCGCGGTGTTCATGGTCCACAGTTACCGCACAGTGGGCGATTCCGGATAGTAGCTTCAACCTGAAATACCAGAAGCATATGTTACAGATATCGATTGCATGACACAATAACAAGCTGGCTAATGCACAAAATACTTTTCACAAATCTTCACAGGTGGAAGAGAAGAGTGACTTTCCCACCACCCCGTTGTTTTCTTCGTTTTTTTTTTTTTGGTTCTGTTGGTACCACACCTTACTGTCCCGAGTAGCACACTCTCACCCACACTCTTTCGACGCCAGAGTTACGGGCCTTCGATCGGCGAGCTATATAACCGAATTCTTTAATCTGGTCGGGAAAGCCAGATATGATATTCGTTATTGCCAAACTCTCGGTTTATGGAAATACGGTATGTGGTAGTACGCACACACATGCACATCCCCATATATGCATCTGTTTATACATACAGTCTGCGCCAGATGTGAGGGGTTGATATGGTTATTAATTGAATTACTAGGAAAACCTTTCGGTGTTTCCACTTCACCGCCACATCGTCGAATCAAGCTAATGAATTGTCGATGCCCGCAGGCCTTTATCAGCCAGAAATGGTTATTTTTAAAAATATGATTACTTATTTCTCCGTAGTAGCCAGTGTGACCGAATCGCTAAGGTGATACTAATCCACATGGGTTGTATTCAATTTCAAAAATCACTAGTTCTGGTCACATATACAGCCAGAGATTTAAAATATTTCCATATTCTAAAAATTGTATTTCACTGTCAGATTACGTTTTTTATATTGCTAAAATGAAGTACCAAAAGTTTGTGTTATTGAATAGTCGTTAGTTCACAGAACTAGTTCCCTCCTTGGTATTTTTGTATTATTTATCGAAAAGCAATCGATAACTGTCAAGTTGTACAATTTTTTTTTTCTGCTGCACAATTTCGTACCGAAAATATAATTCAACAAATAGGGAAACTGTACGTATCAACTTTATAAGACATTCTTGGCAAGTACATTATAAAATGCATCAAATTAATGCGTTAGTCTATTCTTATAAGAAGGCCTTAAATATAAAAAGCATTTTGTGCATCGGTAGCGTCGGACTCGCACACGTTTACAGATTTGGTAGATTGTGCTTTAGAAGGTTTGATGCAGTACTTGGAATACCTGGTATTCATGGAGCTCTACATGGACTATATTGTTACAAAACCAAACATATGCCACTGGTAAAATAAATTATAAGGTTATATGGAGTGCGTATGTTTGTCGCCACAAGAGCCCCTGATACAATGCAGCTTACAAACACCTCATAAAAAATATTATATTTGGCGGGGAACACAGTTTCGCACCTAATTTGCGTGTTATTTTGTAATGTATGTATGTGCTTTTACAGATCTACGTAGCCCAATATGTCGGACTCAGAAGTCAGTAATATGTCCGATAGTGGATCAGAAGATGGATCCATTTCCAACAAGTCGCAACGCAGCGCCAGATCCAAGTCAAGGTCACGATCAAGGTCCGGTTCCAGAGGATCTCGGTCAGTTTCTAGATCCAGATCCCGCTCTCAATCGGGGCATTCGAGATCTGGCTCTGAATCTCCACAGAGACGCGACAAGAGTGATGAATCTGGAGAGGAGGAGGAGGAGCCACCAGGGGAGGATATTGATTCCGAGGAGTATGATGAGGAAGAGAATGATGATCATCCTAGAAAAAAGAAGAAAAAGGAGCGCTTTGGTGGCTTCATCATTGACGAGGCCGAAGTGGACGATGAGGTGGGTCTTATAACGCAAGTACTAGGAAATGAATTTTTACCTATTTCTTTCTAATTTATTTAAGGTCGATGAAGATGAAGAGTGGGAAGAGGGGGCCAATGAGATTGGAATTGTGGGCAACGAGATTGATGAACTGGGACCCACGGCCAGGGATATTGAAATTCGACGACGAGGCACAAACCTCTGGGAGTAAGCAAATTATTATTCAAATAGCAAGTATAGTACTATATTATTTCCTATATTATTTAGCACCCAAAAAGAGGACGAGATTGAAGAGTACCTCCGAAAGAAATACGCTGACGAGTCTATTGCTAAACGTCACTTTGGAGATGGCGGTGAAGAGATGTCTGATGAAATTACCCAGCAAACTTTATTGCCAGGCATCAAGTGAGTATCTTAGGCCTCTTCCAATAGACAGCTATTTCATTATACGAATTTCTAGGGATCCAAATTTATGGATGGTGAAATGTCGAATAGGAGAGGAGAAGGCAACAGCTCTTCTCCTGATGAGGAAGTTCTTAACATACTTAAACACAGATGATCCACTGCAAATCAAATCGATCATTGCACCAGAGGGTGTCAAAGGCTACATTTATCTGGAGGCCTACAAGCAGACCCATGTTAAAACATGCATTGAAAACGTTGGTAATCTCAGGATGGGCAAATGGAAGCAAGAAATGGTGCCTATCAAGGAAATGACGGATGTTTTAAAAGTGGTCAAGGAGCAGGTTGGCCTCAAGGTCAAGCAATGGGTGCGCCTAAAGCGTGGCCTCTACAAGGATGATATTGCACAGGTGGACTACGTAGATCTGGCTCAAAACCAAGTGCATCTCAAGCTGCTGCCACGTATAGACTACACACGTATGCGTGGAGCCTTAAGGACGACTGCAACGGTATGTCGACTATTTCTAATCTAGAATAACGTAAAGTAAACTGTTAATATATTCTAGGAGAGTGACGATAGCAAGCGTAAGAAGAAACGCCGTCCTGCAGCAAAGCCTTTTGATCCAGAGGCAGTAAGGTAAATATTTTCTAAATTTTCTTATTACAAAAATAACTGAGTTTTTCTCCAGGGCAATTGGAGGCGAAGTCCATTCGGATGGTGATTTCTTGCTCTTCGAGGGAAACCGATATTCCCGAAAGGGTTTTCTCTACAAAAACTTTACCATGTCAGCCATTCTTTCAGAAGGTGTGAAGCCCACTCTGGCCGAGCTAGAACGTTTTGAAGAATCTCCGGAGGGTAAGCTATAAAAGTGCATAGCTCATTGAAATAAATTTAATTAAGCTACTATTTTCACAGAGGTAAACTTGGAAATAATGGGCACCGTCAAGGACGATCCCACTTCAGCTCACTCATTCTCAATGGGTGACAATGTTGAGGTTTGCGTGGGAGATTTGGAGAACTTACAGGCCAAGATTGTGGCTATTGACGGCACGATGATCACTGTCATGCCCAAGCATCAAGATCTTAAGGTTCGTTAAACAATCTATATCAATAAGTAAGAATATTAACAAGTGAATTTTGCAGGATCCTTTGATTTTCAAAGCCAGTGAGTTGCGCAAGTACTTCAAGACAGGAGACCATGCCAGGGTATTGGCCGGCCGTTATGAGGGCGAGACTGGTCTTATTATTCGCGTTGAACCCTCAAGAGTAGTGCTTGTCTCTGATCTAACCAATCATGAGTTAGAGGTGCTGCCCAGGGACTTGCAGCTGTGCTCAGATGTGGCCACTGGTGTCGATTGCCTCGGCCAGTTCCAATGGGGAGATTTAGTGCAACTTGAGTGAGTTTCAATATTTATTTACATGCGAACTAAACCCTCAATAAGAATTGCGATATTACAGCTCTCAGAATGTGGGCGTCATCGTGCGATTGGAGCGGGAGAACTTCCATGTTTTGGGAATGAATGGCAAGTGCATCGAATGCAAGCCAACTGCGTTGCACAAGCGAAGGGAGAACCGTAATACGGTTGCTCTAGATGCCGACCAGAATCAGATTCGCCGGAGAGATATAGTTAAGGTGATGGAGGGTCCCCATGCTGTAAGTTATTCTCTACGTTTTAATTGGGAGCATTTCGTTAAATGACTTTATTCAGGGACGTTCCGGCGAGATCAAACATCTGTATCGCAGTTTGGCCTTTCTTCATTGCCGCATGTATACGGAAAACGGTGGAATCTTTGTGTGCAAGACCCGACATTTGCAGTTGGCTGGAGGCAGCAAGACAAACGTTAATAATGCTGGCACTCTGGGTGGCTTAGGCTTTATGTCACCGCGCATTCAATCACCTATGCATCCATCTGGGGGTCGTGGCGCACGAGGAGGTGCGCGTGGCGGCCGAGGCGGTTTCCGTGTAACTCGTGATCGAGAGATTTTAGGAAAAACCATAAAAATTAGTGGCGGACCTTACAAAGGCGCTGTGGGAATTGTTAAGGATGCAACAGAGAGCACAGCTCGCGTGGAGCTGCATACCTCATGTCAGACGATTTCGGTAGATCGGAATCACATTGCCATCGTTGGAGTTACCGGAAAGGAGGGCAGTGTCTCCACGTATGGACGCACTCCAGCTCGTACACCCGGTTACGGAGCCCAGACTCCCAGCTATACCGCTGCCGGGTCGAAAACTCCGTTGGTTGGCAGCCAAACCCCCAACTGGGATACGGATACTCGTACTCCTTATGGTACAATGACACCGTCGCACGACGGCAGCATGACGCCTCGTCATGGAGCTTGGGATCCTACTGCAAACACAACGCCGGCCAGGAACAACGACTTCGATTATTCCCTTGAAGAACCCAGCCCGAGTCCTGGCTATAATCCAAGTAAATGCCTTGCATTTAATAGATTTTATACAATTTTTAATTTTTGCAAATCTTTAAGGTACTCCGGGCTATCAGATGACTTCTCAATTTGCCCCTCAAACTCCGGGCACTCTTTACGGATCGGATAGGAGTTATAGTCCTTTCAATCCTAGCCCCAGTCCTGCTCCGTCCCCCTATCCGGTTGGCTATATGAACACTCCGTCGCCATCGACCTATTCACCCAATACTCCGGGTGGCATACCGCAGTCCCCGTATAATCCTCAGACACCTGGAGCAAGTCTGGATTCGTCAATGGGCGATTGGTGTACTACGGACATAGAAGTTCGAATTCATACACACGAAGATACTGATCTTGTTGGACAAACAGGCATCATACGAACCGTTTCCAACGGCGTGTGCTCTGTTTTCTTACGACAGGAGGATCGCAGCGTGTCCGTAGTAAGCGAGCACTTGGCTCCAGTGCCACCAAATAGTGGCGATGAATTCAAGGTAATTTACGGAGAGGAGCGCGAGTCTGTGGGCAGAGTGCTGTCCAAGCAGGAGGGCGACGTCCTCGTCTGCAAAATAAATGATGATGTAAAGATGATACCGGTAAACCACCTCTGCAAGATGAAGTCTATTGACTAAGCTCTGAAAAGAAATTAATGCTTCAAGTCTTCAAATTCTTCATTTAAAATTTTATGCATAACATGGATTCAAATAAACTATTATCGATGTTTAATAAAAGTTAACGACTCAGAATAAATTATAATATGATACCGTTAAACCTGGATTTAAAATCGATATTTGTTGATTTTTTTTTGTTTAATCGATATCATTTTTTAAAAAGTATCTAAACAAGCATTACCGTGTTCCTTATAAATATGGCACAACTTAAAAATTTTGTTGTATTCTTATATAAATATTATTATTATCATTTCAATGACTTCAGGAAAAGGACCTGTTTTCTATAAATGTGTCGGATATTTGCAAATATCTGACTAACAGCTGTCCAAATTCGGTACCAAACAATAAAAGAATACCCCATTTTAACAATTTGTTTTCTGTTAACAGTTAGTGATGTGGCTCATTGCGCACAACAGCACGATAGATCGATAACAGCACGACTACGGCACGTGTCAGACCATTTTTAGGCCCTTTTACGTGCCTCAGCGCGGTCACACTAACCTTTCCTTCTTTTCTTACAAGTTTCCGGTGAGTGTTCCGCGTTTTTTTTTGGTGGTATTTTTATTTAACAACTTTTAAACCATTTATTTGTAGCGAGGAATTCCTGTGAGCAGCTTTCTCTCCTACATACCATAATGGCGGTAGGTTTACAATCAAATTATGGTCACATCGACTTATTTTCAACCATATTTTTGGGATGTAAAAGTGCGACGTGATGTGAAGCACTGAAATTTATACGGTGTGTTTACGATGGAACCACAATAAGTGACGAAATTCCTTGATTGTTTCAGGCTGTTACTAAGAAGATTAAGCGCGATCCCGCGAAGAACCCAATGAGGGATCTGCACATCCGCAAACTCTGCCTGAACATTTGCGTGGGCGAGTCCGGTGATAGGCTGACCCGTGCCGCTAAGGTAAGATAAATCCCATAACCTTGACCTGTGACGGCTAACAGAAACACTCTTTATATAAATATAAACAGGTGCTGGAGCAGCTGACTGGTCAGCAGCCAGTGTTCTCCAAGGCCCGCTACACCGTGCGTTCTTTCGGTATCCGTCGTAACGAGAAGATCGCTGTCCACTGCACAGTTCGCGGTGCTAAGGCCGAGGAAATTCTGGAGCGTGGCCTGAAGGTGCGCGAGTACGAGTTGCGTCGTGAGAACTTCTCCTCCACTGGCAACTTCGGTTTCGGCATCCAGGAACACATCGATCTGGGTATCAAGTACGATCCCTCCATCGGTATCTACGGTCTGGACTTCTACGTTGTCTTGGGCCGCCCTGGTAAGCATCCACCTTCGCCCGGAATCGTGCACTTAATTAGGTATCTCTGCCAATCGAGGCTCTGATGCTCAGTGAATGTGCGCATATCAAAGAAGATGTGCTTAGTTGGACTTGTTGCATTCCATGCAAGGCCCACGGTACAATTTCTACAGTGTTTTCCCGGCATTTACCCCACCGCATTTTACTTATCCGTATCTTTTTTATTTTACAGGCTACAACGTGAACCACAGGAAGCGCAAGGCAGGCACTGTTGGCTTCCAGCACCGCCTTACCAAGGAGGATGCCATGAAGTGGTTCCAGCAGAAATATGATGGTATCATCTTGAACACCAAGAAGTAGAGAAGCTTTGCCCGTAACCATGTTTTTTAAGAAGAATTCTACAATAAACCTTGGCTTGTGTCAACACGTAAAACTCGTATTTCTGGTCAATATTATTTATCGCGGAAAGTTACTCAATTTGAAACAGTTTTTGTAACTTTTATACATATTCAGTTTTGTAAGAGAAACTTCCGGATATTTAAATGGAAGTAGAGCTACATTTTCAAATGGAGTCATTTGCCATTGTTAACGCAAAGTGTTTGTTTTTGTCTCTGACATTCCAAAGGATATTGCAATGCTGTGAAATAAACTAAATTTGATTTAATGAAATACATGTCTCGAAATGTTGAGTGACCCACAACCGGAAGTCAAAACTTATTGAATAGCAACTATGCTGATAGGCGATATTTAGCCAAAAGAAAGATTTATTTGAAATGAGCTATTAGATGTAGGTTGTTATATGAAGTCCATATGTAAATTTTTAAAAAATTTGTCATCGCTTCAATTTATACTTTTAAAGACGATCTTACTATGTTTTAAATATCCAGCATAATTTAACTTGTTTGGCAGACAAACACTTATCCTTTTTTTCTAAGCCAATATTCAATGTCATGCTTGAGGTGAACTTGAAAATTTGTGTGGGCGAACAAATCGGAAGCGCAACCAAAGTTGAAGGTGGCAAAAAGTTTCAATAAATCGATGCCATCGTTTCCATGGCAATTGAAAGTCCTTTGCAGGGCCAAACATGTCAGAAATATTGCCGTAAACAAAATAAAACTGATGCCAGTCTAAGAGTAAAATGGGAATGTTGCACAATTTGGCTGATTTGATAAAGATAAAAAAGGATAAAATGACGATTCTGGTGTTGGGACTAAATAACAGTGGAAAGTCCTCGATAATCAATCATTTTAAGAAGTCTAGCGAGCAGACCTCTATTGTAGTTCCCACGGTTGGCTTTATGGTGGAGCAATTTTATAGTAAGTGGAAGTGGTATTGAAAGCATCAAGTAAAATAATTCATATTCGTTTGGAATAGGCATGTCTGGTGTTTCCATCAAGGCAATCGATATGTCCGGTGCCACCAGATACAGAAACCTCTGGGAGCACCAGTTTAAGAACTGCCACGGTATAATATACGTTATTGATTCCAGTGACCGCATGAGATTCGGTCGGTAAATAAAAGGAAATTTGGGTCCTCGTTGCTAAATGATTCCATTTCAGTGGTGGTTAAAGATGAGTTGGATCTTGTGCTACAGCATCCTGACTTGTGCAACCGAATTGTGCCTATTCTATTCTATGGAAATAAAATGGATATGGAGGACTCTCTATCCAGTGTAAAAATTGCAGCGGGTGCTTATCTAATTTAAGTACTTCTTTAACAATTAAAAATTAGTATACTATTATGTCTTTGTGTTTAGCGCTTAGATTGGAAAACATTAAGGAGAAACCCTGGCATATTTGCTCAAGCAGTGCTGTATCCGGCGAAGGTCTTGGAGAGGGTGTCCAATGGCTCATCCAGCAAATGCGCTTCGCCATGTTAAGCAACAAAAATGCCGCCAAATCCCGATCCAAGCACTCCAAATAGATCTGAAAATTTTTACACTCTTCTTGATGTTTAATAAAAAGCAATGTTTTTTGAAAATGAGTATTACAAATCTGATCTTTTAGGAAATCAACAGAAATTTATTTTCTCGCAGGGACAATCTTTTCGTTTCATTACAAATTAACATGGGCGAATTAAGCTTTACTCATCCAAGCCTTTCTTCGTTCACTTGTAAATAATGTAAATTCAAATTAACCAATATAATTTAGCAGTCTAGGAAATTAGCCGCCATCAAAAGTTCTAATGCGATCTCTGGAGCGATCGGGAATTCGGGTATTTCGGTAGAACTGTTGGTGTAACGCACTTTGTAGGTGAAGTACATGCAGACCTTTTGTAGGACGTGGGATCTGAAAATAATATAGAATATTAATAGCTGATTTTGTTTACGAAATGGTTTAATCAATTGCCTCATTGGGAGATAGCTCTGTAACAATATTGACACATTAGAATGGTCGAATTTTTTACTCAGAACATAAATAGTGACATTTTGACTTTATAATTTTATGAAATTGAGATATATCTAATCTTTTAGATAATGAAACATGATTAATGGCTAATCTTATATAGTTTGAAAACCATTGAAATCAATATAAACTAATCTTCAATTATAACTTGATTTCGAGGGGTTCTTAAATATACATTTTATTATGAAATTAAAAATTTAATGGTATAGAAACAGGTTCGAAGTCCAAAACTTGAATCATTCTTTACGATTTATAATAAAATTACGTTAAATTAGCTATATAAAAAATGCTCAATATAAATGGTCTTTTATGGATTTAAAACTGACTTTAAAAATTAAAATAAAGTTTTTTCAAAATCAATTATGTCTATATAGCATTGAAATTGAACTAATTGTATTTTAATTTGTGATCTAAACTTTTGACCGTCGTTGTACCGGAGATTACGTATAAAACTGAGAGATTTGAATCACTCCAAATAATCTTTAATCCGTGCATTTTAGTTGGGTGTGCATGGCGCCACATGCATGTGTACATACATAAATATGGGCGCATATTTGTATGTATGTACAAAGCTGTGCAAATTTGTCGCCGGTCAATAGGTCACAGTTGCGATGACTTGGCTCTCCCAGGTGAAAATTACAGCCGGTGGGGATCCTCCCTACTTACGGAATCTCCCGGAAATGCACCTCGTTAGCCTCGTTTTCGGCAAACTGTCCCGGGCCGGACAACATTGCCCGGATTGTGCCGGAGGTGAGAGCGTGCTCGCGTTTTACGACAAATTCGTGGCCGTCCGAGGAAATCAGCTTCACGTACATGGCGTCCGGACCCTCGCATCCGCCATAGATCTTGTCGCCGCGCTGCTCGTCCATTGCTATCATCTTGGGGCGGGAATTCGGTTTAAGGATTAGCACAGATCGCAAAAATCTGCCTGTTATTTATATTTTATCTTACTTGTCAAATATCAGTCAGTGACACTCACACACTGCCCCACAACTCACACACACACGAAAAATAAGTGTTGCACAACGTCGAGTTGTGCTAAGGAACTAATTGATTAGTTAAAATGTACTTCACTACTTGCTGTGAACTTAAATAAAAAGCTGGGAATGCATTTATTAAAAGTTAAAAGTTATTTGGTTCAATCAATACACACTTTACACACTGTTTTTGGTGTCCCTGGAAACGCATAGTTGCTTGTCGACAAGTTATCGATTTTTGAATATTAAAAAAATAATAAATACTTTTATTACAATTTAGTTTTATTTCAACTGCTAAAAACATATTGAATTGTATTATGCCAGCAACACAGTCTAGAAAAAAAATCATAATTAAAATAAGAAGACATTTTCTAAGCATATAACAAAAACTATTATTTGCGAGCCTTCTTATGGTATATTTAAAACAAACCTATTGATTTAATAAGATATCTATTAAGAATCGTAGTAAACAAATATATACAACCTGTTTAATGTCTTATTTTGACAAATCAATTATTTTATTATTCCATGAACAACATGAATTAAGGTTATGAATTATGACTCACTACTATATGACACATGCCAATTGGATTTTGGAGTTTTTAAATCAAAAGAGTTATTCACATGCCTCCTACATATATACATGAAAATCACGAGTGGGAATCTGTCTGGTGTTTACAAACATTATATACATACAAGGTCAACTCAACCAGAGGCCGAAACAATATGAATTTGACGTAGGCTTACTCCTCCGTTATAATTATCATATCATGTCCTCTTCAAGGGCGAATTATTTTTGTTTTTGCAACATTTGCTCAAGAGTTGAGGTAGGTAATGATCTGCTAATAAATAAAAAATCTAAAAATAAACCAATGTTGTGAATGAAATTATCAATCACAAAACATACCCACAAGACCAAAATAGACCAGCCAGCCGGTGGAAAGATTCCTATTGTGTTCAGTTGACAAGGAAATTCCCATAAAACAAACATAAATCTCCGGATTAGAGAAAAAAACGATAAACTATCATAAATAATTATTCACACAGCCTTATTTAATGTACATTGTTGTTCCAAAGAAAACAAACCTCTTGGATAACCATAAAATCTCCAAAACAAAATATTAGTAAAATTATTACTTTTTTCCCCAATGAAAACCATAAATATTTAGACTTGTGAACAAAATTGGATCCGACTTTATTGATTACGTTGTTAAGAGAACAAATCTATTACAACTGAATTCATTTGTTCTCGTTTCATTTTTTTCGCAAAACATTGATCGAGAATTCGATTGATTTTCGATTCGAATTTAGTTCTCGTCGACCTCAGCCTCCTGCTCTTCCTCGAATTCGGCGTCCTCATCGGCGGTGGCCTCCTGGTACTGCTGATACTCGGACACAAGATCGTTCATGTTGCTCTCGGCCTCAGTGAACTCCATCTCGTCCATACCCTCGCCGGTGTACCAATGCAAGAAAGCCTTGCGCCTGAACATAGCGGTGAACTGCTCGGAGATGCGCTTGAACAGCTCCTGGATGGCAGTGGAGTTACCGATGAAGGTGGCGGACATCTTGAGACCACGGGGTGGGATGTCGCACACGGCGGTCTTAACGTTGTTGGGGATCCATTCAACGAAGTACGAGCTGTTCTTGTTCTGGATGTTCAGCATCTGCTCATCGACCTCCTTCATGGACATGCGTCCACGGAAGATGGCGGCGACTGTAAGGTAACGACCGTGACGGGGATCGCAGGCGGCCATCATGTTCTTGGCATCGAACATCTGCTGGGTCAGCTCGGGCACGGTAAGGGCGCGGTACTGCTGGGAGCCTCGGGAGGTCAGAGGAGCAAAGCCGGGCATGAAGAAGTGAAGACGGGGGAAGGGCACCATGTTGACGGCCAGCTTGCGGAGATCAGCGTTAAGTTGGCCGGGGAAACGCAGGCAGGTGGTTACGCCGGACATGGTCAGCGAAACGAGATGGTTCAGGTCACCGTATGTGGGTGTCGTCAGCTTGAGGGTGCGGAAGCAGATATCGTAGAGAGCCTCGTTGTCGATGCAGTAGGTCTCGTCCGTGTTCTCCACCAGCTGGTGCACCGACAATGTGGCGTTGTAGGGCTCCACAACGGTGTCCGAAACCTTGGGCGACGGCACAACCGAGTATGTGTTCATGATCCTATCGGGGTACTCCTCGCGGATCTTGGAAATCAGCAGGGTTCCCATACCGGAGCCAGTGCCGCCGCCAAGGGAGTGTGTGAGTTGGAAGCCTTGCAGGCAGTCGCAGGATTCAGCCTCCTTGCGGACAACGTCGAGCACTGAGTCCACCAGCTCAGCGCCCTCTGTGTAATGACCCTTGGCCCAGTTGTTGCCGGCTCCCGACTGGCCGAACACAAAGTTGTCGGGCCTGAAGATCTGGCCAAAAGGTCCCGATCGCACGGAGTCCATGGTGCCGGGTTCCAGATCGACGAGGACGGCGCGGGGCACGTACTTGCCGCCGGACGCCTCATTGTAGTACACATTGATGCGCTCCAGCTGCAGGTCGCTGTCACCATGGTAGGCGCCGGTGGCATCGATGCCGTGCTCATCGGAGATGATCTCCCAGAACTGCAATTAGAAATGAGAAATAATGAATAGAGGATTAGAAAGAGGATTGACATAGAAGCTAAGCAAATGTCTGTGAAAAAATGAGTCAGCCGGAAAATCGATTTACAGGGGTGTTTTTCAAACTCTATCTTGAGAAATGACTTGCGAATGAGTCACCTCGTAAAATCAATAGTCGTAAAGTTTCCTAAAATTCAGACCATTTGGTGCATGAAACTAGTTAAATATAACAATAATTTTAACATTTATAGCTAACGAAGTTCAAATTGTCAAAGATTTTCCAGAATAATTTTAGAAATAATTACATTGGAATTTATTAAAAACTTGAAATGGTTTTAAAGGGAGAAACTTAATTCAAATTCTAAAACTAATTACCCTAAAATTTCCTTCTTTATTTGGTGAAAGTTAAGTTAAGCAGCGAAATGGGAAATTTCTTTTGAAAGCTATTTAAGATATTTGCTACTCCCGAAACAAGTCATACTTTCTTAAATAAAATGTTTGCAGGGTAGTTGAAAAACTCAGTCTATATATAACTCTTTATTGATTGGAATAAATGGGCACAAGCCTCAATTATGTACAGACATATGTCTAGGCTCGGCTGGCTATATGTACGCCATCATAAACTCTGTGTATGGGCCGAGCTCCGATTAACATAACTTATTCGCTGCCATTTTTGGTGCGTTTCCACCACCAACGATAACGTCATCTGGCGTGGGTTTTCGTTTCGGATCTCGAGGCGCAGCTGTCACTGGGTTCCGCCGAACGATCTCTCTTGAATCTTCGGGCGTGGGCCGAATTAAGCTGAGCTGAGGTGTATGACTACTATCTATCTGTCTGTCTGCTGCCCCCACGCATTGTCGGCGACCTCACAGCCAGTCTCTACTACCACCCCAAAAGCCCCCGCTACCGATGGCTTACATCACCGGTTTTGTTCGGATCTCGACCCACTCTGTAAGACAGAAAGGAAGAGGAGGAGGTGCCACTCGGAGAGAGGCGTTGGCGTTGGCCCGCGAGAGGTTAAAACTGCAGCTCTAACTACCGACCATCTGGCGCATAAATCGTCTGTTTTTCAGGGCATTACGTCACCTTAGAGCTAAAAAAGTTTTTGCGATTGTCGTTGTTTATGTCGCGTAAACAAATAAAAACAATTTACTGAAATAAGTCTGTCATTGGCATATAGGTACGGATGAAGTGCGTGGTTGACACTCGTTAAATCGAAATGGTACCGTCATACCGGATTCTATATATAAAATTCCCTTTTTAAGCCGGCAAAAGAGAAAGAGAGCCATACTTGGGCACAACAATTGTTATGTTGCAGCTGCTCGGGTTTTAAGGCGTTTCCGAGGGTTGTTTTCGGCCTATTCTCAGGATATGGCTATTGATTATTCGGGCAAGGACTAGAAAGATTCGTCATCATCGTCACCTTCATCTTGTCCCGTTACACACACGCATGTGCAGCACCGCCCTTCTCCGTTCTTAATATTAATGTAGGGGAATGAGAGAAAATGGGATAGAGACAAACAGATGGCAAATTCCTCCATATATAAGGTCATCTCTTTTGCAGATTGGTATGCTCTTAAAAATAAAGTTGCACTTGGGCAAGTATGCTTAAAAAAGAGAACCAGAATTTGCCTATACTATACGTAATCATGAATAGAAAATAGAAAATGTTTTCATTCCCGATAAGATAGAAGCCGATGAAGTAGTGCAAAAAAAGTTATTTAGAGTGTGGAATGCAAGAAAATCGATAGAACAGCTAATGCAGCCTACATACAAATATATATGTTTATATATATATATCTTCATACTTCCCATTTATGTATAAGAACAACTCTTATACACTCTTACGAACCGGTCAACTACGACCGGTTCAGCCATTTTAGGTTAAAATGACGTCATGTTTTCTCTTTAGAAGACGCATAGCGGCAAATAAAAAACCGGCCGACGCTTACACACAAACACATACACAAAAGCATTAAACTCTTGTGTCTGTATGGGTGTAGAAAACCTTTCGTGTTTTGACGAAAGAAAAGTACCCTTCACCATCTGGGCAGTGAAATGGCTTTCACAACCGGTGGAAAACTATGAAAGTCTTTTGCCCAAGAGAAAATGACTCATGCATGCAACACGCACACACAGATGCAAATTGGTGTAAGTGCAGACACACCCAACTATAATTACAAGTATGTACATATGCGAATGTCAATGGCCCTAAAACATGTTTTTATCGCAATTTCGGGCGTGACAAACTTTCGTTCTAAACTTTAGACCCGAAATGCCTAAATGAAACAACAAATAGCAAGCATCTTTTTGAAATCAGACCAGTATACATTATATACAAACACAGATGCCGGGACTCAAAAAACCGCACACTCACACATCTTTACTTGATGGTATACATAAATGCAAATGTGTGTGTGTGAAAATGCCGGCCTCAATACAAATTTTTGCCACATGGACAGCGAAGTCGTGCAAAAATGACGCCATTTTGGCAACTGTACTCTCGAATGAAAATCAAAAATGAAAATTTGAGTGGAAAAACTTACCTTGGCGCCGATTTGGTTGCCGCACTGACCAGCTTGGATGTGAACGATTTCCCTCATTTTGTATTTGTTTTAGGTTTTTGAACTTTTAACTTAAAATTATCTTTCGCTTATAGCAGTCGAACACAACACAAACTGTCCGCTTCACACACTTGGAAAAATTAGTGCAGCCGCCATCGAGTGCGCGGGCTTATATAGCGGCAGTGTGCGTTGGAGGTGGGATTAAGGTCGATGCTTATTCGATACTATCGAGATTTGGCAATATCGATTATTTTCATTGCACTGTTACGAACTGCATATAATTCCATATGAATTATTAACTTATTAAGTAGCCATTGAATTTACATTAAAAATCAACTTGAAATACGCAAGTAACCTCGAAAGGATAAAAATTTATCCAATCTTATTTGATTGTTACTTTGGAACATATGGTTGGCTTAATTCCGACATTTTTTAAAATTGGAAAACTACCAAATATAATTTTTATACCATTTTATCATTTTTTATACTATCCTCTTCCTAGGATCAATCTTTAAAATTCTTCAAGACGCCTAAATGTTTTTAATTTTAAAGTTTTACTAAGCCTTATGTATGTGTAGATATGAACATTATTTTGCTGGTAAGAGATTACCTACTGAGAAAGAAAAGCTAAATAATATAGTAAACACCATGACATCATAACATTCTGTCATAATCATCAGTTAAAAGTCGTATAAGAAAAAATTTCTTGATTCATGATATACCGCTGCAAGTGTACATATATGAATGGCAAAATATCGATACCATTCTTTTCCCATGTAGCGGATACTTAATCCAGATATGTAAGTCGCTAGGACCACAGTGAAATTAACCAGAGTTGTCAAATCTGTATTAAGCGGTTAAACATAATGTTATTTTTTTTTTAATTATTTTTAAGGGAACTATACTTCTTAGGTTTTTACTAAAATTTTTAATATTCAAGCATACAAGAATATATGTGGTGAAATAATTTTATAATTGTATTTTTGAATATAATTTTAACGTGAATTCAAAAGTCCTAAGTTTGTTCAATGGTTGTATAGTGCCGAAAACTGGACACAGAACTTAATAGTTAATTATCCGACATAACACTTAACTAACAACACTTAATATAATTTCAAAGGAATCACCACCTTTATTTTTCCTCACCGCCGTTGATAGGTGTCACAGACCACCCAATTTGGATTCTATCGCATCATCTGTGCCATCTCTAGTTTATTGCGATATTATTTGTGGTTATTTTATGCGCGCGCTAATGCCGTATCCATGCCGGCGTTAGTTAAAAAAAACTTAAAATCTGGATAGTTAAGTGACTCAATGACCAGCAAAAGAGCCAGTCAGACTATATAGATAAGCGCGCTAAACTCCCAAAACTAAAAACATGATAACCATACTAATACCGCTGGCGGCGACGGCCATACCGATTTGTGCTATTCTTTTTGTGGCGGGCACGTTTCTTTTCAAGACATTCATTAATATACGGTAAGTGGTACAACTTCATTTCGTAATCATAACTAATTCTTGGACTATCCGTAGGTCACGCTACGATGCGCGGGTGAACTGCTGGTTCTGCAATAGCAACGCGCGAGTTTCTTACATGGATCGCAATAGTTGGACCTGTCCGAAATGCGAGCAGTACAATGGTTTTACAAAGGATGGGGACTACAACAGGGACATGACGTCGCAGCGAGACTGCAGTATCGGTTCCCAGAAGAACAGCTCCAAGGGCAGCTCCAGCATTTGCGCCAACTCATATTATTCGGATCTCCTGTCCTCAAATCCTCCAGCCCAGAAAAATGGCCTTTGCGACCAGTGCAATGAGGCACAGCGCCTGAAGGTCGAAAAGCTATCGCAATTTGAACCTAAAAATGAGTCGCGCTTCGACCAAGAGCTCAAAACTTACAGGTAAGTAAACATAAATACGTTTTCACATAGGTATATAATCCTTTGATGACTTATTATGTAAACTTGACTTGATTTTTCCATAACTGAACTACTATTGTAGCACAATTAAAATTACCTTCTTTTCCGTAGAGAACGACTGGAGAAGCAGTTCCGTCTGTGCAGTAGCTGCGAACGGCATGTGAATAAAGTTCTGCACGAGAAAAAGAAAATGGTGTTGAGCTCCAAGTTCCTAAACTATATTATCAAGGGAGCATCGATGCTTAAGCAGCCGCACTTTAACCGCTTAGCCAATGCCCAGAAGCAATACAAACTGCAGCGGTACCGCGTTCTGATGACCATCCTTACTGTAATTAACATTCTGTGCCTGCTCTGCCGCCTTCCTCATGGAACAGCCAGTCAGTTTACGACCTTTCTCGGAAAATTCATTGGATTAGCCGTGTTTTATGCCTACTCGCATGTGCTAGCCCTTATCCGTGTGGTGACCTCGGGCATTGAAAATTTCCTGGAACAAAGAGAAATCACAACAAAATTTCTATTATACGGTCGAACTTTTGGCAAGCTATTGCTGTATTCGGTGGGCTTGAGCCAACAGCAAGTACAACAAGCGACCTTTGCATCTTGTTTCATTGGTGTCTATCCATATGCTATGTTGGCCTTGAGTTTTCTGCACAAGATTAACGACGGATTAAAGTTCACGCGGTTTACCATTGCTCTGCTGCTGTGGAGTGTATATGCAACGGGAATCGAAATCCTAGCCCCTCTTATCGATGGGATCTCTTTTATAGTAAGTAAATTCAACACACGTTTGAGAGAAAATCTAATAGTCTTACGAACTTTTACAGCTGTTGGGCAGTGTGTTTACCCTTGTTTTGCTAGCCACAAACCAGTCCAATCTGCTCAGACAAGCGAATCAGGATGAGTCCGCCTGCGAAAGTTTCCATCGTCTCTGTGCGGATGAATGCGATGAGGAAACGCTGAGTATGCTTAGCCAGCAGTTAAGTGGATACAGCAATACCAGCAATGGCAATATGTCGATGACTTCTGGATCAATTTGCCACTCACCAGCCCCCACAATTTCGCAGCGAACTATTCAACCACCAGCTTCTTTGCTGTCCCTAGATTCGTTGCATCTGTCGAAGCAACGCATGGAACAGCAGGCCTGGTCTTCAAACTATGGAGGAGCGTCGACCTTAATTGCTCCGCCAATACAGAACGGGATGATGTTCCAACAAAAGACAATGAGACCAATGGAGTCCCAGTGGTATCGTCATGGATCGAATAACATGACTCAAAATCAGCCTTTCACTAGATCTTCGCAAAACCTTTTGATGCCATCGCGATTGCCACACATGAGCAGAAATGTTGGTGGAGCTGATGTAAGCGCCTGGGTGGCGGCCAATCAAAATATCAACCAGGACCTAAGCACTGCCAGTCTAATGAGACATTACGAGGAGAAACAGCAGCAGCAACTTTCTCGCACCTCTTCGCAATCGTCTGGATTTGAGTCGCAACACCGACAAGAAAACCAATGGGGAACTTCACCTCCGATATTGAGGGACTACGGCTGGTCCGAGACCCTCGGAAGTCAGCGTAACCTGTCAGTTAACCCTCCCCTTGCATCGCCAACTCCTACAATTGTACAAAGTGAATTTCAATACTCCAGGACAGCTCTACCCCAACAACAGCCTACAATTCAGCCGGGCGATTTACTTAGAAAGTGGATCGAGAGTAGTTCTAAGGCCTCCCAACCGATCCACTAAATTGTGATATGTGGTCATAAATTATATAGGAAATCAGAGAGGAACAAAGTGCATAGGGAATGCCAAGATGGCAGATGAATCACAGCCAGATAGGACATATTACAATTTTGACTTAACTTTGCTATCATATAATTTATTATCTTTGACAATTAGTTTTAAGTTTACTGGTGGATTATCCTTCATTTACATATATATGGTGGCTAATTTATAATATATTTTTTCACAATGGGACGATCAGTAGTGTTTAGCTAGCCTAAGCTAGCCTAACCTCTGAAAGTAGTGAAAAAACGTAAAGCAAGGATTAAACTTCAGTAAATAGACCTTAGTTATGTATTCAAATGAGAGCTATCATTAACTGTCAGTTTTTATTGTTGCAAATGGAGTTCCTCCTTAAACATGGTGACTAATTTAATTTAGATAAATTGTTTATTATACAAATGAATATTTTTTGAAATAAAATTGGAAAAAATAATGAACTGTTTAATAAATATAATATAAAGCTTGGGTCGATATTAATCAAATCGCTATCATTATTCAAGTGTAGGCCCTGAATTTTTGTTAAAAAAACGTTTACATTTTAGATGATTATTTGTTTCTTTGGTCTACTTTTCAATAATTTAACGGTTACGCTGAATTAAGAGTGTAACATTTTTGCTTTGTTTACTCTTAAATTGATGTAATTTCTTCTATTCCACAGAATCTCTTGCCACAGTATTGCCAGACTGTGATCCGATTTCTGTCTGGTATATTACAACTTTGACTAACAATTATTCTTAAACTACATTATGATAAAGGTACTTTATATGTACAAAAATGTAAAACGACCTCGACCAATTTTATATTTTTGCCAATTACACTTATTTTTTGAGATGAAACAACAAAATTTTTTACCATTTTTAGTATTTTCTCCCGGTTACAAGGAACATTTTTAGTACATTCGGACTAACACTAGTTGGCAACACTGCTTCAATATGGCTGCCGTATCGTAATGTGAATTTTTTTGAGAGACCGAGACGTACATACTTTTGTTGCTGCCAAAGTGGATGTGGACGGAGAAAAATAGTAATATTTTACTGCGTTGAGTGAGCGGGACAATCGTCTTCCAATTGCGGTCACCGCCAACGGCTCTATCGGCTAATAATCACAATAATAATAATAATCGTATCAATATCAAGTTACCCATTACCCATCGCGGATACACATTAGTTTGCGAAGGGCAGAGCAGCGCAGAGCATATAGCGAATTTCATTTGTTGCCAACAAGACTGTCGTTGTTGTTGTTGTTATTGTGGATTTTTCAGTGAGCGGGGTATTAAGAGAAGGGGGTGAATAAGAACACAATTGCGTTCGTAATCTTGGTGAAAAATCGGTGACCGTTCTTCTTTTACAAATACAAAAAAAGAGGAAAATCATCGCGATAAGAAAATATAAGAAAGAAAAATCTGATTGAAAACCAAAGAGCTGCTGCTGTGCGAGCGAGCAAGCGAGAGCGGGTGAGCTAGAAGCGAGTGAGCAAGTGAGAAAGCTATGTATTGCATTTGCATTTCGTTGTGTGTGTCGTCGTTTTCGTTCGGTAAAAGTCGGTAAAAACCAGAGCCTTTTCAACTAAACCACTTTCGGGTAAACGGAATCGGAAAAGGAACTGGGCAGAAAATCGAAAAAAAAAAAGAAAATTAAATAATTAATATGCGTTACATCGATGGCAACAGCAGCGACCAGCAGCAGCTAGCGATTCCTCTCTGAGCGAGAGCGAATAGCTTTTTAGCCTTAGCTTTTCCTTCACACGCCTCTTTGGGCCGATCGGAAATTGTATTTGATTGGTAAGTACAAGAAGTGGCAGCACCATAACCAGCAAATCAATACTTTAAGGGGCTGCCATTCCGTTTCGTTCCGTTCGTTAGTTTTCCTAGCCCATTCGTTGGCGCTCTCTTTCTTTCTCTGCCCAAAGAGAGAGCAACCCCCCCGCCTGCCGCCCCCACACACTAAAAACACAGTGTATCTCTGTAAGCGAGTGTGTGTGCGTGCTTTGTAATAACGAGTACACTTTTCTGCACATACAAAATGAAAAAAAAGAAAGACCGAATAAAGAAATTCACATAAATTTATGGCACTCTCCATCTCCCTCGCGTTCTCTTTTCTATCTATTAGTGTGTGCGTGTTTTAATTTTTAAAAAACAGTTGTTTTCACCGAAAGGGAATTCTCATATTGGTGGTATATTTTTAGCCAGCAAGCTCCTTTCGGAAATTATTTATAACCCCCCTCGAAATGTTTCCACGCAACGATTTACGCGATAAACTTTTACAAAAGCAGATATAAGTATGTGCAAGAAGCCCACTTGGATTTTTGTATGTAAGTCAACGAATTGCTTACGTATTTATGAAATATTACTGTGCGTAGGTCGGTGGGCGTGTATGTTCAGCCCACAGTTTTCACTCATTTTCCTGTTGGGTTTCCGCTTGTGACAAAGGCATTCACAGCCAAAAAAAAAAAGCCAGGGGGCGTGGCACTCTCTGTGCAATTAATTTAGATCAATAAAGCACTTTATATTTAAAAAGTGGTTTAAAATGTTTAATATCATTGAAACTCATTCTATCAACATTGGAATTCAAAGGAAATTTTTATTTCCCAGAAGTCTGAGTGTCAAACGAATTTGACACCAGGGATACATGAAGTTGGGGAAACCCAAAAGTGCGATTTAATTCATCTCAAAAGTTAATAATGGGAGAACTTGCTATGATTCTGCTTAGAAACGATTAAAATAATGAATCATAACTTGTCTTGGACATTAGCAGAAATACTTTAAGTAAAAAGTAATGAGTTAATTAATCGACATATTTATAAAATATATTTGTAGTAATGGCAAAATAGAAGTGAAAAAATTTAAATTTTATTAAATGCAATTAAAGTAACAATGTAGAATAACTCTTAAATTGTATAAACACTAAAGTATAAGATACCATAAACAAACAATGTAATTATTTATTATTATTATATTTGATGTTTTAGATTTTCAGCCGTATACCAGTTAACTATTTCAGTTTTTAGATAATAACGAAATCTCGAACCTGTTTAGATGTAATAATTAAGTTGTTAATCTAAGTAATTACCTTAAACAATGGGTGAATTTGTGGAGACTTTGGAAAGAATCGCCCTCGAGTTGGTGGCGAACTTGGTACACGGTAATGCCACTTTGAGGGTTCCTCGGAATTCGACATCTAGAGATTATCGACGCGTCACCTATAATAACCATAGAAGTCGTCATAGTTTTTGCCTCCTGGTTTACATGCTTTCCAGGGCTCACCGATTGCAAGTGAACGGTGGAAGCTTCACCGTGCGTGGGCTATACTACAACGATCCGGTGTTGATCCGATCTCAATTCAAGATTGCCAAGGCCAGGTTGGATGTCTGTCGTATGCTTAATACATCTCCTTTTACATTAGGCATACTGGCGGCCTCTAAGGGCATAATGGCAGGTGAGTCATTCAGAAACTCCTGACTAAAGACAGTCCGCTGATATGGTTCCTCTTGCAGGCGATATACGTCTGCTAATGACGAATGGAGATGTACTGGACAGCACCATGTATGGTGGAGCCATGACGCTGCCAACCGATCCCGAGAAGATAGACCGTATAGAAACGCACGCGGATTTCGTGCTGATCGTTGAGAAGGAGTCGGTGTTCGAGGGTCTTTTGTCGAAAAAGGTTTTTGTTTCTCTTGAACAAAGCTTCATCTTGATAACTGGCAAAGGATACCCGGATTGTTGCACCCGGAGAATTGTTCATCGTCTTACCGAAGAGAACCAATTGGCGGCTTACATTCTTGTGGACGCCGATCCCTTTGGTATTGAGATAATGCTCGTATATCGTCATGGCTCGCAGGCCATGGGTTTTTCCAGCCAAGGACTAACTACACCTTCGCTGCGTTGGATTGGGCTACACCCCTCGGAGATTCCTGCACTCGGCAATGGAGCGGTTGCCCTGGGCACCGGCGACAACAAGAAAATCAATGACCTCCTCGCCCGCAACGATTTGGAGCCGGGAGTGCGACAGGAACTGCGCATGCTGCAGGACGTTCAGCTAAAGGCCGAAATCGAGAGTGTCATCGACTTCCTGACCGACGACTATATACCGAACAAAATCAATCGGAACTTGTTTTTGTAGAGCTCGTTAGTAAACCCCATGGGTCAAGCGATAAATGAATACTTTCGCATTGTTAATATGTTAATATTTAGTTTAAAAGATACTATGTAAATAGAGTAGTGATAAGATTCCTGAATATGTTAACTGATTTAGTCCACGTAATCGGTTTTCCATTAATATTTGATTTCATTAAAATATTCCGCTGATTACGCAAAATAATGAAGCAACCCGTCATGGCTAATTTAATTTCCGTTTGCCCTTGTTTTAGCCTCTGTTCTGGACAACCAAATTGATTTTTAGTTAGTATGTTGGATTTAATCTATATAAAAATTAAAATTAAATTAAGTCAAGTAAGCCTAAGTCAAAGCATCTTTATGTAGTATTTTCGTCTTTGTTTGAGAAATTGACTTAAGTATTTTCCAAAATTGGTATTTGGAAAAACTTTAAGTGAATATCGGGATAATTGACGGATAATAGCATTTTTACACTGGTTAAGTCTGAGTAATCTGCTTCTAGTGGCTCGTTTTTGATTGGACAACTTGATTTTGTGCGGACAAAGCTAGTAGAGTCAACCAGACAAAGGAGATTATTTATTGTGGCTTTAAAGTATTATGGCTGGAGGTCGGTAATCGGAGTCAGTAATTGGCTACGTTTTTGATAAAGTCGAGGGAATGACCAGCCATTTAATGAGTGCCAAAAGATACTTTGTTCAACTTGTTGCTAATTTATCTTTTATTTCATTTTGCAGATGTGAAGGACTACCACTGATGATTGATACCCACTGGGCATTTGACTAATTTTAAGCACCGAAACCTGAAAGACTCCGGAAAATACTCGAATCTCACGTGCAGAATCTCTAAGAACCCAATTGGACTGTTTGAAAATATGTCGACAGCAATGCGTACCACACTGCAGCCAGTTCCTGAAGCCCTGCCGGCGGAGAGTGTGTCCAATGGCACCTCATCCAATGTTGCAGCGCCAGCGGCGCCAGTATCGAGTGCCACAAACGCGGCGCCTCAACTGGCTTCCGTATCCAGCACAACCGCCACCTACGCCACCAACTCGATCAGCACATCCTCGCATTCGGTCAAGGATCAGCAGCAGCAGCAACAACAACAGCAGCAGCAGCAGCAGCATGATTCAGCTAATGCCAACATTGTGTCACTGCCACCAACGACAACGCCAGTCGCCAACACGACAATGATGCCCATTGTAACGTCCTCAAATACGGCCACCAGCAATAGCACTGCGGCCACGCCCACGCCAACCTCGGGGGCGGCTGCGACACCTGGTGTAGTGGGCTCAGTGACTCCAGCGCCCATTTCGGCGTCAGTGGCTAACACCAATCACTCGCACCAGCACAGCCACCAGCACCATCATCATGTGACCAACAACATGGCTACAGATGGTCCCCGTTTGTCCACCAACAATTCTGCGGCGGTGCCAAGCTCAGCGATCAACCACCACCATCACCACGCCCCTGGCAGCGGTGTTGCGCCCACCGTAAACAAGAACGTGCTAAGCACACACTCGGCTCATCCCTCCGCGATCAAGCAACGAACCTCGTCCGCCAAGGTGAGTCCATTTTAAAGTTTCATCAATCCTTGTAAGTGTCACCCGTCCCCATGTCCTTGAGTCCGTTTTGGTCCTTCGGGAGGCTTGTTCACCAGTCATGTTTGGTTGCCTATATACTCTTACCATGCGTTATGTGGCTTGGGTCATCACTTTCCGTATTAACTATTGATTAGGTTGCAAAGGGAGGAATGAAGTTTATGGATAAATTTGTCACGCTTGAAGCAGCTCGCTTCTTTGTTATAACATTTAACTTTCAATGAATACAAAAAATGTACAAGTCTTTCATTTAATTTTGGTAGCATCAGTTCGTTGCGCATACGCAGTGTTGTCTTTAACTCAAAATATTTCGTTCTTTTAAACTTCTTAACCATTATCAAATTTTATAGAAAATATTTAAATATTTCTCACTTAAAGTAACTTAAGCAGTTTGATATATAAAAGTTAATCATTCAATTTACCTCCCTTTGTGCCCAATAAATGTACGGTATCAAAAAAGCCTATAATTGTCTTGTCAGGTGGGGGATATTTAATTCAAGTGATAATCTTAATTATATTTGTATTCATTTTTATAAATTATAATATATTTAATATTTACTCGAATCGAACGAAGTAAACGTATGTGTATCTCATTGCTTTTGTGATGTTAACATTTAAAATGCACATTCAAAAGATTAAATAGGTCTATATTTTGTAACTTGCATTTTGGAAATCGTCAGGATGGTTTTCTAATACATACATGCCTTAGTTAGTTAGTTAGTTAGTTAGTTGTTTTAGTAGTATGTGTAGCTCTGATTTTAGATATCTTCCCACATGCTAATGGAAAGGCAAAATGACTTGGTACTTGCTAATTGCTAGCCACAACAGTCTAAAGTATATACAAAATTAGTGGACTTTGCTTTATTTGAAAGACGAAAAGGCTGAGTCAATAGAGCTGACTACGTCCATTCAGAAATGCAATTATAGTATTTTAAACCATTCTCGATAATCACATCCACCTCTCTTTTTCTCGTTCTCTGTCTCATTTTTTATCTTTGTTGGCTAAGCCAAATCCGTGGGATCTGTCGTTCTCTCCGCACAATCATATAACTGTTTTGATTTTAAATATTTTTCTGTCAGAGTTTGTGTGCTTGTATCCGACATACACTTGAATAGTTACCGTGGTGTAGGTAAATAAGCTCAACTACTAGTTGCTATTGTGGTGACGTTAGGTGTGGAATCGTGAGTGACTAACTTACATATAAAGATTCAACTAACAGTATTTTATATTTTTTTTGTTACCGTTTTTTGGAAGATAGTGAAATAGATAAATAGGATTTAATAATCTCCAAGATTCTGAAACTATATTTAAATATATGTACGGCTTATATAAAATATTTCTTTGATTAGCTTTTTAAAAACTTTTTTTATCTCTAGTTCTGATTATTTTAAATATTTTATTCATGAACCTTTGAAGGCCTGTCAAATAAATCAATTCTTTTAAGTTCGAGTTTTCTTTAAGAGTCATTATGAAGACTGACCCGTTTAGGTTCTTCGAGTGTTTCGGGTTAATGATTTTTGAGAAACGCTTTAAAGGTCTCTCTTTCTTGAATTCTTTATTGTAAGTTTTTCGAATTATGCTGAGTTGCGTGTTATTGTTTTTTTTTAAAGATATTTGTGTGGACTTCAAGCTCGGCTCGCAGACTGGTTCCAAAATTTATATGGAGATCCCTTTGCCAAAGCTCTTCCGAGTTCTCTCTTCTTCTCTTTAAAGTTTCTCAATGTTTGGCGAGAAATATGTATTGTTTCTACCTGTTTTTTTTTTAAGTAAGTGTGTGTGACTGGGCTTGTGTGTGTATGAATCACCTGCATTTACCTGCAGATTGCATACGATATTTATAGGGTGTGTCGTTGTTGTCTTGGAACTTGGAGTAGCTGCAATAGCAATAACAACGACCTTCCCAGACGCAGAACTTTGGCGAAAATGCCAAGCTCGCTCGCCAGCCGACAGTCGACAGCCACCAGCCACATCCACAATTACATTCCACAGCCACAATGGCAGCCAGCACAGCATATAGCGATGGTCGAAAGCTTGTTTTAGTATTAAGTTCCACTTCATTCGTGTGGTCACCGTCGCGCTGTTTTCTGTTGTCATTATCCGTCGCTCTCCGCCGATATCGTTGCTATATAGCTGGCTGTATCGTTATCGCCCCGCGATGAGTTGACTCCGGTTATTGTTTTTTTTTTGTTATTTTCAATTTTTAATTCGTCTTTTGCCATTGTGACCAGCTATTATCGCACAAGCACAAGGGCGTTACGTCAAAACAATACAACACAAAAATAAATACGCGAAAAAAATAAAAACAGCGAGGAAAACTGAAGAGATTGCAAAAAAAGGAAAGGCTAGAGCGCAGTTTATAGTTTGTAATCCTAATCCAAACCAATTCAATTCAATCCCAGGCGTTACAACATCCGCGATAAAGCTAATCTGATCAGCGGAGAGCTTAGAATGAAATCAAGGGCATGAGTACGCAGCTTAAAATAATTCAAATTGACGTAGGAAAAGTCACAGTCACAGTTACAAACGTATCACTCTCTAAATAACTAAGTACACACGCACGTGTGTTTATAAATAAATTTGGTTAACTAGTGTTTAATTTATAAATTTCCATTCTGATTGTATGTGGTGTGTGTGTCTGTGTTTGTGTGTGTTGCAGTTCCAGTGAAATATATACAGCTTTTTTTGAGCCAACCACTTCATCTCGCAGATACATTGAGAAATGAGCCAATTGCGGGTGATAAGTTAATTTAATTATAAAGTACGAGTATAACAAGAAATAAAAAAGCAAATAAGAAAAAACACAGTTGTAGTGCAAGCGAAAAGAACGAAAGCGGAATGAAAAGGAAAAAATGAACAAATTCCTACCCAAACACACGCGCAAAAGCAACAGACTCTTTGTGATAGTGTGCGTGTAAGTAACGCTTAAACGAGGTAACTAGAAGAAGAACAGCAACAACAAAATAGAGAGACAGAAAGAGAGAGAGCGAGAGGGAATCACAGAAATAGCAATAGCAATAGCAATGTGTGGGGCTTCATCGTTGTCTCTTTAACGCCGTTGGCTTATTGTTGTTGTTGCTGGTCATCTACTATCTGTGTATCTGCGTATCTGTATCGGGCGTGCCAAGGCTTACGATCCACAATCCGCACACTTTCACACACCAACACGCACATACCACCAGAAGCCCAGCTGAAACGATTGTGGAACTTATCGCGAGTGTCTTCTGTCCACAAAAACAGACAAACACACACACACACACACATAAAAAGAGAAATGTGTAAAGTGCGATAACTGATAAGAGACAAGTGTTTTTATCTAAAAAAAAAACCACCCAATTCACCCTTTATTTTACCTTCCCCCCCACCCACTCGAGACATGTAAGCAACAAGTTAACAAATATCCCCAATCTACAAGCGCAGGAAAGCAGCAAGAAAGCAAAGATAACCTCTTCGTTATGCACACAGATAAATTTATCAACCTTTTTAATCCCAATTTTAAACTATCAAAAATTATTGTAAAAAAGGCCAAACTAGATAGCAAGATAAGCTTTTTCAATAAAATTAGATAAGGAAATATGATAAATGTGTTGTGTTTCAAGAATGAGTAATTCTTAATTTTAAACTTCCCAATGCCATTTCGCAATCTACAAAATTACATTTTAAAAATCAAAGTTCTTCATGATCGTTTTTTTGCGGGTGTTTATGATTCACTCTTTCCATATAAACGTTTTTCACGGGAGTTTTTGATGATGATATTGTTTAGCTCTGTGCATCACGAACTAAAATAAGATTGTGGCCGTGACTGTGACTGTAATTGCAGTGTGATTTCGTGACTGAGAGCCTGTGACTTTTACTGCGACTGTTTCTCCAATGTTCCCTCATTGTGCTCTAATAGAATTTTAACAAGATGGACTTTTCGGAATAAAAGCAACAAAGCTGCGCCTGAATTTGTGATTGTGCCACACACAACAAAACGAACAAAATTTATTCATACTTTTATGCATACAAATACGCGGGGGCATATTCAGGGCTCTCAATGTTTACACACGAAAATCGCTGTGATAATTGCAAACGCGAAGAACGAGCGAATATGTGTCACAGTTTCGTTGCAACTGGGCCAATAATCCGTATACCGTGAACACTCGAGTAGTGCCGAGAACGAAGACAAACCACCAATAAACCAGCAACCAATCAAACAACCAATCGCCTCGCACCACCCGCTATCAAAACCACCGAAGTACCCACCATGGGCCAAACTTCCAGTCACCGGCAGACGCACCATAGCAACAATAACAACAAGGAGGAACCACAAGCGGTTCCACAGTTTGGTAATCGTCGAACCTCTACCCGCAAATCGACTTCGTCTTCGAAACATTACCCCACGTTGGTGCAGCCATTGCGTAAGGATGAGCTCTCTCTCTTACGAGATTCACTCCTGCGCAATGGTAGTATTATGCGCAAGAATCCGGAACGACGTCCGGTAACCATCAGTGAGTTAAAGGCAGTTAATCCTGGTCAGGGGTCATCGGGCACTGCCCTGCCCAGTACAGCAGAGGATGCACCAGGTGGCAGCAGTAGTAGCACTACTCAGTTGATGGCCTTTCAACTGCCAGTGGATCGTAGTGCCAAGACTGATGATCTGGCTGCCGAGTCCTCTGATGCTGCCGTAGTTGCACCCAAGGAGGGAAGAAATGAGTTCTATATTGTGGGCGATGGCTACCACCGCACAGATCACTGCTACTACCGCAGTCCCAATGGTGACTTCCATAAGTTCCCATCCGACTCATTTCACAAGATGTCCGAGGGCTGCTTTGTGCGGATGGCGGATGGAGTTTTCCGACGCTTAGAGGTGCCAACAAAAGCGCAAATATCACGAAGATCCAGCAGGGCAGAGGAAATAGGCGACGCCACTAGCCAGGGAAATGACAGTGCCGCCACGAATGTAAAGAGCCAGATAATGAGGTTTCTAAAGCGCTCAAAGAGCCACACACCCGCTACGATTGCCAAGCTGCAGCGTGAAAAGGAGGAGGCCCGTGCGGAACGGAAGCAAAGGCTCTCAAATGCTATGCGGCAGAAAACTTTGGCGGCCACGAATGCAGCCTCCGCGGCGGGAAACTCATCCTGTGCAACCAGTGGCGGAGGCGGTGGAACGATTAGTAGTCGCAACAACAAGATCGTGGTGACGATGATCGAGAACGGCGGTTTGCCCATTGTGGCCACCAGCAAGGCGGAAAGGCCAAAGGCAAAGGAACCGGCATCATCCAGTGACAAGGCTCGAACCTCGAGGGTATGTAATTATGGTTATGACGCGTGATTTATGAATAATGGGTTATAGTCATTATACAATTATGTGAAGAAATCGATAGAAAGGATTATTATCGTGGGGCCTAGGCAGGTTTTTATTGGTTCCTAGAGACTAGCTAGAAATAAATAGAACCACTTGACCTTGCTGCTGACTGTTTATTGTTTGGTCAGAGCTCTAGGGCTGTATTTGTTGTGATTTAATCCCTCTTAAGAGCCATAAAGCTGGTCGGTATCTCACACTCACCAATTCATTTACCAACATTGCAAATTTTTCGATGTTGTCGTGTTGCCATCTCTTGTCCCTAGCACTTATTTCATTCAAATCTAATCGTAATCGCTGTTTCGTTGTTGTCTGTATCTGTCACGGTTTTGGTTTTGTTCTCCACAATCGAACGATTTACGATTTCTATTATTTTGATTACGGATTTTGTTTTAATTTCAGATTTTTGTTACCCCCCTCCATCCATCCGTATAATCCCTACGGGAACTAATATATTTTCAGTTTAATAACACCACCTGTTATATAGGGGAACCAACGCAAATACGTTAATAGATTAAGGGATAGGGTTCAAGATTCACTGATTCTCGGATTCAAAACATCTAGAGTCATGAAAGCGGTTGCATTGTAGGGTGGACAAGTTCATAATAGTTGACCTCATTACATTTGCCTGCTGTCGACGAACATGCGAAACTTGGAATTCTATCTCTAATGTTTTTGTTTGGACTTAAAAGGCTTGACTGAAATCTCGTTGTCTTGGTTTAATGTTGATTAAGCTGCAAGTTATTCAATTAGCTTAATTAATACGGACACTTTTCACCGGCTCGGCTACTAGATACCTCTTAGTAGTTAATTGACCTCATCTTGACTTGGCTTCCTGAGAATTAACAGAATGAGACAGTTTCTGATATCTAGCAGCGGCATAAAAGTGGTTTTGCTTGCTTTATTATTTAGATACTCGGTCATATTATTATTATCCAATTTGGTTGGATCCTGTTGCATCACTTCAGCCACTTTCTGTTTTACAAACAAATTCCATAATCAAAACTTGATTACGTTAATTTGCAACAACTAAATTATTTGTAAAGAAAAGCAAAAAGCTTTAGCTTATCAGGTTAATATCCAACTGATTGTTATTTAATAGATTAGGGAAATAGAGGTTTGATTAAAGGAAAGAAGGAAATTTTGTGATGATGTGCTGATTGATACACATGTATATCAGAAGAGACGTGCTAATGAGTTCTTTCGATGCCGTGATTAAGTCATTAGCTAGGATCTTATTATCACACTCACCTGCCCTTGAGTAAAATAGTTAACTAAATCTTCCAATTGCTGTGCCTTGAATATTTTATATACCTTATCCTTAACTTTGATCTTAAACCAATCTTAACTAACCGGATCCTAGGACTTCGATAGTTAAGAGTGCAGTTTCTTATAAGTATAAGAGTATAGGCTTAACTTTATTTATAGCATCTCTTACCTTACATAACACATTTCTAATCTTTTTTATCTAACTGATCATAGGGGAACTTCTTTAGTGATGCCTTTGTGACGTTTATAACCGGAAACTCTTGATTTTGATAGATAAGTGAAGGTATACGATCGATTATACTATATATGGTGTGAATCAGGGAAGAAGCTCTTTGCGTAACTTGGGGAGAACTTGTATATTGCGCACATGCGCAGAACACTAATCTCTGGGGGCAAACACAGTTAACAGTTTCTTTCCCAGCGTTACGCTCAGGTGATATCAGTGAAACCCGCACACACACACACCCTTGCTCACCTTTTGAGCTCCAAACGGGGCTTCTCTTTGTGGGAGAACAAGTACACAGATACTCTCTTCGCCATTGTAGTGGTGCTCCACCAGTGGAGAGAGCTACCCACTGATGATCGCCAGTTCAAGAGTGTGTGCCTTTGTATTGTGTTGGTGTATTAAGGCCGACGTCTCTGCCGCAGTCAACGTCGCTGCTCAGACCGATTCCGTGCTTTGGAATACTCCGCGCTCTCGCTCTCCGGCACTCCAGTTCCAGTTGCTGAGTGGCCAAGTGGCTCTTTGGCTGCTGAGCTCTGTTGCTGTTTCGGTTTCTGTTGCTTTTGCTGTGCTGCGTTTTTTCGGTGTCTTCTGTGTTTTTTTTTTAATTGTAGTTGTAGTCAGACATCGTCGTTTACGTCAGAGTTACAGAAGAGGAGGAGGAGTCAAGCAACAAAAGCTATAATTTAATATTGCTCATACTGGTATACCCTGCCCCCACGTAAAACGAGTGCAAAAAATTGCGAAAGCCGCGTGCCTCTCCGATAAGATAAGCGTGTACGGCTAAAGAACTCCTCCGGCCAACGAAATGAACCTTTATTAATCGGGATTTGCGCGAAATGTGATTTTTTTACAGCCCAAGTGAAAAAACTAAATATAAGAAAATACCCACACACTCTCAAGCAGCCACAGTATATAGCCTAACTGTGTTTTTCAACAGTGAAAAAAGTCGGCTCAATTGTCTAAAAGTAGTTCATTTGCCTTAGTGTATTGGTGCGCGCGCGTTTGCCTGTGTGTGTGTGTGTGTGAGTGTGTGCATTGGAGCTTTTCGCTTTGCTCACTGAACCAGCGACAAAAAAGAAAGAAAAAAATGAAATAAAACCAGCCAACAACTAACGACTCGTACGGACGAATTGTTCAGATACTTGTAGATCTCCACATCGTAACTATTTAGGCAGTAATTAAAGCCACAAAGGAAAATAGCGAAAAAGCAAATGAATCATAAAACAGAAAAGAGAGCGTGAGAGGGGCGGGGGAGGGCAGGAAAAGCGTGACACACACACGAGAGAGCATCTCAGCTGAGCTTGTGCAACAGCAGTAGAAGTAGAAGAGAGAGCGAGCGTGAGAGAAAAAAACACACGCATAAGAGCTCACCTCCACCACAGGTGTGTGTGCAAATGTGTAGGTGCCAGTTTTCTCTCTCGCGCACTCTCTTTTTCGTTATGTAGGTGTGTGAGTGTAGGTATATTGGCCTCCCTCTCGCTCCCGCGCTTTGTCGTGTGTTTATTTCAGTGTCACCGGGGAGACAGATTAGCTCTTGTCCGCCTGTGTCGTAAATATCACACACACACTCTCCCCGTCCGCCCATATGTACATATATATAAATGGAAGTTGCTGCCTGCTGCTGGCTGTGTGTTTAATTCATTTTCGAGGTTTTAATGCGCAACAACTGCGACTTGTTGTGTGTTGGTTAGGCGACAAAAAAAAAAACAAACAATAGCAACGTTGAGAATTTAGAAAGCCCAATGTAAACACGCACACAGATACACAGCTCCTTATAGGTGTGAGCTGCATTGTGCTTCCGATTTTCTGTGTTAAAGCGAAACTTCAAGCTCAATCTTAATAATTTTCTCTAAACTCACAGTGTAAGAACAATAATCACGCCAAGCGCCAGTTAAAACAAGAAAGAATAGAAATAAAAAAGAAAAAGTTGAGATCTCTCCGAGCAACAAGTACTTGTGCACCAATACACGCAAGGTAGTGCCACGACAAAAAGAGAAAAAAATACAGAGTAACCGAAACCATAAGCAAAACGGAGGAGTAATGGAGGCCACCACTACGACTACACCTGACTTAAATCGCAGCGATGCCACCAGGAAGAGTGTGCGGTTGTATGCCGCCCGTAAGGGGGCGGCACCTGCACCGCCCAAGCTTAGTGTGGCGCCCTCCAACAACCAGAACAGCAGCAGCAACATCAACAACAACAATAATACCGGAGAAAACTTGCCGGAAACGGAACTGCAGCCATCACATCTTGCCACTAAAGATCTCGAAGGAGCCATCGAAGATGACAGCATTGTAGAGCTGCGCCGACGTGATGGTCAGGCCACCCCATTGCCCAGGATAGCCGTATCCGCCCTGCCCACTCTGCAGCCATATCCTAAGCCCAAGGAACGCCAGAAACCTGTGCCACGCAACCTCCTTTCCACCGAAGACGATGCTGGTGTCTCTTTTGCCCTAGGCTCCATTGAAAAGCACATTCACAATGTGGAGGAGAGCTTTAAGCAGCAGCAGAACCAACAGCAATCCCAATCCTCGATGGACGTAATGAAAATGGAGATCAAGCGTAAGCAGAGCAAGCGATACGGTGAAACGGAAAACCTTCTGCGGCCGGGCATTAGTGATATGTCCTCGGAGAATGATTTCCAGTATTTGGGAGGAAGGCGGGCTGGCGAACTAGATGACAGCAACGAGCTGATGCTATCGGAATTCCAGCGTGGCAGCGATGGCCGTAACTCGATCGGAGCCTATTCTAAGAACTCGCCTGCTGCCGCAAACGGAGCAAATGCTGTGAAGGCCAAACTGGCACGTACTGCCTCGGATTCAAAGAATAATGACACTTTGCTGGCCATGAGAGCTACTCTGAAGCAGAAGCAGCATTTACAGGACGAGAAACAGCCGGCTGTATGGCGACCGGCTGGGACTGCCCCCACTCCTGCGGCCAGGAGCATCACCTCCACTTCGTCAACCTCAACCTCAACCTCTGCCAGTCGAGGTGGGAGCAGCAGCAGCGTTGTAGACGGTGTGTCTACATCAAAGCTAACGGCAACCACCATTTCGGCGTCGAAGCGGCGTGAAGAGAATTTGCGACAATTTGAAGCTCTATTGGCACAGAAGTCCTCACACCGTCATGCTACCTCTTCTGGAGCATCTGGTGCCTCAGGAACAGGAAGTAGTGCGGCCAGCTCGAAGAGACGTTCAGAGCGGCCAATAGTGGCTCCAATTCCGCCGTACAATTCTAGTCGGGCAGAGCCGCGGATTTCTGGCGCGACCAGAGCCAGCGTGAGTCCAAGGTCCACTTCTGGACATGGCTCTGAAGCAGGGTCGGCTCACACATCTGTCACTAGCCACGTTCCTAGCGTGGTACCAAGCCGAAGCCATGTGTACAGCAACAATGTTGCACAGGTAAACCCTAACTATGAAGGAATATTATCAACAATCCATTTAATATTCTACTCCATATCATTTCCATCCAACTCAGAGTAGCTTTTCCCCTTTCCAAGGGAAGAATTCCATACAAGTGTGGTTCAAAATCAGTTAAAATGAACTTTAGCAATATTAAGTTAATGGGTCAAGAAAACCTTTTTGATATTTACTAGATTTTTAAGGGGGGTTTTACGGAAAAACTAAGATTATTGACCCTATAACCCCATCCCTAAAATAATCTTTAAAAATAACTTTACTTATACATTTATACCCTATTTTACAGGGTTCGCCTAACATGCAGATGCGGAGTAGTGCTCCAATGCGATGGCGTGCTACGGAGGAGCACATCGGCAAATATAAACTCATAAAGACGATCGGCAAGGGCAACTTCGCCAAGGTGAAACTAGCGAAACATCTGCCCACTGGCAAGGAGGTGGCCATCAAGATAATTGACAAGACCCAACTCAATCCTGGGTCACTACAGAAACTCTTCCGAGAGGTTTGTTTAGCATATAGTTAGTATCCGTGCTTAGAGACTAATGCTCTTCTGTTTACAGGTTAGAATAATGAAGATGCTGGATCACCCCAACATAGTTAAATTGTTCCAAGTAATCGAAACGGAGAAGACGCTCTATTTAATCATGGAGTACGCGTCCGGTGGCGAGGTCTTTGACTATCTGGTTCTACACGGACGCATGAAGGAGAAGGAGGCGCGTGTCAAGTTTCGACAAATCGTCTCAGCCGTGCAATACTGTCATCAAAAAAGAATAATACACAGGTAAGACATGCTAATTAAATTCAAATGATTAATTTAGGCAAACATATTGATTTATTTGTCATTGCATTAACTGGAATTAATTATTTATTTTTTAACAGGGACTTAAAAGCTGAAAACCTTTTGCTGGACAGCGAATTGAACATCAAAATCGCTGACTTTGGCTTTTCAAACGAGTTTACGCCCGGCTCAAAGCTGGACACGTTCTGCGGTAGTCCGCCGTATGCGGCTCCGGAACTATTTCAGGGCAAGAAGTACGATGGACCGGAGGTCGATGTGTGGTCACTGGGTGTCATCCTGTATACGTTAGTGAGCGGTTCTCTGCCCTTTGACGGTTCCACCTTGAGAGAGTTGCGTGAACGAGTGCTCAGAGGCAAATATAGGTAAGATTTTCAAATAGATAACATTTATAATATAAATGTAACTAAATTAACAAATATTATTTCTGCAGAATTCCCTTCTATATGTCCACTGACTGCGAAAACTTGCTCCGCAAATTCTTAGTACTGAATCCCGCAAAGCGTGCTAGTCTTGAAACAATCATGGGCGACAAATGGATGAACATGGGGTTTGAGGAGGACGAACTCAAGCCCTATATTGAGCCCAAAGCCGATTTAGCCGATCCCAAGCGGATAGGTAAGACGGGTACTGTATACAAAATTCATTACTAATATTATTAACGAATTGTGTGTGGACTGGAGTTTTGCCTGCCAATTGCTTGTTTTAATTTCTTGCTCTGTTATCCAAATATCGTTGTTCTTGCAATGTAATATTTACTAATATTGTTATTATAATTTTTGTAGTTAAATGTTGCTTTCGAATATCCCTTTTCTTTGGGGATATCCCAATGTTGTGTTTAACCCTTTGGTTGTATTTTAAATTCATATGCCTACATGGTGTTTCATTTGTAAATTCTCACATAGCTGCGGGGTCACAAACCGGTGTCAAGAATTCGCTCTCGATTCGGCGTAGTGCGTACAACTTGATGTTGATGGTGAACTTTCTGATCGACGAGCGGAAGAGTCCATCCAAAAATGTATGCAATCTGTGTAGTGGAAACGTTAAAGTTCGACGCCCAGAGTTCCACATTAACCAACAACTCTCTGTTCTCTGTTCTCTATTCTTCTGTTCTCTTCTCACTTTCTCACTCTCTGTCCGCAAATATCAAACATACAAACAGACCGTCCAGGAAGAGACTTCAGATATCAAACCAGCTGCTCAAGAGAACGGATAACCTCATAAATTCATAAATCTTGAACAGCCAGCCAAGGGAAAATCGAATTTGGTTTTTTATGTTTCTGTTATCTTTTCATTTTTGTTTACTGCATTACTTGTTGCCAATGTAAATAGCTGTTGGTATGTGCACATAAAAAAGAGCAATAAATGGGGTTCTGTGAGAGGTATATTTCTTTCAATTCAAGTCGACGCGTTCCATTAAATACAAAGCTAAGATTGCATCCGGTTTGGGTCCTGTCACGGCGATGATATTACTATAATTCTATAATTTTGCTAGCTGCATGGTCTAAATACATACATATTTATATAGTTTTGTAAACCTAATGTTCTTAAAGCCAATTGTTAAGTTGAAGGCCAAGAGAACACACAATTCCGGCTACTCCAAATTGAACCATATATATCAGTTCGAGTATTGGCGATTTTTAAGCCAAATATATAATGTACCTGTAATGAATTTGCATGCGCTATCTAATCGTATTAAAAATGTCCATTGAATGTCCATAAACATCACCCCCTACTTACAACCAAAACTATTTGTCATTTCCGTATCGCGATGCTCAGAAGCTCTAGTCGCGATGGGCTACAATCGGTCGGAGATCGAGGCTTCACTCTCCCAGGTGCGCTACGACGATGTTTTTGCCACGTATTTGCTGCTGGGACGTAAGAGCACAGACGTAAGTTGGTTTATCGGATTGCCTTGATTTCTCGGCGCGGCATATAGATACTAAAAAGAGTCTCTTTTCCCATGCAGCCGGAAAGTGACGGATCGCGATCTGGCTCCTCGCTTTCACTGCGAAATATCTCGGGCAATGATGCGGGTAATACTGGCAGTGCGGGTGTGCAGAGTCCCACGCACAGAGGCGTCCATAGGAGCATATCGGCGTCCAGCACGAAGCCAAGTCGCCGAGCCTCGTCTGGTGCGGAAACTTTGCGTAAGTCCCGCTTTGGGGCTAACGGTTTAACTTAAATTATTAACTACTAAAACATTCTTGGACGGACATTCAGGATTTAGAAACTAAACTGGCATTACGATGAAAGACAATCTGAGTAAAATTAGTCTAACTTTTTCAAAAATTACTAAAACAACTTGAATGCCAGTTAATCGAAACTAATCAATTGCATTGTGATGTATTCATATTAATTGTCAGATATAAGAATAAGCAGTTGTATTAAAGAATGATTAGTTAATTAAGAAAATCCAAACTTAAACTTAAATGCATTTCCTAGGGCAGTTATAAATATTTTATAAAAGCAGATTTGAAAAATTCATATACATATGTAACTTTGTCTCGCCCAAGATTGTTTTTACATAATGCAAAGCATTTGTTGGTCTTAAAAAGTACAAATTTTTACCCATATGATTTGATCTAATTACAGGTGTTGGACCTACAAATGCGGCAGCACCAGTGGCGGCGGCCACAGGAGCCGTTGGTGCGGTAAATCCAAGCAATAATTACAATGCTGCAGGATCAGCGGCGGATCGAGCATCAGTGTAAGTAGTTAAGCTATAATGATATTAAATTTGTATTTTAATTAATCATATTTGACAGTGGCAGCAACTTTAAACGTCAGAACACAATCGACTCGGCTACGATTAAGGAGAATACAGCGCGACTGGCCGCTCAAAATCAGAGACCCGCTTCGGCCATCCAAAAGATGCTCACTACGGCAGACACTAGTGAGTGCTAAAACAGTTGAATATATAGAACAATGATTTAATTATATTATTATTGAATTTATAGCATTGATTAGCCCCGCCAAGCCGCGAACGGCAACGAAGTACGACCCGACGAATGGCAATCGCACGGTCAGCGGCACAAGTGGCATCATTCCACGTCGCTCCACCACGCTGTATGAAAAGACTTCGTCGACGGAGAAAACCAATGTTATTCCTGCAGAGACAAAGTACGTGAGAGTTGAGCTACATTTGTTAGAATATCGTTTAGAGACGATAAGTTTTAGTCTGAATCTTAAACAGCTGTACGAAATACCCGGTTATTGTTTGCATCACATTCCCCCTGTTCGGCAGGCTTATTTAGTTGTTTAGTCAGTCGGTAGCTGTGGAGCCTGCCGCAATTATATAATATTATTTGCCTTTGGTTCGCACGCAAAACAACGATCCGATCAAATTGTATCCGATCTGGAGGTTAGAAAGCATCTAGTTAACGCAGCAGCTGCAGCAGCAGCTTACTTACACTCCCATCAATACAGAGATGTAGAGAGGAGATCGTTTCAAGATTCCACGTGAATACGAACGACATATAAATTGTATATAGTCACGCACAGTTTAGTTCTCTTTAGTTGCCGGTGCCGTTGGCACATTCAAAAATGACTTCCTTTTTTATTTCAACATTTTGTTTTATTTGGTTAAACTTAAAATGCAAAAAACCTAAACTCTTACCAAAACAAAATCAAAACAATGTCATATTTACGATTACGATTCTACCCACTTTTCGGCCTAAACTTGAAACATGCACATAACCAGCAGCGGATCGGCAGCTCCCGCTGGGAAAGGTCATACCAAAAGCGCGTCCGTCTCGAGCCCTCGCCCCTCTGCCGATGGATGCGTATCGGTCTCTAATGACCCGCTCGGAACGAGGTATACACTTGTGTAATTAACAAAGAAAAAAAAAATACGCAACAAACAAACCAAATTTTGTTAGTTTAATTAACGGATTATTTGAAATTCAACTTCTTTTGGTTTCTTCTTTATCATTTTCAAATTGGCTGGCATTCTTTTTGTTTTGGGAGAATTATTGTGCATTCTGACAATCATTTCACCGAATCATCTCCATTAATCATCGACGAACTCTGTAGACCCGCCACCAACAAAACCAAAAACAACCAGACAAAGCCATTCACTTTAATACCCACATATATGACAGATGTTCCTTCTGAAGCTCAGCCCTATCCTTTGGTGTTTTAGAAGACATTACTTGAGTTTTTACAACATAAATTTATATGAAATGTATTTAAATTAAGTATTTGTAGTTTTCCCATATAAAGAATTAACGACTATTGGGTGTCTCAAAGTAAATGAGAGTTATTTAACTTAGAGAGGTATTTGTGCTGTGCGTGATATGTAAAAACTTGGCTTTGGGAAATCACTATATATATGGTTTTATCGCAGCTTTAGATATACCCGAGAATCTTAGGTTAAAGTTATTTAAATTACCCTAAGTCTGACCTCGAATGGAGCCCAGCGTTGGTCATTATAGGCTAGATATTTAACATCTCTTATCTCAATATTTATAAGTATTTATTAGGTGTTATTGTTTAATTTGTTTACTGTTCACTCTTCTATTAGTTAATAGTGTTGGCCTTTCCTAGTTTCGTTCTATTCGTTTTGTATATTTATCTAATTATCCAATGTAATTTTAACGACCTAACCAATTTGATCAATTGAATAATGTAAATTTCTTATCTTTTCATGTTTTTTACAATTTTGAACATTGTCTGTTTACAAACCAAATGTCTAATTTTGATAACTACTACACTACCACATATGTACATCCATTCCTTGTGGCGTTCTATATCCGCAACAACAAAATAACACCACCACCACCTACGAATCTGAATCTGAAACTGAAACTGAAACTGAAACTGAATCTGAAACTGCAACAACCTCCTTCGTCCTCCTATCGACGCTCGCTCAATTATTGTACTACTCTACTATAACTACCTTTTCGATCGTACTCGTAATGCAAATTGAAAAACTGAACCGAAACAAAAAAAAAAAAAAAAACTGAACTATAATCCAACAATTCAACAAATATTGCTAACCGAATCGACAACCAAAACCGATCCGATTTGAAAACCAAAATGAATGGTTTGATATTTGAATTCAATTTGGATTCGAATCGAACCAAACGAATCGAACAAATTTGGTGAGTGAAAATATGCAATCTTACGTTAAGAGATATTTATTGTGCTTCATTCAACCAAGGGTCGTGGGCGTGTCAAATAATAACCAATAATTGCAAATTATATTTTTGCAATCATTGTTATATAATTTCCATCGACTTGATGTCTATATGTATTTCTTATGTAATATCTTTTTGGGTAAAAAGTAACGTAAACGAACACGACCCTTTCCATAAACAAGTTATATTGCTTAAGTATGTAAAACTAGCGTACGGTTTGGTTTAATTTTTCTAATTTTGTTGGTCTACTTTTGTGATTCATTTAAAAAAAAAAATACGAAATTCAATTGTCGGCGATGCCAAGACATATATTTTATTGCTCGAACTAAGCCCGCTTGGTGTCCCAGTAAGCTAAAGTCAAGTACTGGACTTTCATACTAAATCAAGTGAATAGTTTTTTATTTCGTATTCGCATTGGGAGAGTCCAATTTTAGGCGATCGAAATCCAAGTTTCTAAACTAAGAACTCATTATTTTGTTTGTTTCCTCATGCATGTCTGTCTCTGTCAGTAAAAAACAACTCTATTGACTCTACTTCCATCGCCAGTATAATTGAATTTTTATTCCATTATTGTGTGTTATCGTTTACTGTTAATGTTACTACTGCCTACCAATTACCAATTACCAATATTTTATAAACTCAGTTTGATATAGTTTGTTATTGTGCTGCTGTTGTAACTTTTGTACCTCTGAACATAACTACTATATGCTCTCCAATGTACGACTTCCATGTATCTAACCGTTTAACAACTACTACATGCGTATTTCCTTCAACCATATAACTCATATTCTTTGTTAAGAATATCGGGTATTAGGACGTAATGCTGTAGACAAGCTTATATTAGTTTGTACTAATGATAACGATCCAGTTGAGACTTGGTTCTGGATCTGAAAGTATATGAACTCTTTTGATAGCCAGTCGAACGCATGTTCCATCCAAAAAATAAAACATATAATAAAAACGCTTTCATGTAGTTTGGAGAATCCGACCTTCTTGTTTGCCGAGCTTTCCAATAATATACTCAAACATTCTTGCATATGTTCATGTCCATAAAACCAACGAAACAGTCGAAAGTTTTTTTTTTGTCGTATACGATTTTATTTCTAAGAAACGTATTTTTAAGTGCTTGTCTCTTCTTAAGAAAATTTACATGATCTATTTTTATTTTTTTCTTTTCATTTTGTTTATGTCTGCGACGTGATCGATTAAACAATATATACAAAACCATAAACCCTTGGTTAAACGTCATCAATTTGTCACATCAATCAAACGAAATGCTTGATTCTCGCTGCTCTGACCATCTACACCGCCTGCCGCCATCCTACATAAAACCAACCCTAACCGATCTCCAAACAAAACAAACAATTACGAACATGAATACGAAATCCAACAATTGGCCAATGACGCAACATGGGTAACTCTTTGAATCTCCAAAAACCAATCGATTCTAATCAATTTGATTCGATTTGATGATGATGACCCAACGTTTCTATTACTCATTCCATTCACCTAAAAACAACATTATCTTTCATACATAAAACGAACGATCATAACATGTTACAAACTCTTGAACAAACGATTACACTAAAAAAAAACAATCAACAAATATTTAATGGAAAAACAAACAAAAAAAAAAAAAAACAATTTTATACTGATAAAATCATATTCGTTTCCCGAAATGCGATTCATTGGATTTGAATGTACTCTCCGACGAACTGATTCGATACTGATTTGATTTCCATTCATACCTATGTGTGTACCATATATGTATCGTACTTGTACATATATAGTCTGTTCGATCGACTTAGAATGGCATCGGCTGTTAAATCAAGCAGACACTTTCCAAGGAATGTTCCATCACGTTCAACCTTTCACTCTGGTGAGTTTTCTGTTCACTTATTTTTATTAGTTTTAATAATAATAATTTAATTTTATCCACACCTCCTTCTACTAAAACCCAAACAAAAAAAAATAAATATTTTTTAAAAATAAGCCCGAACTAGGCTAAACTACTCATTCATAGATGTTAAACGCGTAAATCGAGTGTTGTTTATTTATAAATATATTATTTTTGAAACTGAAACTGTTTTCATTCTGCATCCGATATAGCAATCCCGCACTGCACCTCTTTTCCATTCATGTTGCATACCAATCGCGCCTCTATTATTATTATTGTTTTGATTTTGATTTTATCAAGCAACAAGCTGCTATATATAATCAACTCGATCGATCCATTAATATGAATGTTACTTTATGTTCTTATACATCGCATCGCTTATGATTTCCGCGATCTTATTATGCACCCCTCTGCACGTTTGTCTAAGTGGATTCGTAATACTAGTACGTTTGCCTTTTATACATTGAATCAAACCCAGTTACCTTGCCAACCACCCAACCCACCTGTATATATATCTTTGTGTGCTTGGAAATACGGATGGAAAACTATTCATAGCGACCTAAATTACTCAACGGTAGAGAAATGACATTTGTCTGTCTACATTCAGCTATCGCGATTCTACTAAAAATAACGTTAACTGCAAAATGTTTCTGCCTATTGGACAAAGTGCAATGTGATTATAGTAGGTGTTATCATATTTGATTATATAGCAATCGGGAGTTTGTATGTTTGCGTTTACAAATGTTACAAAGTTTAAAGTAAGAAATTGAATTAAATGTTAGCTGTGATAGTCATATTATCCCATGGTGACATCTTGAATCTGTATAATTTACTGTAAAGATCTTACGACTGAGTTCAAGTAGTTGTCAAATATTAAATTTTACTAATAGAAGTTATCTTTTTAGTTAGTATATATCACGTTGCACTTTGGGCCTGACAATGCAGCCGTCTGTACGTACTCTGAAGTATTTTAGACTGTATGTACTTTAGTTTAAAACAAAAATAAAAAAATGAAAGTAAAAAGGAATCAGTTAGTTTTTAGAATGTGTTTGTGTACACACCAATCGAGTGCGTAAACGATAAGAATCTAACTATGTAATCATTGCAATCCCTAGGTCAAACCAGAGCACGAAACAACACAGCGTTGGAATACTCGGGCACCAGCGGTGCCTCCGGCGACTCCTCCCATCCGGGTCGCATGAGCTTCTTCTCCAAACTCTCCTCACGTTTTAGCAAACGGTAAGTAGTGCTTTCACCAAATATATCACATATAGCCAAAATTCATTTCTTCAGTTAATGGAATATTACAAGAAAAGCAAATGCAAACTGCAATTCGATTTACATTTATTTTTACGTTTATGTTACTTTACTTTCTCACATCATTTTGTTTAATAGTTGATTTCATTTTTTTTTTTTTAATTTATATCTCGTTTGTTTGATTTCTCTCGTTTATCATTTTATGTTTCATATTATTGTTTCATTTAATTGCATATCTGCCGCACATATGAAACATCCATGTGTGTATGCTCATGTTTATGTTTTGTACCGGAGTTTGTTCTGCAAACAGTTGTCTGCAGAATGTCCGTAAAAAAGTCACTGAAGCCAGCCCAAAGTTACTGCTACAAAACGCATTGCAAAGCCATGCCCATATCGATGCACATAACTAAAAAAAAAAACGTCTTGTTTAAAACACCCGTTGGATATGCAGAATTCTCAAATTGTAAAATCTTTAAATAGGCTTTAGAGTAAACTATATTTTTGAGCTTAACTCTCTGAGGAAGGACAGGCGAAAAGGATTTTCGGAGATCATGATACAGACACCAGCAGAAAAGAGATCATAGCTTTTTAGTTGGGAAAATTATAGAAAATAGGACATTAAAAACAGACAACTACTTTCTGTAATTTCTAAATTTCACATAATGCACTGAAATGTTTTAATTAAATGTACATTGAGAGAGTTTTAACATTTATGCACCAGTTTTGAGTGCGATTTTTGTGTTGTTTTCATGTAATCACCCTCTCACCAGTATCACGATTGTTAAAAAAAAACTTGACTGCACTCTGTTAAAAATTATTAAAATTAAGTGAGAGAAGAGAGGTAATGAGAGAGAGAGAAAGAGGCAGGCAGGCAGGTGATTAAGTTTCCAATATAAATATATAGACAGCAATACCCAAACAGCTCCCCCAACTAACCGACATAACTGCTATGCAAATGCTCAAGTTTTCCGACCGTTCTAGGATCTAATGATTTTACTAATAACCCAATTCAGATTATAAAACGACAACCAGCACTTGCATTCGATTGCATGATGGATAATAAGTGTTATGGGCATTAGTTTTTTAATATTGGTTATCCTTTTGTTTTACTTCGAACTCCAGCTCCAGCTCCAGTTCATAAATATGAAATTATTGAATGATTATCTTCCACTAATGATATGCACATGTTTTTTGTATATGGAATTTCCTTTTGTGTTTTTCGTTTTTTTTTTTGTTTCTTTTTTAACTATTTGTTGAACTGAAAGACTTTCAGAAGGAAAGTATGTACACTCTATGTATATACCAACCACGAACACCTAACACACATTTAACGTACTACACACTCAGGACTTTTGCTTAAGAACGAACTCGAACTCGCATATGCACCACATCCGGTCCGATGCACTCACTATACCCCTAAGTTTTAGTGGTTCCGTTGGGTGGTTCGGTGGATCAGTGAGAGACAGTGGGGTGCATATGCTAGTTCGGTCAATTAGTTTAGACGCTCGCAATGCATTGCTAAAACATTTGTATTCCTATCCATATTTAGTTAGCATACGTTACGTACCAACCAATCATACTACTACTACTACAACTACTACTTACATATGTACATTGTGTAAAATATATTTTGAATGTGGCTCAGCCCTAGTAACAGCGAATGACTGGCTATTCGGTCGGGATGTATACCAAACTATACAATATTAAAGTGTCAGTGTCCATCAATGTCTCGATTTATCATGCCTGACTATCTATCGTATCGATTGATCAGTTTTACAATAAACGAAATAATACGGAACTCAAACCACCAAGTACATCGATTGCAAATATTCAAATTCGAATTCAAAATCCGCCTATGATTCAGGTGCAAAACAAATACAAAACTATACATACAAGCATATGGTGACAACGTGCAAAATACAAGTTATATACGAAGTATACGGAACTGAATCCATAATCTGATTGGCCTTGCAACCAAAGGGTCTTAATGTCTGTCGCTTCCTCTCTACGCTCTCAAAATCTCCGTCACACCTTTAGTTTGTTTTATTCTCAATTGATTTTTTAAAAACCAAAAAACCAAAAAAAACCCAAAAACAAAAAAGAAAACATATATATAAATATTATTGTAGTTTTTCTAATCCTGTATATCCACGTTTGCTTTGTACAACTATGTACTTCCATTATATATCACCTCACGCTAGGAAGGCTCTTTTGTTCTTGTCTTTTTCTTTCATTTATTAAATACATGATTCAATTATTTACAATAATAAGCTCTTTGACAATTTAAAAAAAAAGAAAAAAATGTGAAATGTTTACCATTTACTTATCAGTTGAAGAACAATTGCGTTTACTTTTCTTTGTTCTTTTTCTATGAAGAAACATGAAAAATGAAACTTACCATTTATTCCGTTTTATTCTTATCTGTCTTCTTTGGTTTCATTTCTGGTATTTGTTTTACCCATTATTAATATTTTTTCCAGCCGTGAATAATTTGTTTAAAATTTTTTCTTTAATTTTAGGCCAAACCAGTAATTAACAAAACAAGCATTAACTACTTCTTGTTAATAGTTCTAAAACTGAAACTGAAACTGAAACTGAAACAAACGATTCCCCTAGAGTAAACGCGCGTGACGGAGAGGTTCAGATATGAACATACAGACACAGATATGGTCGAATCCAATCGGATCGCTCGGATCGGATCGGGATACGATACGATTTAAATATTGTTCCCATTAGCCGTTTGCCGTTGCCGATCCGATATCGCTTTCGATTCGATTTCAATTCCGATTCCCGGTTTCGATTCGAACCCCTTCAAATGAACACCGACAACGTTGAGTTCCGTTGCGTTAATTGAAATTTCACAAAATACGCCTATGTTTTATTACAATTATTAACTAATTATACATATAAATTTATATAAATTAAAGATACATATACATATATATATATATAATTAAAAGTAAAGCAACCACAAACAGAAATTACGAAACCCTTTGTTTTCATTGTTTGTAAAACGATGCGAGGAGCGAGCGACCAGCAAAAAGGCAATACAGAAAATAAATAAATTTAAAATTATACAAAACGAAACGAAACCGATAGCGAAACAAACTAAAACGCAAGATACCGTATGTTTAATGCAATAATCAGAGAGAATCCTGACTACTATTGCTGTCACTGTCACGATTATGGATTATATTAACTACTAAATATTACACCTACGAGTACTACCTAAACTACATATATATTTATGTTAAATGCGTATCGCAATTATAGTTAATAATTAAACAACAAAAAAAACAAAAACAAAAACAACAATAAATAATATCACTGAGCAAGTGAACGTGAGATAAAACTGCAAAAAGTATATTAACTTAAGCCTAACTCAACTAAACCGATCTAAAACCGAACTATATAGAGTGCGTGGTGTTTTCGCCTACATCATTATCTTATAGTGACCACAATGAAACACCAAAAGAAAAGAAGTTGCTAATTTTGTAACGATGATCTTGAATTTTATTTAGCGATCTTTGTATTTATATGTATGTGTATGTATGTATGGATCTGTATTTGTATTTCGATATGAGCTTGAATTAAATTGTATCCGTGGATCATACAATCAGATATCAAACAAACAAACAACCAACAAACAAACAAACAAACAAACCAACCAACCAACCAACCAAGCAGCCAGCCAGCCAACTAACGATCTTGCAATTCATTATCACCCAGAAGCCAGATGTGCAGCGTATATATATATATATATAAGTATTTAAGCATACCACGTAGTCACTAAAACAAAACAATGCGATACATATAAACAAATTAAACTTAAATTCAAGGAATAACAATGTATTACCACTAGTGCATGTGACCATTTTATTTGTACAGCTGATTATATATAGATCGTGTTATCATCGGGCGCCTTCAGTGGCTCGATCAGTAGTTATCTATACATATTAAGTTTCAAAGAAATAACGCATAATTAAAACAATTGATAATTTAATAAATCCATAATAAATGATGTGAAACATTTGTGAGCAAAAGAATATTCCCACAATGCATTTCTATTTTATTTCATTAACCATTTGCATTTGCTAATCCACGATACACTAGGTTTGGTTAAATCTTCTGGGAAATGTTATTATATTAAAATGTTCTTAAACAACTGACCTACGAACTGACTACTAAAACTCTTTTCTGATTCTTGAATATCAGCATGAAGAAAACTAAGTTAAATTTTTAAAAGCCATCAGCATACATAAAATATAATAGAGAGCATAACTTCCAAGTTTCTTAAAGTAAAAGATCTCAACTCAACTCTACGATTCTAAAAGTATAAGTGAATAACTTATAAATGTAACTGAAACGCCTGTGGACCGCGAGACTTCCGATTTCTTAAATTGGTTATATATTTTCAGTCCCACAACCGCAGATGAAGGGGCGAAACCAAGAGTTTTACGATTCACATGGTCCATGAAAACCACTTCGCCCTTGATGCCCGAAACGATAATGCAAAAGATCAGGGAAGTGCTTGACCAGAACAATTGCGACTATGAGCAGCGTGAGAAGTTAGTACTAATAATACTAACATATACAGACATTTTAAATGATATATCTGTTATCTTAAATAGATTTGTTCTTTGGTGCGTGCATGGGGACCCAAATACTGACTCACTGGTGCAATGGGAAATCGAGGTGTGCAAGCTGCCACGTCTCTCTCTTAATGGTGTGCGCTTTAAGCGAATTTCTGGTAGGTTTCCTGGTTACTTTTAAATAAAAATTGTTTAACTAAAATACGTATTTCATTTTCAGGCACCAGCATTGGCTTCAAGAACATTGCGTCTCGCATTGCTTTTGACCTCCGGCTGTGACTTAACCAAACGAACAACGAGGGGAATGCGGCCGCCGCCGCCTTGCGGCCCACTGATCCATCCGACACCATATCCACCGGCAACTGTCGGAGGCCCAGCAACGACAGCACCTCCCGGCTGTCGGAGCTCTCGCTTCTATGTCGCTCGTTGACTAGCCAACAGGGCTCTCAGCGACGCAAGAAGAGTCGGCTGTCTACCGGTGGCAGCGAGGATCAGAAGAAATCCAACTCGTTGCTGTCGGCATTTCAAATGTACTCACCCTTCAGTTCCAAGGAGAACTTGCAGTCCAGCGAGGAGGTCGAAGATCTCCAGGTGATTGACACACAGCCAGGACACTCTGTTGATGTGCCTCTCTTCGCTGACTTCTGTCCCATAAATCCGATTATGGAAGAAGATGCTGAGGGCGTTGAGGGAAAAACCAGTGAGGCCAAGGGCACTGTCGGTGGACAAAAAGTCAAAGGTGATGGCGGCGGCGGTGGTGGCGGGGGCGGGGGCAATCGATTGAAGCGGAATATCAAGCACACCGGGAGCCTAATTGTACGTAAACTTACTGCCGGCAGGCACAGTGATGCGGACAAAAAGGGTGCGACTGGAAAGAAGGATAAGGAGCAGGATAAAGAGGTGGCGGCGGCCACGGATAAGGAGAAACCAAGCAGCAAGCCGGAGGGCAAGGTAGCCATGCTACGCACCACAACCCTCTAATGCAATGGAACAAGGTCGTGGCATGGGCAATACGTTTAATTGTGGGGCAGTTTGTATCTATTGAATGAGTGAATTATGAAGGCAATGCGGCAAATCGCTGATGGAATCTCAAGAAAAACAATTAATGTTAGCATCTCTCCGTATATCGAACGTATTGAATATATATAACTACTCATAACAATCAAGCAGACAAACTCCTCTATCTATCCACACTGACATGCATTAGCACCCGCATAGATACGCACATGTTTACATACGTTAATTAATAGAAACCTAGTTAATGGGCCAGCAGTATTGGTCATCGAGCTGCAGGCAAGATGAAACACAAGTGAATATATGAGGATAACAGAAACACCACTCAATAAAACAATAACAATAATTATTAACAAGAAACCAATCAACGCTCTATAAACTGCATTTATGTGTCGATATCTCCAGTAAACGAACAATTTTGCTTGGCCAACAAACGATCAAAGAACACAATTTCATAGATATCCGACTCGGGTTGTTTCTTTTTTAAAGACATGCTTTCAAGAATGTCGTATGTGACAGCATATAACGTTAGTTTTGAGGCGAGATTAATTCATAATATATATCAATGATCGCATCACAAGTCGGATAGCCAAATGTCTTACTCTACTATACTGAAAATGTGCCCAACTCCAAACCCAATACCATCTATTGTAATTACTAGGCCCGTGCTCGAATACGTAGTTGGTACTTATACCTGACATTTTTTGTTGTTTTGCTTCAATTTGAACAGTTCTTAGAACAGACAGAGAAAAAAATGTATGTATATTACTGTTAAGGCTACAAGTTTACTAACAAAACAACACCACTCCGAAACATGTAACATTGCGATGCAATTATGGCCAATTGTTACATAGTTTCCATTAAGTTCACTTACCCCCCAGAAAAAGACGAGCCAGTGGCTTTTTGGGGCCATTCTACAAGAAATTGTTGAATGTCTCTGAAGCAGACCTTAATGTGTGTTACGAAATCGAAAGTAAATGGGATTTTTAGGAGGAGCGATCTCAAGTGAGATGTAGGAAAAAAGACGACCATTTATCTAAGTTGTGGAGGCTCAAAAAACAGTCTATATATACCAAAACATATACATAGTTGCACATCAAGTTGTCTTCATCATGATTGTGACGCATTTCTGTAATTCTTAACTTTCGAGAAAAGCATGCATCGTTTTATATATTTGTTGTTAAATGACAGCTAATTGAAACTTATTAATAATTACTAGGACTAGGCAAGAACGCGCATAAACCACACATAAGTATATAATACATGCATAAATATATAAAGGAATCAGCTTATTACATATATGCCGAGAGATATCCTTAGTAGTGTGCCGGACTCCCTTCCCAAAAAAAAGAGACATATATCTTTGTAAGCATTGCTAAAATTTCACCTATTCTATGTTTTTTGTTGACAGCAATCTGAGGTCAGTAATATAAATTCACGCACCCAGATCCACATTGCACACTATGCTAGTTGTACTCTTATTTCTTGTATTTATTTTGATTTACAAACGGTTGAGTTAATGTAAAACAAAGCGAAATTATTGAGAACACCATTAAATCAGAATTATGATAAAGCCGATTATAGAATTTACGAATAATCATGTTGTAAGAATATCTGATATACATACATACATAGATGTTTTAATTAATAAATACAAAATGGCATAACTATAATTAGTGTTGTGTTTTCCTGCGTACAAATAATGTAAGTGGTTTGTAAGTCTTCTGGTTAAAGTGGCATGTGCGATGCGAGATGTTGTGACCTGTGGGTGTGCCCAATATTCTCAAAGTTCGTCATCCATGTTAAAGTCTTCTGGCGGAAAATCGCCAACCGTGACGGATAATGGCGACACAAAGCCGCCGTAGTTTGGCGCACAGGTAAAGTAGGCCTTTCCACCGAAACTGAAATGAGAAATAATGAGAAGTAAAGTAATTAATTATTCATAAAGTAATTGCTCAATGAAAGCTGTTACCTTCCGTTGTTTTTGCCCAATGGCTCATCGTATTCAACGCCTATGAAATATCCACTTTTCCCTTCTAGCTGACCATTATATCTGACCGTTCCACGACGTGTTGGATTACCTGGTACTGTGACCTGAAAGGAAATGAAATGTTCTACTAAAACATCTGAAAATATGAAAGACACTTTACCTCGCATCTGCCACCCAGAACGCACAGCTCCGCTCGTTTTTGAACCTCCTCTGCCTGAATGCGCCTCTTCTCCTCCAGCTGCTGCATCTCCTCCTCGTTGTACTTGCCCATGCGATTCTGCTTAAGGTAGTTGCGCAAGGAATCGGTTCTCTGGTCGTACTGATCCTTGGTCAATTCGAATTTCTCAACGGGAGCATTGTCAAACGAAAAAGTAGCAAAGGTATCGATTACATGCAGCCGGAGACCATCACAGTTGGCATAGTAACCCAGTTGGGCATTGTTGTTGTCCAGCGTGGATAAGCAGGTGTCTCCCTTGAAGACCTGCACCTTCATCGTGCTCGCACATCCTCCCGTCAATATCTCCAGTTTGCTCTGATGGGAAAATGTAAGTATCAGTACAGGTCACAGGTTATATACAACTCACCAATCCCCTGAAAGACTCACCTTGAGCTGAGCAACTGTTAGATCTTTGGCGAACTTCACCTCGAAGGCGACTGCATCGTTATGGGAATTGGACACATTTGCCTTGATAAAATCCGATTTGCCCGGTTCAATTATAAGCGACATCTTGTGTTTCTTGGGGAGTATTTAAAGAATTTTGAAGTATTTGATTTGTAAAGTTATCCAGAAAAACCGGGTGTTATGCTGATATATTGATTGAGAAAGTGACTAACAAAAACCTTAGTAGCAGTAATCAAAAAAAGCACTAAAGCGTTTCGTGGAGCTTAGAGAAAAATACTAAAAGAAAATACCACAAACCATGGTATAAAGGTATAAATACTTTTTCAAAATTCAAAAAGAAAAATCGGAATGTTTTGTTGAGCTGAAGTCGTAACTTTTCAAAATCTATTTTCTATAATCTGTTATAACCATTTTACAGAATTAAAGTGCGTGTTTGTTAATGTGTTCTTAACTATCCATTGTTAGAATCAATAATCCACAAAAGCAATAGTTTTCGGTGATATTTCGTGTATTTTGTGTTTTGCAACTTATAAATAACTATTATTTGGTCTTGTGATATGATGTGCAGTCTATTTGTTTGCGTCAGTCCTTAAATGATTCGATCTTAAGAGGCTGCCAAAATGTAAGGTCTTATGTCCTCAACATCCAGAAGCTGCTCCGGAGCCACGTTCTCACCGCACATAGGACACTCTCCATTTTCCGACAGAATGCTGAAAGTAAGGTTTAATAATAATAAGGTTTAAAGTTGTTACTCTTCAGGATAGAACTTACTTCTCCATCTCAGCTCGGAAGCAAAGAAAATCGCATTGTGGACAGGAGGTCATAAGCTGTTTTATAATGTGCTGCCCAGTGGCTATGCAGATGGGTAGTGTGGTCTTGCAGCTATAGCAAGTAACCTCCATGTTGGCAAGGTTCGAGTCACAGATGGGACACTCCATGGTCTCGTCGTCGATCTCATCCCGCAACTGCTTAATGCCCTTGGGAGCTTTGCGCACAATGGACTCGATTTTCTTTGCATATCGGGAGTCCAGTTGATTCCGATAATCCGGACGCATCAGAGTGGAGGCATAGGTAAATGCCGACTTTTTGAGCCCTGCTCGATGACACTCAATCACCGTAGAGGTGAGAATGGGAATGATATCTGTAAAATTATAAAATGATCATACACACAAAACATATAACAACATTCTTACGCTCTGGAAATTGAGATATACAGGCGGCCACTTGAACCAGAAGCTTTGCGGCCAGCAAGTGGTTTCCCAGTTTTACATGAATTCGCACTAATGTATAGCGATGTAGTAAAATAAACTGGTGCCTCATCTCAGCCGTCACTGAAAGATTATTCCGCCGCAGTTCCTGATACATGGAGTACAGCAGATCCCTTGCTGACTTGTAGTTACCAGCGAGTTGTTCCTGATTTGCAATAATCACCGCTGTCTTGGCTGCATCCTTGTAGTGCTTCCTTGCCATGTATAAACGAAATAGATAACGTGGATCCTTGGGTACTCCATCCACTTCTCCCAAAAGAAATTCAATGAGCTGGGAGGCCAACTGCTCATTGTTCGAGGTGGCCACACAATCGATAGCCAGCGACAAAGAGACCTGCTCCTCATTGTTAAAAGCCGAAGCCTTAAGCAGAAATCTCAAGGCCTTAGTAAATTCCCTGGCTAAGAAGTAATATTTTCCGGCCAGTAGAGTGTACTTCTCACCCTCGAAATAATGTGCCAGAGCTAGATAATCGGATGATTTAGCATTCTCATATCGCTCTAGGAGCTCTCCATGACGTCTCAATTTGTTATGACGCTGAGCGAGGGCAAATGCTTCCTCCACGCAGCCGCAGATAACAAGAAACTGGAGTGCTTGTTCTACATCTCCTATTTTCTGGTAGAACTTGGCCAGCAGCTTGGCCGAATCCATTGAACGCGACTCCAAAACGATTTCAGAGGCTGCATGAGGGTCACACAAGTGGTCCAAGTAGATTCTAACACAAGCATCCAAATCACCGGCAATACGATAACTCCTTATTGCCTCCTCAAAATGTCCATCGTTCTCTTTAGCCTTAGCATAAGCTGCATGAAGTTTGGTGCTTTTCACCTTTGGTAGGACATTATTGGCCTTGTTCCACATCTTTAGAGCAATGTAGTGACCACAGGCCTCATCATAGAAACCACCACGTTCATACAATCCAGCTGCCTCTGTAAGATGTCCCACGGTGGCCAAAAGCTCCGCGCAGTCAAACAGTAGCTGCTGATCTTCCAGCTCCACTGCATATTGAATCTAATACAATATGGCACATATAATTGAATTTTTAATAAACTTAAAATAAAAAATTTATAGATTACCCCACGTCTAAAGTCTCCTGCTCTGATTGAGGTTCTGGCAATACCCATTTTGCAGAGACGCACATGCTCCTCGTACTCGGGTGAACTCTCTATGAGAGCAGTAGTATCAGTCTCCTTGCTGTTGATTAAATCCTCCTTGTAACCCTTCTCGTAGTGATATAGAGCATCAGTATAGTTTCCACTGCAAAAAAAACAGAAAACATTTAAATTTGCAATCAAAATACAAGATTGGATGCTTTACGTGAATTCCAATTGCTGGGCGTACTCCCTGGCTATATAGGGAACCTCTTGAGGATCATTTTTGTGGGCCAGAAGAAGTGCTTGATCCCATTGGAGAAGATCTCGACAGAGATCTAGAGCTGCTCTGGTGTAAACTCCCTTTAACATCTGCTCCTTGGCTTGGTCGTACTGGGCTAAAAGCGTACAACAGCAGCCAATAAGCATGTCCAAATCCTCGATGTACCGCAGTTCTCCCAAAGCATTCACCAGAGCAGCATCACCCAACTGACGGTAGGCTCGAATGGCTGGTAACAAATTGGGTATTCAATGGAAAATGGAACTGAAGGAAAGTGAAGCATTAATCTTACCTATATCTGGCTCCAGATCAGCAATGGCCTGCTCCCCAAACTCACGCCAGGCGCTACTCTGATTCATTTGCTTGCACAGCTTATACGCCTCATCGTAGTTTCTAAGCCGCAGAAGCACTTGAAGATTCGCTGTTTGGCTGTTGCTTGGATTAACGACGTGGGTAGTGAGGGACTGCGTGGCATACTGGCCACCATCTACATGCAGGGCCATCTCCCCACCACATAGCAATAAAGGAAATTGACCTGGATTTAGTTTAGTTTCACCCACTTTCAAGGTGTGTGTCCCTTGCACAGAGTGCCGAACAAAGGCATGTGTATTCACTATCCTCGAATCGTAGCTAATGAAAATGTTAGGATGCGTGAGGTCCCACAAACAGCCGAGGCACTCTTTGGGAATGTCCGGAATGAGCAAGGCTTCCTCCACAACGGGCAAAAATACATAACCCTGGGAATGATCGTCTATAAAAATAACCTTGGTGCCTTCAATATCCATGAAGAGCTGGCGGATGCCCATACTATGTCTGTAGATGGTGCAGCTTTCCCATTTTTCCAACGAATAGAATACCAGGTGACCTATCTGTAAGTAGGAAATCAAAGAGATATCAATGATTAAAAACAATCGGATTGATATGAGGAACTTACATCTGTTGCAAATATAAGAAGCTCCTGACTAAGGGTAAAGCATGTGATCACCGCATCACTAGGCATATTGGGTAATGCGGTGGGAAACACTGCCTGCAATTTGTCCTTGCAGTTGGCATTGTCGGCAACTATGGCCTGAAGGATAAGCTGCGGCGGACAGAGGGCTGCACAGTAATCCGCATTCAACCTCATACTCTCCACGTTGCGCGGAAAGTCTCGTTCGCTTAGTGGACGGGGCTCTTCGCCCAAACTCTTTCCGAGATCATAGAACCACACATGCTTATCAATTCCTGCGGCAAAGTTATAGGGACCCACGGCCATGAAGGTGGGCTCTCCCTCCAGGGGTAAGCGGAATGGCAGCGACTTTGTCTTGTCAGGTGCATAGACATAGATAGACACTTCGGCGAGGCTACTCAATAGGACAATTCTGGGCGCTGACACCGCAAACAGATGTGGCAACTTGGTTACATAGATGTACACAGTACCATGGTTAGTGGTAACAGCTAGAAGTTGCCCATCAGGTGACCAGTCGATCATCTGAACACCAGCATGATCGGGAACAGTAATGATTCGCTCCGTTTCTTGGAGATTCGTGATTGAGTGAATCTTGATGCTGCTTAAAAAATGAAAAAATTAATTTCATCATTTTATCTTTACAAGTTTAAAGTTTCTTGGGAATTAACATCCTACCTGTCATCACCGCAGGACGCCACAATGTCTAATGTGGGGCAGTAGGCCAAGCCGGTTAACGTGTCTTTATGGTTTTTCACCTGCCACAGCTCCTGGCCGACGTCCTTTGGATGCGTGGAGATAGCAACCACATGTCCGTTGGAGAAACCCAGCAGGATGTAACCATCGCCGAACCACTTGTGCTGCATCAACGACCCGTAGCGACTTTGGAAGCCCAGCTCTGTTGGATTCTCCGGCTCAGGCAGATAGTAAAGGAACAGTGTGCGCTTTCCGATGATCATGCTGATGGCATTGTCCCCTGCAATTCGTTCGTCATTGGCCATTTCGGCGAAATACATGTCGGTTGGTGCGTCCCTTAGTTGGACCACGCGTACAGTGTCCCCATCCTCGTTGCTCAGCGAGAAACTCTTGTCCTCCGAACCAAGGGCCAATAGATTCTGAGCAGACCAGGCGCCGCAGGTTATTCGCTTACTGTGCTTGCCCAGTACCGGAGTTGATCGCTTTCCACTGCGATGGTTGTAGATGGCCAGATTGCCTCTTCCCGTTCCCACTGCAAGTAATTGCTGCTGCTTAGACCAGAGAATGCAGGTGAGCGGGTCTCGAAGCCCCGTCTCCACACTGATCTTCTCCTGGGTATCGTAGTCCCACAAAGTTATATTTGGGGAACCACTGGTGATGATGCCCAGTAAATCGCCCTCTTGATCCCAAGCGAATCCCGAACATAGACTGGAGGAGACGATTTATTACTGTTCATAATCTAAGAACTGATTCTAGCTTACCCTGAGAGTATGATGCGCTGCAGCAATTGTCCCTGCCGATTGTACAAGGCCACGGAGCCATCTGTTCCAGTTGTGGCCAATAAAGCCTTCTGCCAAATGAAGTATACATCTCCGATCCCGTGCGGTTCTTCATATTTATAAAGTATTTTCTCAAATGACATTATTGGCTTTATTTTTATGTTGCGGTAGTGAACATTCTGCAATTTACAATTTTCCGGCTTTTGTTTATGACTTTTCCGTTTCCATGGTAGCGGCGACTACGCACACTAGCGTACTTCACACCTGTGTAGGTGTATTATTATTGCACCTGTTGATTCTTGCACTGTTATTAGAATTTATCAAAGTCGGTATATAAAATTGCAATTATAATTTTAATAGGTCATATTATTTAAAAAGTTACAATTAAATACAAAACTTCATTGCTTAAAGCTTAGTTAAAAATATATAATTTTTAAATTCAAAAAGTTTTGTAACGTCTATTGACACTTTCCAACACTATCATCAGCTGATTGTTGGTGACGTCATCTTCAGTTACACATCTCTAAACAGCTGTTTTTGTAAATTCGCAATAGATTCACAAGTTAGTTTATTTATATTTTTAAAATTCCTAAGTAAGCAGAGGGATTAAAATATAAAAATATGTCAGATGACCTGCCGGAGCAGTTTGACTTAGTTGTCATTGGCACAGGTAGTAAACCGTATTTAATTACAAATTAAAACTGCAGATGAGTCATTGAGAGACGCCCTTTTCAGGCTTCACCGAATCCTGCATCGCAGCTGCGGCCAGTAGAGTTGGGAAATCGGTGCTGCATCTAGACAACAATGAGTATTACGGAGATGTGTGGAGTTCCTTTAGCATGGACGCTCTATGTGCCCGTTTAGACCAGGAGGCCGAACCCTATTCCACATTGCGAAATGCCAGGTATACTTGGCACACCACGGAAAAGCAATCTGAAGCAGATGATCAATCTTGGAACAAGGACTCGATCCTGGCTAAGTCTCGTCGCTTCAGCCTGGATCTTTGCCCACGCATCTTGTATTCGGCCGGAGAGTTGGTGCAGTTGCTAATTAAATCGAACATCTGCCGCTATGCCGAATTCCGAGCTGTGGACCATGTATGTATGCGCCACAACGGTGAGATTGTGTCTGTGCCTTGCTCCCGCAGTGATGTCTTCAACACCAAGACGCTGACAATCGTTGAGAAACGACTGCTAATGAAGTTCCTCACAGCATGCAATGATTACGGCGAAGACAAGTGCAATGAGGATTCGCTGGAGTTTCGTGGGCGAACGTTCCTAGAGTATTTGCAGGCGCAGCGGGTGACCGAAAAGATATCGTCATGCGTGATGCAAGCCATTGCCATGTGTGGCCCCACCACCAGCTTCGAGGAGGGAATGAAGCGCACGCAGCGATTTCTGGGCAGTTTAGGCCGCTATGGCAACACACCCTTCCTGTTTCCCATGTATGGGTGCGGGGAATTACCTCAGTGCTTTTGCCGTTTGTGCGCTGTATATGGTGGCATTTACTGCCTGAAGCGAGCTGTTGACGATATTGCCTTAGATTCCAATTCAAATGAATTCCTGCTTAGTAGCGCAGGAAAAACTTTGCGGGCAAAGAATGTGGTTTCTGCTCCTGGATATCCACCGGTTTCAAAGGGCATCGAGTTAAAGCCCCACATATCACGCGGCTTGTTCATATCATCCAGTCCCTTGGGAAACGAAGAATTAAACAAAGGAGGAGGTGGTGTCAATCTTCTTCGGCTGCTTGATAGTGACGCAGCACGAGAAGCCTTCTTAATTCAACTGTCGCATTACACTGGAGCCTGCCCCAAAGGATTATGTAAGCATCCAAAGAAAAACTGCCCAATAGCTCTGATTAATTGTTCAATTATCTTTCAGATATCTTCCATTTGACGACACCCGCTTTGAGCGAGGACCCTGCCGCAGATCTGTCTGTTTTTACTAGCCAACTTTTCGATCAGTCAGACGCACAAATAATATTTAGCTCATATTTCACCATCGCTGTCCAGTCTAGTAAAAGTGCTGCTGCCGAGCACATTTACTACACAGATCCGCCCTCTTATGAGCTGGATTACGATGCAGCCATTGCTAATGCTCGCCACATATTCGGCAAACTTTTCGCAGACGCAGACTTTTTGCCACGAGCCCCAGATCCAGAAGAGATTGTCGTCGATGGCGAAGATCCCAGTGCCTTAAACGAACATAGTTTGCCCGAGGATTTGCGGGCACAGCTTCATGATATGCAGCAGGCGACTCAGGAAATGGATATACAAGACTAGATGTAATGCAGTTAAATTAGAAAAGGGACATTCTTAGTCTCCATATATCATACGACGGGAGCAGATAATTTTCTTAAAGTTCTTACGTGAAATTTTTAAAAACTTAATATAAAAAAGAAAGTTTAATATATTATACACAATATTTTGCTTCATATATTCCTATATATTTATTATGTAAATTATTTATAATTTCTAAAAGTACTAGGTATATATAAATGTTTATATGTGAGTGCTTCTGTGCATTTTGCTTTGAGAAATATACTTTCGAAAAATATGCATTCCAATGCGTATAAAAATGTATCTTTTTTTAAGTATTGCTTGACGGGTTGCTGTTTTTTTGTTTTTTTTTTTTGCACGAAGACAAAATTAAGGGTTTATAAAAAGATTAAGGTTAATAGTTAACAGGGAAGAACGAATAAGAGTAGTCTTATAAATTAGGATAAGGCTTAGGCAGTTGATAATGCGGGCAGCTACAATAAACGCAATACAAATTTTATTCGAACATATCAATATTAGAAGACAGATCAGAACAGATCAATGAAAGCTAAAATATACGAAACCAAACGAAATTGTGATGAAAACAAAAGTGGAACAGAACACATATATTCGTGCTGGAAGATTCTGCCGACGACTCCTCTGACCACATTTCATTCCTGTTTTCACTGCATTTTACAATAAAGCTTTTGTGTTTTCATTTCTTGTGATTGGTTTTGGGCCTTTCCACCAGGTTGAATTTGCCCATATTATGAACAATTTCTTGAGGATACAGATGATGCGTCTGTAAATTGTTGCATTTATCTGCGAACTCAACCCGACGCAGAGGTCTCTGAGTGAGTTGAAATTCAATTTTCATTTGTCATGCGAAATTGTGAGTTGCTATACCTATATCTTAATCAGATTATTATTGATATTCTGCTGGCGTTTACGTTTCGCATTCATGGCGTCAACAATTGGCTGCCGCTTGGCATTGTATTTCTTGTTCAGTTGCTCGATCTCTAGCTCCATCTCGTGATCGATGTTGCACAGCCGCTGGTTCAGATCATCGAAGGTGAGGAACTTGAGGAACTCAAACTCACCCTCCACATATGCATGCGATTGCGTATGCATATGCTGGTTCTGATATGCGGGCGGCGGCTGAGCTGGAGCTGCAGCTGCTGCCGGTATTCCCTGCTGGCCCATTGGCGCAGCATTGCTGAGTAACAGATTCTGTTGATTATTGAGCGCAATGAGCTGTTCGTTCATCAGGGGATAAGCCATGAGAACTTGTTGCTGCTGCTGATGCTGCTGCAGTCCATACTGATTAATGGCGGAGATCTGCTGGAACTGCATTTCCATGTTGTGCTCCCAGTTGGTCAGATCGTTTGCCCCGCTGGCCAGGTGCTGTTCCTCCTGCTCCTGCTGTTGGTGTTGCTGCTCGGCTGCCGCCGGGGAATACTCGGTGGCCACGGATTTCTCATCGCCGCGACCATCTCCCGCATTCTTGCGATCAAAGTGCTCCAGGAACTGCGGTCTGTAGCGATTGCGTGGCTTCTGATCGTCATTGCGCTTGGCCGTTGTAGAGTCGTCAGAGTCCGAGTTGATTACCATTGTGCCTGAATAAAAGTAAATATTTTAATTTTATCTTTAACCTATTTAAAACTATTTTCTTACCCAAATTCGACTCTAGTTCTACCATTGTTCCGCTGTCTACAGTCGGCACATCTAGTGGAGATGCGGCAGACGATGCGGCTACGCCGACAGCTGTTGGACCTGCTGCCTTGGCCAGGTTTCTTAGGCCACCAGGCCCCAACGTGCCCTCATCTACACTCTGTTCAGCATGCGCTATCATAGTGGCATCCGAAGCTGAGCTCTGTTGGTATTCACCGAACTTCTCTGGCACCAAAGTACCGGGATCCTCTATGAATGCATTGTCCTGTATGTTTTGCAGCATTCTGTTCTCCTGAGTGGCCAAACTCTTGGCCTGGCTGGCGGCGAATATTCCGCCGGCACTCCGGTTGGCCCGCTGCTGCTCGCGTATGGCACATGTCTCCTCCAGCATTGACTTCAAAATTGATCGGTGCTTTGCATTGCGTATAAACTCGTGCTCTAGCAGTTCAGTGGCCGTGGCTCGGTCGTCCGGCTCTTTTACCAGGCACTTGCTTACAAAGTCAATAAACTCTGTGCTCCAGCGATCGGGCTCGCGAAACGATGGTGGAGGCTTCTGGGGAATCATGAAAATGGCTCGCATGGGATGAATATCGCCATAAGGTGGCTTTCCCTCTGCCATTTCCAGGGCAGTGATTCCTAGAGACCATATGTCGGCTACGCAATCATAACCAATCTCCTCGATTACCTCAGGGGCCATCCAGTAAGGTGTTCCGATCACTGTGTTCCTTTTGGCCATTGTGTCTGTGAGCTGGCCGGCCACTCCGAAATCGGCCAACTTGGCATAGCCTTCTGTATTGAGCAGGATGTTAGCCGCCTTAATGTCGCGATGGATCTTGCGACGCAAATGCAGATATACCAAGCCCTGCAGCGTGTCCGACAGGATAGTGGCGATCTCGTCCTCCGTTAGCGTTTTCTTACGCAGTCGCATGATGTCGGATACGCTTCCGGCTCCGCAATATTCCATACAGATCCACAGGTCATACTGTTTAAAGTAGGAGCCGTAGTAACGTACCACGTACGGCGAATCGCACTGTTGCATAATGGATATCTCCTTGATGATCTCGTGAAGGTCGGATTCCACAGGCACTAACTTAATAGCCACAATGGAGCTGCTCTCCTTGTGAAGCGCCTTGTACACCGACCCGTAGCTGCCCTCGCCCAGCTTGTACATAATGTCGAAAACCTTCTCCGGCGGCTGCAATAGCGACTCCTCTGAGAGCTTTTTGAGCTCACCGTTCGAGCTGGAGGACATGCTTCCCGCCATCGCACTGATTTGCGGTCCGCGGTGGCCTTGACTTTGCGCGAAACTTTCTGATTTAGCACGAAAACACACAGATAATTGGCTATTCACAGCGACATATCACACTTTTGTTCTTTATTCGCTCCCGGTCGTTAGTCAACACTGAGGTTTCTGGCCAAAAACTTTACAACACGCCACCCGCACAGAACAGGTGCGGCGTTGCCAGACGAACGTACAACACGTCGAAATGTAAACAAAGCACCAGTGTTGGATAGCAAAATATGCCCATTATCGATATGTGGATTGCCGCGCATTTTAAACATAAATAAATGGTGGCAGGACTTATTTAGTACAAGAAGTAGATAATTGTTCTGATTTTGAAAAACACAATTTTGCATTATATATTTTTAATAAAGTTAAAATTTCAGATTATTAATAGTTGTAAACTTAAAGTTTTGCAGCAAGGCAACTGATAAGAAATAAGTTTTCTTTTATTACGTAGAACTTGAACTTAATTTGAACTGATAAAGTGAGGCTTTAAATAACCCCAATCACTAGTAAGCACATTTTACCATTTAATGAAAATAAGTTTCACATCAGCGAGATACACTAGGCAGAATGATTGACAAGTGCCACATTAATTTGTCATTGCTAATCTGTGGGCTAAGGAAAACCAGATCCTCTCAGTTCCTATGGTTGGGTTCGCTGACCTAAAATGCTTTATAAAAAATTCTTTGGAAATCAATGTGCATGCGGAGATTATGAATTCGTACACAGACTAATGATAATATAAACAATGAGAGCAAACATAACTGGCGCCTTTTAGGCTAACCGGCTTGGCAATATACTATGTAAATGCGACTGAAAGAGAGCACCACACCGAAATCGAGTAAGCGGCATTAGCTGTGTTGGCTTATCGGCGGTCACTAAGCCGCCCTAGCAACGTGCTCCATAGAAACGACACGACACCCAACAGCAACGCCAACACCAGGAGTGCCAGGCTAGAAAATTCCTACGCTCGGCAGTTCGCTGTTTACACTACGTGGCTGCACATCGTCGTACTCCGAAATGGCCATGGCCCAAACGGCTCGCACCGCCACGGGAAGGCGTCCGACGCACGACTACCATAGCACAACCATTTCCCTAAAACAGTCCCGCTCCAAGTCCGCTAATCCGGCGCAACTGCGTCCATTGAGCGGCATCCACGGAGCGGCCGTCTCCTCCCGCCCGCGCTACGTACCACCATTTTCGATTCAGTCGCAACAGAAGAATACCGTCGTCATCGACGGACCTATCCATGAGTCCGCCCCCAAGACAGCCAGTGCCAGGGGACGAGTCCCCAACCCGAAAAGTGCGTTTGTTTATTTCGTTGTTTTCGGTTCGCTATTTGCTTTCCTAATCATTTCCATTTTGGTTATACTGATTTTTAGTTCTGAGACGGCAGCAAAAGTCAATGTCCACCTTTAATTTGGGTCTGGGGCTTAATGGATCTACTGTTGGAGGTGGTAATGATCCCGGCCGGGGAACCCTCTTTCGGATGTACTTCGACCGTGGAGACCTGCCCATTAAGATGGAGTATCTCTGCGGTGGCGATAAAATCGGCTGGACGGTGAGTAAGGGGAATGCGGTGCTTGAATACACATGCATAGGTATTAGGTCTAATGGTAATATAATATTTATAAAAACGAGCTGAATTATACATTTTTCAATGATATTATTGTTATGTTGTTATAATTTCTTCTCTGTAGCTTTTTCAGAGTTTCTCTTACCGTAAGTCACTTGACTTACGTATCATGTAATCCCCTTACGTCTTGACTTGATCCATTCCGATCTAATTTTAGACTTTAAGTCTCTCTTATTTCTATAATGCAAAGTCTACCGACTAGAATTTTCCATATGTCAGTTGGTATTTGGTGTTATAGAACTTAAACTACATTTATGGAAATGTGAGTCAATGTAAATCAAAGCAAATTGGAAGACTGTCACTAGAATGGGTAACCTTACTACTCATTGACCTATAGGCGAAGTACATATTTGAGTTTCGCTCGAATTTCGTACACCTGCGTGTCCAATTATTTCAAGTGTTGGAGCTAAAAGCGAAAAAAAACGAGCAAATAATATGCCATTGTCTATTTCCGGAGTTAGTAGAGCACCGGTGACGGGCGAGCGATTCCGGCCGGAATGCGACTGCTGACATTCAAAACGTCGCACCGTCCAACTGTCAGTCAGTTTTTTTAGAAGCCCGCTGCATTCGGAAAGTCATAGGATCCACCCACCATATACATATGTGTGACCCTTCTAGCTGGTTCAATGTCACAGACCTTGGATGTGTGTTCTTTTTTATGGAGCCACATATGCGGGGAATGTCTTTTGAGCAGCGGTGCGTTTGTTTATCTAGGCCGAAATGCCGCCGTGACAGCTCGTGTGCATTCGTATGATATGTGAGTGACACTACTTGATTTGCGTCACTGGGTCGAAGGTCGAAGTTGGGGAACCCCATATGTGAGGCTCACGCAGCTGCGATGTCAGCGATATCGCCTTTGACTTAATTATAAAATTATTATTCGAAATTAATGATACAAAATTGAAATGTGGGCCGCTAATATAAAATATATTAACGAAAAAGCAAAGAATTCTGTCTGCTAAAGGGCACTTTTCCCATAACGAAACACGTGAGTAGTTTGAATAAAAAATTGTGCTGACTGGACATTTGTAACGACGACATTTTCATAAGAAAGATTAGTCTAGGTCTATACTAAAAAGTCTATTGGCAGGTACAGGTACAAATACCCATGTTTCGCTTTGTTCTAAAAATTTTCCATTGACAACGTAAACAAACAAAGAGCATCTTAATGGAAATCAGCAAAGACCTAACCGGCATGGCGTGCAATTGTACACTTGCAAAACTTGCGCCACCGCCAGTACACGAACCAATTTCAAACTCAGAGCGCTCTATTCACCTTTGACCCCCACTTTTCCTTCTCTGTTTTGGAACAGGTGGACATCGAAAAGCTGGACTACAGCCTCTATCTGCCGCTCTTCTTTGATGGACTGGCGGAGACTAAGCACCCGTACAAGACATATGCCCGCCAGGGAGTCACGGATTTGCTGCTGGCCGGGGGCGAGAAGATACACCCCGTGATACCGCAATTAATATTGCCGCTGAAGAGTGAGTACCAGGGATTCACCTGGCACGCAAATGCCTTCGAACTTTTTCGGTCTAATTTGCACCTTGCGAATCCAAATCCGAACAATACCAACTTAAATCCGCCCCCATTTCCAGACGCATTGAGCACACGAAACCTGGAGGTAATGTGCACGACATTGAAGATAATCCAACAGCTGGTCATGTCCTCGGATTTGGTGGGACCCGCCCTAGTGCCCTTCTACAGACAATTGCTGCCCATGTTTAATGCCTTTAAGGTGAAAAACTGTAAGTATTACTATTTAAGTTAAACTTTTTATGTTCTTCATAGGATATTCTGTTCCAAACGCAAAGTAAACTGCGGCGATGAGATTGACTATGCCCAGAAGAACAACCTAAACCTGGGTGATCTGATTGATGAAACGTTGCAGGTGCTGGAACTGCACGGCGGCGAGGATGCCTTTATCAATATCAAGTACATGGTTCCGACCTACGAATCCTGCTATTTAAATTGAATTACGCTTCATGGTTTTGTCCCTTTACATACAATATCATAAGTATTTATTGAAATTTACAAATATTACAGAATTAAATAGATCTTTGTTACCAAAGTGGTTGAGTGTTTCAATTGATTGCTTGAGATTATAGTTTATATATTTCGGATATAACAAGGACCTGCTCCTTTACATAGAAAATCATAAATATTTTTCAACAGCACAAACATTTAAAAAATATTAGGAAATAAAACAATTCTTTTTCATGAGCTTATAGTATAAGAGATTATAGTTTGTATATGAGGGTTTGGCCAACATCCTGGTGGAAATGCTGGCAGAGTTGGGGCACGACAGCTAGACCGTTTAGGGAGCTATCGGGCCCCGTTTTAGGTCTTCACTTGCTGGGGGCATACTCGTTCTTCTTGACATTATGGGGGGAATAGCGGTTGTACAAACCCCAGATGGAATTCATCAGCTTGTCGTTGTACTTGTTTGGGGAATATTCCCGCTCTGGAAATATGTATAAGATGAGTAAGCGATGCATTGACCCACTGGATCGAGATCGAGAACTTACGGGTTAGGGCATTGCCGTTGTCAACGGAACCCTTATCGGAAGCAGCGGACCGCAGACGGGCAACAATCATCTCCCGTTCGTTGAATTGCTCACGGATCTTGCAAGCGGCGAATGCACCTTGTGGAATGGCCGCCATTTTAGCAACTGCGAGGTATAACATGAATATCATCCAACATCTAACTATTAAATATCAGTACTTACCACTTAGGGAAATGACACTTATAAAGGAGAAAAAGTCAAAGTCTCTTAAAAATGCGAAACGCTGATCGAGGTTTATGATTTTTCCGCTCTGCTGCAGTATCATTCAAAGGCCAAACTCAAAGTCCGCGACAAATTGGTGTATTGGGAATATTTCGTTATAATCGAAATATGTCCCAGAATGTTTTTGGTGTTTTTAAAATTTAGATTACCAATTGGAAAAGGGGTGGTGATTTTGCACTATAGACCGGGAGGCATTTAATGCCAGACGTTTTCTGCTCAAATTTGCACGATAATAAGCGAAGATGTATCTGGTACTCGGAGATGATCACTCAACACAAGGGTTCGGAACTGAACTGAAGCTGCCTCCTAGGAGCGTTTGGAATTTATAGACCTCGTGTACCGAATGGGGCCCCGAGGTGATAAGCGGGAGACAGGAGATCAGGCTGCCTTGATAGCACGATTATGGAGCCGGCAATTGATCGCCATTTTGTGCCACTTATCAGCTGCGAATGTTTTGCTTTTATACTTTGCAAAGAGGCCTATTCGCTTCCAAGCTTTACGGGAAGATTCGATGGGCTGGGAAGCAGATGTAGGTAATTGATATTGGGGCAGACTTTTGGCGACATCTTTGCTAATCAGAGCCCTGAATCTCTAGACTAAATTTGCTAGCCTCAGCTAATTTAAGGGTTCTCGTTTCCATCCCGATTGTCCCTGTACTCGAATCGAATGTAATCTTTCGAGGCTATACTTCGAACCAGATTAATCCGGTTATCAATAATACACTTTAGCATACAGTCAAAGGTATTTGTGATTATAATATTATTAAAAACTGACCTAAGTGCATGTTTGTTTATTATAAATTTCAATTTTTGTTTATAATGCTTTTTAATGTAGACAAGGTTGGTGCTTTTGCACCTTAGATTTAGGAGATTGTTCAAAAACGTGGATTTTCCAGGTTTTCGAAGAACTTGGAAAACAATAAAATTAAATTTGTAATATGTTTAGGTTTTGGTTCATATATTGAATATTGTACTACTTAAGAAGTGATCATCAACCATACGAAAATTTAACACAATATTGTATAAATTAAATCTTTCAGAGCTTATTTGTCATATATATAGAATGCACAAATATATTTAAATTCGATTCGCAACATTTCGTATTTCACAGTGTATTAAAAACAATATATATATATAGTAAAAAATAATCGCTATAAAACAAAGAAAGGCCCACTAGTGAAACCAGTAAATAGGTGGGTGATCGATCCGATGGGGATCATGGGGATGACCCTCGTAAAACGGTCTCAATAATACGATTATAAATAAATCGTTTATTCCAGTGACGCGCAAAGTGTTTACTACAAAAAAAATTAATCTTCGGCACAATGCCGAGAGCCAGTCACGGTAATGATAATGCTGTCAGTGCTCTATTAAGTAGGTACAAAATTCTCACAGTATGCACACAGTTTCAAACACATTTAATTTCGGAACTACCACAAAAAAAAAACAACAAATAATTCCGAAATAAGTTGTATGATAAGGCCACTGATGGCAGCCACGAGCGTTTGAGATCACGTAGAGCCAGGTTTGTTCAGAGATTAAAACTCGGCGTGTGTACCGATAAAGAAGATCCTCGATGACTTATTAACTTTTTTGCTCTGGACTTCTTGCCGAAGTTCAATAATCCGTCAATGACTCTTGCAAAATGCTGATGTAATAATATAAGGCTGCGCAACGTTTCGCTAATCATTTCTTATCATTTTTTTGGCAAACATTAAAACGGTTTTGCGTTTCCCAATGAAGATTTTACTCTAGTTAAATTTTCCAAAAATAAGCCGCAAGCTGTGAAATTTAATTTTCTTGAATGGAAACGTTGAATGGTAAATAATTTGTTGTTGAATATAAACACCGAAAAAAACATAAATTATTTCCGTAAGAGTTTTTCAAAAGAAAACATGATAGAGAATTTAAATTTCAAATGCCGCCAAATGACGGCGCGCACTTTGCAACACTGACAAGAGCACCATCAGGTGGCAACGCCTTTTTCAGACATCAAGGCTGCTAATTTTTAGTCAACGGCGAAGCTAAAATTAACAATTGGCTGTCAAAAGCAAGAAAAGAAAAACTCGGGAAATTGTTAATTAAAAGCGTGACCCACATCAGCCCACTAAGCCCCCAACGCAGCGATGACGTGGAAGAAGCAGCTGGCTGTGCTGGCCAAGCCCTACTATTGGGTAAACATCCTGCTGGCCATTTCATATCTCCTATCCAAGAAGACACAGTTCATCTGCACGCGCCTCTTTAATCTCGCAGGAGAGGATGAGGAGTGCGATTTGGACAGTCGCGAGGTGGAGATTTTGTTCTTCCTGCTGATCGTTGTGATGATACGTTCACGCAAAACAGGCAGCGTAACCATGATCAACTATTTGGCCTCGTCGTTCTTGTACACAAAGGTGGCCAATGCCATTTTGTGGGCCTACGCGGATTTTCGCTACGGACTCGGCTTCCTGCTACTGTGCGTTCTCGTGGGCATGGTGCTGCCGGAGCCATCTTACCGTGGACCTGAACACATCACCTACTTCCGCAACGCACAGGTCTTTGAGGAGGAGTTGGCCCGGGAAAAGCGGACCAGCTGGCTTATCTGCTTCTATACTGTGTGGAATCCCAGCTGTGTGAACTTTGCCCCAGTCTTTGCTGAGCTATCCGCAGAGTACAACACAGACTACCTGAAGTTCGGCAAGATCGACATCGGACGCTTTCCAGATGTGGCCCAGAAGTACCGCATTTGTGACAGCAGCTTCTCCCGCCAGTTGCCCACTGTGATTCTGTTCCAACAGGGCAAGGAGACAGACCGCAGACCCTGCGTTGACTCTAAAGGCAAGCTGCAGAAGTTTTTCTTCTCTGGCGACAATGTTCGCGCTAGCTTCGGTCTCAACCAGCTGTACAAGGAGGCCGTGGAGCGACTGCCCATCGCGCCAAAGGAGACCAAGAAGGCTCAGTAGAGTGGCTGACTGCCCTCCCCACCCAAGACATCTCATTTCTGCGTGCACGTGTTAATATTTGTTATTTGTTTAGTTTTTAGTTTATTTTAACTTATTGAGGTGCGACAGCAACCTTAACTGCCACCGCCGGAGACACGTACAATTGCATTAATAGTTGCAACAAATTCTAAACTTAAACGTGCACTCGTCACGTTGCCATTGTAGAGATTATATGAGTGGCTTGCATTTGCCTATTTAATTTGTAGCTAATCATCAAGTACCAAATATATTTAAAATTGTGGAATGAGTCAACGAAGTAACAGTTTGTTATTACTTACGCTCTGCGGTTACTTTTTCATTCAATTAGTAGCGCTCAAACGATTGTTTCCTGTTCTCGTTTAACAATAAGATGACTTTAAGATGACCTGGAGAATCGTTAAGCTGTAAGCTTCAAGTTTTCTCTATCTGTGCTTCTGTAACTTAAAAGGTAAAACAGCTAAAGAGTAAATGGCATTTCGCCTGAGCCTGAAATATATGCATGTATCTGAAACCATATGCATATGGAATTCAAATTTGTATAAATGTATTGATCAACTACAGTGTAACGTGTTGGAAACCAAAGACAGCATTGGTTAAAAAATTCAGAAAATATCCCACAATTTTATGACATATTTATTGTATTTTATATGTTATGACTTGCCTTTTAAAACAGCGTCCTCCGTGAACGACAATTGTTTGGGATAACATGATGTGAAAACCTATCCTCCCCGGTTTATAAAATATAAAACGGAATGGGCTCCGTTGTTACTGCGAATGTGTTAAGCAAAATTGTATAACAATGGAAATGGCACAACAAAAATGTTTCCGGCGTGTTGCGTTCCGAAATGGGCGGTAGACATCGGCCATATAGACAGGGGCATATATAGGGACTCACCCGGCCAGACGCAGAACGAAATAAACGCAAATCCCTTTTATCCATTCAATATGCACAAACATACACACACATACACACTCTTAGCGAAGCGTACGAATATAAATGCATAAATACAGGCGACTGCACATTACCAACCCAGCCACCCCCACAGATGGGAGCAAGGCTTTTGTGGTTAATATTTGTATTTTTACTTTATTTTCAATGAAACGGCATGGAAATGGCCATTGCATTGTACGTGTATTGTATTGTGTATGGTAAATAATACGATTGTCTCACATGGCCGTTTTATTTGCGGAAAATTTAAATTCCCATTGGATGTGGAACAAGACTCTCACCGGGCGCCGTAGCAATTATGGGTACGTCTGTTCCGGCGTTTGATCAAGGCTCCACCGTATCAGCTGTCGGTACTCCCCTGGATCCCCATACCAGTGCCCGCACCCACAGCCATAACAGCAATGACTTCCAAACGCTGTCACCCGCTTCTCACGGCGAAAATCCAATAAGCACTTGCTCCGCAGCGACAACAAAACGTATTGTTGTCCCTATTTTTACGTTGATTTCCCTCATTGCTACAGCCAAACCAGTGCTGGCCACATTCAATTGATTTTGAGTGATTTTTTGGCCAATACCCTGTAGATACACCTAAAGAGGGGTACTTACTTTTTACTTTATACCTTTAAATCAAATCTTTCTTTCTGAGCCAAAGTTATTTATGGGTTTCTAGGAGTTTCTTGGGAAGAAATAATTCAACCTATCTAAGCTAGTAGATAGATTGATCGAATTTTAAAATCAATTTATATAAAATTATATTTTCAGTACTCGCAACCTTTCCTTTATCATTAATTCTAAAGAAATCAAAAGTGATTAATTTATTTCTATTCCTAAAATGAAATTCAGTAAAAAGGATATTCTGGGTCCTAGTTGACGTTGCCGTGTATATTGTTACGTCTGCTTCGTTTTCGGTGGCTGTATTTTTTATTGCGTTTTTATGTCAACACCAGCTGCCAGCGTCTTAATATCGTTCGGTCGAAGTGCTGGATTGGGTTTTTTTTGTGTATTTCTGTCAATTGCTCACAATTAAATTAAAATTCAAGTCAAAGCCAGCCGCTGTTGAATTCACAACCAAAGCCGCAGGGCAGGACACTTGAAACCCAGCTCAGGTGGTTTCCTTTACTATTTAACGTGTGGTTCTTACAAAGGGATTAAATAAATCAATTTCGTTTGAGATATCCTTGAAAAATATATTGCCTAGCAGGTGAAGTGTTTCTTATTCTTAATTGCTGAAAATATTTATTGTGGTAGTAGTGGTTTTGGTTAGATATGCTTTTTGTGACAGATATTAGTTGTTATGTACAAAAAGAACGATATGAATAAGATTCATACGTAGATTTAAACTTTGCAGTGACAAAGACCTCTCCCAATCGCTGGACATTCACGACTCTGAAGGAACGGGAATCATTTACCCCCAATCGCGAACATAAGCAATTTGCTTTAATTTCTTTGCTCCAAAAACCATTCGATGGCAGAGCAACTACCTCTCCAATCTCACCTCAATCAACAACAAGAGCCAGTGAAAGTCCGCAGCACTAGAGCAAAGCAGACAAACCCACAAAGCCGACAAACCGTCAGCCTATAAACAAGATTTTGGCTCATAAATTAATTTCAATTTGCTAGGCCAGGAAACTTGGGGCGCTGGTCAGGGGGCCGAACAGTGGGCGTGGTGCTGGGCTTAGTATTTCGATTCGATTTGCTATCAGCGTCGATATGGTCTTCTCAGGGTTTCTACCCTACACGGGTTGGAGGTTGTTGCGAAAGTAAAGCAGTTCCAAAAATAAACCACATACTCGTATGAATAAATTTAGAACGGTTCGACCCTTCTAAGGTATGGATTTATTGTAATTTATATACATGTTTAATGGGAAAAAGAACAGATTCAAAAAAATATATTTATTTATTTATTCACTTTAGCAGAGTTTGTAAATGAATTTGAAGCTAAGCAGAAAGATTTTTTGGGGCTTGCTTGTTGAATAAAAAGTCTTTCCAACCAATTTAAACTTTTAAGGTTTTCAAGGCGAATTGAAATATTTTACCCCAAATACGATTAGAAATATTGAATATGGATTGCACCTTTGTATACGTTGAGCTTTAGTTCTGTTCTATTAGATTGAAAGGATATATCCCTGCTCATATAAATTTTAAGAAAAAAATAAATAATTAATTAATTTTGCCATTCACAAACCATATGAGATTGTTGTATTTATTCATCTATAGCAGAATTAATACCTCATTGGATCCTTGCGCCTCAATTAATGAAGATAAAAGACATCCTTTTGGTTGGCAACATTCATATCCTCGGCAATCGATGAACTTTTGCCTTAACGGCCCCCACGAACAGGTTTCGATTGCCAGCAACCGAAACTCTCCAATCTGAACTTGTACAATCCAGTTTCATTTAATTTTGCGTTTAACGATTTTGTAATTACCCTTAAGTGCAATATTATTTCAATGGCTGGTTTTTTGTTTTTTATTCGGCCCACTTCCAAGCACTGGTGGTCATAGGATGTGGTTGTATGGTGGAAATCGTCGTTGTTTTGTAGAGCAGAAACCCTAAAAAATTGAAAAGTATTTACATGAAAGCTGCCAATTCAAATACACATTCCCACACACCCGTGAAGGCCTCATAGGATTTTTTTGTGACTTTTATGGCCAGTTTTTTGAATATGCGAAACAAAAACTGGGCGCTTTTTGTGAATTGTGAAAGTACTTTCGCTCCAATAACTGCACAAAGGTTGGGATGTGGGTGGTTCGGACCGGACTCCATAACAACAAAGTCCAGAGTGCAAAAATATTTTTGATAAGTGGCATATAACTTTCTAGGGTGTCCTTCTCATCGATGTGTTGGTCATAGAGCTTTACAATCGGCACGATAATCGGCAGGACATAAAAACGTGTCATTAAACGACAGATCTTTGAACTTTGCAGTCAAATAAACCGGATTTCGCTATACTATAAACTTTGGGTGCCAGCCAGTCTGCCAGGGTAGCTTTTTTTTGCGCGTGTCCTTTATAATATATATATGAACTATATAAACCTGGTCAAGAGCACGTCAATCTAGATAGTTGGCCCTAAAATGCTGGTCGACACGGACCTGGCGAGTGGTGTGATCCGCTCGCCCTATAGTTTTGATATTCCCCACGCATTCATCTTTAACGAATCAGAAAACGCGGAACCAATCTTCTGCGGACCCTACATGGAGGTAGTGAAGCACTTCGCCAATATGTACCATTACCAACTGGATCTCGATCCTCTGGAGAGTCTGCCCAAGAAATCAGCCGTGGAGGAGGACATTATAAATGGTTTGTACAACCTTTCGCTTCATGGGGTTATAATACGTCCAGATAAGATGGATGACCTCTCCAACGTGACGCGGCACAGTTACCCACTAGAGCTGATGACAAACTGTGTGATGGTACCACTCGCCCCGGAGTTGCCCAAATGGATGTACATGGTGTGGCCTCTGGGCAGGTACATTTGGACATGCCTGTTTCTGGGCACCATGTACATTGCCCTACTTTTGAAGTATGTGCACTGGCGGGAGCCTGGTAATGCCACCCGTTCCTTCACCCGAAACGTGCTCCACGCCATGGCTCTTCTGATGTTCAGCCCCAACATGAATATGACTGTGAAATTAAAGCATGCATCATTACGGGTAATCTTATTCTATACCCTCCTCTACATCTTGGGCTTCATCGTGACCAACTACCATCTAAGCCACATGACGGCCTTCGACATGAAGCCGGTTTTCCTGCGGCCCATCGATACCTGGGCTGATCTAATCCATTCGAGGCTACGGATCATCATTCCGGATACACTGCTGGATGAGTTGCGTTGGCTTCCAGTGGTGAACACCACCTCGCTGGATCCGCAGTTTGACCCGCGTAGCTGACAGGACTATCAGGCAATGCTTTCGAGCCCTTCGCGATCCTTCGCCTATGTGGTCACCCAAGATGCTTGGTTGTTCTTCAATCGACAGCAGCGGGTTCTTATCCAGCCTTATTTTCACCTGTCGAAAGTGTGTTTTGGTGGCCTTTTCAATGCGATCCCCATGAGCCCCAACGCCAGTTTTGCGGAATCCTTGGATTACTTCATCTTGAACGTTTGGCAGGCGGGATTGTGGAATTACTGGGAGGAGATTGCTTTCCGCTATGCCAAGAGGGCTGGCTATGCTAAGGTGTTTCTCGACACCTACCCCGTGGAGCCGCTAAACCTGGAGTTCTTCAATACGGCCTGGATTGTCTTGGTCGTGGGAATACCCATTAGTTCGTTTGTCTATTGTTTGGAGCTTTATATCCATCGACGAAAGGAAAGGCGGCCGCAGTACGAACCATTCGAGTGCTATGACTAATTTTTTCTCAACTTCTTTTGGTGCAAAGTCAACTTTATTTTGATTGATTCAAATTGTAGAAAACTTAGATTTTTTAAAACATATACTGTATATATATATATATATATTCCCAGATTGATATAATATAGATGACGCTTATAAAAAATTTGACAAGGGGTTGATTATCATAAAGCTTAAATGAGATAATAATAACTTTGAAAACGGCAATGGTTAAGGTTTCTATAATACGAGAAAGGCAAGGTATTTGGTATGCAAGAGAAGGAATTTGTTAGTGTAATGTTTTAATTATTACCAAGGGAGGCAATGTTAAAGATTTCCCAGTAGACCAATTAAAGCGAAGCAAGCCGGAGCAAATGAGTTAACCTAGCTAGTTAACCTAAGTCCTAGTTCACTTACTTCCTGAAGCTTCTTGAAGGAAGACATGCAACCATCGAAACTGATTTGTGTTTTATTATTGGTTTCATGTCATCGAAGTCAAGGCTGGAACATGAACTACCTGCTGAATCTGTTGGGTCCATTTGCTCGATTGAAAGTGTTCCAGGAGATAGTGTGGTTCATAAGTCCGCATCAGCGTTTGGATCAAGTGGATGAGTTTGTCATGCGCATAGATGATGCCTTTGGAAAGACCGCAACCCAGACGGTGGTTAACAACAATACGGAAATGCGAATGATTCACTCGTCGGCCCAGAGAAACCACATGAGCTTTGTGTTTACAACTGGAGCAGAGGATCCAATAATGAAGGTGTTTAGCAAGGTACTACTTGGACGGCACTTCTACTTCTCGGTGATAATGTATGTGGACAAAGTGGGTGACATGCAGCCGATTCACGACCTGCTGCTATTTGCCTACAATGAGCAGTTTATGAACTCTATGGTGTACTTTGAGTCGGAGGAGGGAATAAACCAACTTTTTGGCGTTTCCAAATTTCCCACCATATCCTTCCAGAACCGCACCGACTTCTTGAGGTACATCGGAAAGGTCTGGAAGAAGGTTTTAAATGCCCGCTCGGATGTGGAGGGTTTCGGATTCACCACACCGTTGCGCCAGGATCTGCCACATTTGTTCCAGTCTCAAGGACGCTATGATGGGAGTACCTATCGGATCATCGATACCTTTGTGAAATTTATCAACGGCACCTTTACGGAGCTCCAAATGCCGCCAGATGCCCTTGGTGGGCAGGTGATTAATATGAAGCAGGCTTTGCAGTTAGTCCGTGAACGAAAGATGGAGTTCTGTGCCCATGCTTACGCATTATTTATGCCCGACGAGGAGGTGGAGAAGACATACCCACTGTTGGTGGTTAAGTGGTGCTTAATGGTTCCTCTTTACAATAGTGTATCCACGTACTTCTATCCCCTGCAACCTTTCGCCTGGAACGTATGGTTCTTCGCATTGGGAGCTCTTTTTGCCTTAGTTCTCCTGGAGCTAATGTGGCTGAGGATGTTTGGTGGGTGGTCAGATTATCAAGGTGCCTTATTTGACTCCTTTTGTTATATCATCAACGTACCTACCGAAGGGCAACTCCAACAACCCTGCCTCCTACGTTTCCTTCTTCTTTTCACGGTGTTTTTCCATGGATTTTTCCTTTCCGCCTACTACACCTCCAATTTGGGCAGCATTCTGACCGTGAATCTCTTCCACGCTCAGATCAACACCATGGATGACATAGTGAGTGCTCAATTGCCCGTCATGATTATTGATTACGAGATGGAATTTCTGCTAAATCTTAATAAGGAGTTGCCTGAGAATTTCCTCAAACTGCTGCGCCCCGTGGACTCTGCCATTTTCTCTCAGCACCAAACCAGATTCAACAGCTCCTTTGCCTATTTCATCACCGAGGATCACTGGCAGTTCCTTGACGAGCAGCAGAGCCATCTGAAACAGCGCCTGTTCAAGCTGAGTGACATCTGCTTCGGCTCCTATCATCTGGCTTTTCCCCTTCAAATGGATTCCTCCTTATGGCGGGACATCGAGTACTTCACATTTCGCATCCACTCTTCGGGTCTTCTCAACTTTTATGCCCGCAGCAGCTTTGGATCTGCCCTCCATGCCGGATTGGTTGAGCGGTTCCCAAAAAGTCAAGAGTACACTTCCGCCGGACTACAACATCTGGCCATTGCCTTTATTTTACTTTTGGTAATGAGTTTTCTTGCCGGAATTGTGTTCGTATTTGAAAAGCTTTCTAGTGGAACTATGACTTAAAGTTTTATATAAGAAAGTTAGTTATGAAATTAAGTGCCTTATTTAGGAGGTGTATTACAGAAATGTCTCAAAAATGAGGAAGAAAACGATACGAAATGCAGGCCTTGGACCACATTTTCCCAAAGTCCAGTTGATAATTCTTATAATTATTCTAAGATACAATTAAATTTGTAAAGAGTTCTGATATACCACTGTTAATTTAGTATTTGTTGAAAATTTTTAATCCTGCATTATGATTTTTACAATCGTTGTGATTTCTGCTTATCACAACTTCATGAATCTCCTTAAAAATGACGTTGGCTTTCGAGTTAATCGAATAACAGGTCGTCGCTTAAGGGTCACGTGCTGGTACCACTTCATCTCTGCCGCAAAAGCCAGTCCGGACAAAACAAGACCAAGAGTCCAGGTGCGCAGGATGCTGGCGAAGAAATTCAGGCTAAGGGCCATCGGTTCCTCGTCGAAAAGATGCACTTGGATTAGATGAAGGTGCACTGCCTCCCAGAATGCCTCGCGTTTCCAGTGATTCATTAGTCCGGCCTGCTGAGCGATCATAATGTACTCGGTCATTGGAGAGCGCAGATGTGTGTCCCGATGCATGGGGTATACATGGTAGAATGGACCCTCGCAGATGTCCGTTAAACGGAAGATGGGCTTCCGAAGATGTAGTTGCTGCATGTCCAGAAAACGCCAGCGATCGCTGCTCACCGTATAGCCATAAGAGGTATTAAATGGATCTCTATGGAGGTCCAGCATGTGCTTGTCCACCAAGTCCACCTGGCCCAAAAAGCTAGTTGGGTATTGGGCCGGCGATTTGGCCATTCTTGCATACTCAACGCCCAGCATTTTGATTCTCAGATTGGCTTCGACGACATCTTGGACCGTGTTGATCTGACGCTGTGGTGGGGCTGTGGTAAAGTAACTGGTCATCCGGGAAATGTACAAGTTCGACGTGACTATTCCCATGATGGCCAGTAAAATGTACAAATAACGCATACGCAACGTTGGCGTTCGGAGGATAAAGGTGGGAGCACTGTAGGTTAGAGTGCAGATAGATTGCAGGAATGCAGCACTGAGGTCACGAGGTCTCAACGGCGAACACAGCCAAATGGCCAGAGCTATGTAGAGTGTAAAGAGGATGATCAGTATCCACACATTTTCCTGGAGAGCCTCCCGCATGTATTGATCTGCAGGGGATTGATTCCGATAGGGCACCATGATGCAACAGTCATTGATACCAATAGGGTAGCTATAACTGACAACGTTCTTGGCGGTTATTTCGGTTAGGGAGTGTATCAGGGTCTCATAAACTCCCAGGGACACCAAATCTAGAAGACTTGTAATGTTCAAATAGTCAACTGTCATATTCGCTGTGGTATCCAATAGAGTGGCATTGACGAATTCAAGGAATCCCAGGAATAAATTGCCACTGGTACCGTGGATGAAGTTCTTCTCATATCTATTGGTGGGTCGATCCGACTTGAATACCCTCGGCATATCGTACAGAATGGGAGTCTTCACTACATATCCTTTCATGTTTTTTGCATATTTCTGGAAGAAATCCTCAGCTTTCCATACGCCGGTTCTATTAACAACCGATGGTGTGGGATACGGATCCAGTACAAACACATTATTCTGAATAGTAACAAGCAAAGTGTTTATGAACTGCTTACTCCACACCCAGTCGTAGATATCCTTGATCTCGGCCGAGAAGTGGACGAGTGACTCTGGATTTACCTCGAAGTCCCGACTTTGGAGACTAGGAAAGAGAATGAATATGGTCTTGAGCCAGCGAATCCCATGCAGACTTTGAGCAGCCACCTCCATAATAGGATCGTCTTTGCCCGTGGTGAAGACCATCACCAGCGACGGAGTGCTGATGAACTGCATCATTGGTATAGCAACAGGGTGCTCCCGAGTTATTATCAAGTTGGGTGCTAAAGGAAAGTAAGTCCAGAAGTCATAGAAAAATTCTTTCGAGTCCTTGTTGTTTAAATCCAGTTTCTCGGATATGTAGAAAATGAAGTTCTTGAAGTGATAAATTTGCGTTATCCTGAAGAACATTTCCAAAACGAAAGAGTTGTTGAGCAATACGATGTTCTCGTAACCAGGAGATGGAAAAACATCTCGTTCTCTGAGAATAAGTTCCGTGGCACGATTATCCATATTTGTTGGGCGAGTGCCAGAGGGTTACTGTCAAGTTGAAGGACGCTTAGCCCTTTGCATGTGGACCCAGTTAACTGTGGAACATGGATACTATTTATCACCAGGTTACTGCAGCTTACAAACTCAGCTGGGTCAAAGTCAATGGCAGTAATGACTATAAAATGGATCAGGAGCGGTTTAAGGGTTTGATTTCGTAACTAATGGAATTTGTACTTTTTTTTTGGTTAAATTATTTTGTATTTAATTTAGGAACTTTCTTATTTTATATTACGAAATATTATTGTATATTATATTGCTTTTATAAGTTTAACGAGTTCTGTTGTCAAATCCGCTCTGTTGCTGAAAACGTTTATTAGCTCATAAGGCCCTATTGCAATTTTATCTTAAGTGCAAATCGGGCATATTTAACATTTCGCGGTTTATGCGACAAGGGCCATATAATTGGACAAATAGGTTTTGGTCATGCGATGGCTGAACCTGCTGCTCTGACCCATCGCTTTGTTCCCAACTAAAATGCATGCACTCCACTAGAACCAAATTAAGTTCGACAAGGTGGGAAATAGGTCAGTTTAGGCCCTAATTTGATCAATGAATTTTAAATACCTTTTGTGGGCACTTAACGTTTTTATGCTATGTGGAAGGTACTTACAGACAGACAAATGGGAGCTGATAAATCGTATTGATTTATTAAACAAAATATCACTCTAATGGCCTCCATTGAGATGGAAGAATGTAAGCTGCTGAACTTTTAGTTGATATTAAATTCTAGCAAATGGCCTTTTCGCTTGACTAGCTGTTAAACGATGTCGAAGGGGCTGGCAGCATGTTGCATTGCTCATTAAAATTTAATTGCTGCAAAACTACATAATTGACGCAAATGCCATGAGAGCTCGGTGGCAGCCACGAAGGCTTATCAGGTCGTGTCTTGGCATTTGAGGCCACATAGCTGCAGCCTGGTAATGCAATTAGCCACGCATTCTCACACAAACACACTTGCTCCGGAGCACAAAGGCACAAAGCCATCGCCAGTGTTTGCGGCTTAAAATATTTATGATTGATGCAGTCGATGGTTTTTCCTCTTAGCTCTGGCTGGCTCTAATGTCCTATTGACAGGACGGCTTGTGTTGCCTTGTTTGTCCGATGATTTGTCAAAAGCGTTGTAATTTAACGCTTTCGTAACTTGTATTTGAGTCCTCTGTCTTGGAGCTACTCCCAGTGCGTGGGAAACCAGCCAGTTGTCTGTTACCTGGAGCTATATTTACTTCCTTCGTAAGTGCCAGGATGGTGGAGTGGTGCATCTCCTGTCAGGCTTTGAAGTCCTGGACAAAACCATGTGCTTTCTCATTTTTTCGCCAAGTCTTTCGCTGTTTATGCTTGCCGCCGAAAGCGCTTAAATACATTAAGCCATATTGTATGCCAGTACAATGGGTAAGATAAGTTTCAAATGTCTCCTTGGATTTTTAGATGATAAATTATGATGATAATGTTGACTTAATTAATATGAGACTTCACGTTAAGTTATATTAATGGTCGATAAAAATTCCCATTTAAATTCATTTTAAATAACGCAATTCCCACTCAAACAAATCTATTTATCAGTTTAATATATTCTAGCAACAATTCATTTCCAAACGATAAACAATTGACTTTGGCAATTGTCATAATTAAATACACTTCAGAAATAGCATTTGCGAGTGCCAACCCACTCGACACAATCTGATATTAAGTTATAAATTTGCCATCCAACGTTGCCCGCTGGCCACTGCATCATTTTTTTTTTTGTTTGCCAGTATCTCATTTCAGCTTTTTTAGTTACACTTTATTTTTCAAACAGTGGGTACAAGTGTTGTATGCTGTGTGGTTGAGTTTTTCCACTAGCTGGTAAAGTCGGAAAAAGGGGGAGAGGAGGTTGGCTGCGACGTGTTTTTGCCATTTCTAAGCGGAAGCGAAATGTGCGAGAGTAGTTGAAAGCCCTCGAGTTGTTTCGTTGCCGTTGCTCATGTCAAGTGCCAGCTGCTGCCATGCCCCCAAACTCCAACCTCCCAACCTCCAATCTACCATCTAAACCCACCTTCAACCTTCAGCCCCCGGGGGTAGCCAGGGACCACGCCCATCCCGACAGCTGGGCCTGCACTTTCGACATTTAGCGCCGCCCACATGGTTGGTTACCTCCCGAGAGTCCAGGTTTGCCCGTCCTACAGCCATCCACCCACCCACCTAAAGGCCAACCCGGCGAGGAGCAGGTGCATTTGACTGGCACCACAGCATGTGTACCTTGTGTTGGCGCCAGCAACCAACTGTTAAGCGAAATTACCGCAATCTCCGCACGTCGAACACTTTTTAATGCTGAAAAATGTATTTTCTAATTTTCCCTCCTTGCCCTGTCCATGCTGTCCGTGTTTTTCCTTTTCGGACGGTCAAGTTTATTTGGCTTTGTCAGTTTTTGGCAAGAAAAAAGAGCAGGTGCCAAGAATGAGCCTCTAACTGGCCGGCCATGTTAATGAAAAGTAATTATTTTTGCGCCAAAAACTTTAAGTAGCTTCTTCGAGAGGAGAGCAGACACATTGTTGGCTATACTATGTACGAGTATACGGTGGCAAGTGTCGTTGGCGTCTTAAAATTGGGATCCTTGGCGAAAATTTAATATAACTTGAGCAACTTGACGGTAAGCTAAGAGCTTCGAAAAAGCAAAATTTCCGCAATCTTTGGCAAAATGAAAAGTGGGGTTGTAAAGGAAAATGGTGTAGAGATGATTTGCAGACATTGTTAAACTTTGTGAGCCAAGAAGGAGTAAGGGTAAGAAGTTTGCCAGGAAAAATAATTTTTAAAAAGAAATATTTACCTCATGAACTGATTGTTCTTTTTTATAAGTTAATAAGTCATAACTCAAAAGAGCTGTATATTCGCCCTGGAAAATATTCCTGTTTTCTATTTTGAAAATCCTTTAATCAGCATTTCTTCAAGAAACTTAACTCAAGTCTTATTTAAAGTTGTTTTTCTTTATTTCGAGAATCATTTACATTTTACTTTGTTTTCTACTCTTTCCTTTGTATTCTAATTAAGATGGAACAAGTCTATTAACCAAATTAAAAGTAAAAACGTTTAAAGAATTGCAACACTCCGACGAAGTTTACCCACTTAGCCGACTGCTTGGCATTTTGGCAGCTGCCAGAGATTTCCTTCTTTCTATCTGTATAATTTAGCCATTTTATGCAGCGGCGGGAAAGCGGAAAAAATTCAACGCGAAAAACAAGGAAAAATTCACTTTGTTTTCATGCCTTTTCCTCTAGCGGCTCTGGCCTTTTGCCTCATTATCTCTCTTGGCCGAGAATCGTTTGCCAAATGAGTCAAGCTGAGTGAACTTCCTGGCTGCCACGGCGCATTCAAGTGCAACTTTTGGTGTGCAATAATAATGTTTGCAATTAAACTAATGAAGACATTTGCCTCCGCAGCACCAACCAACCAGCCAGACATCCTAGTCAAGTCAATTAGAAGTTGCTCTGCAGCCGGAAAGGCAATCTCTTTTATATTGACCAGGACAGAAAGAGCCACCGCATTCCGCAATCTGTGCCATGTTAAGTGCCACGATTTGACAGTGAACAATATTAATTGTCTGGTTTTTATTATGGTTTTGCTGTTGGCTGGTCCTGTCTCCTGACAGTTCAGATGGCACAACATTGGAATCTGAAAACTAAAATATTAATTGCCAGAGGGGGCAGCAACTCTCAATAGTTATGGATATCTTTGCAAATACAAAGTTTTCCATTTTTCAAACGAGCAAGGTAGCTGGTATTGAACTATAGTATACTAGCAGAGCATTTCTCATCTTAAAGAGAAACCTTTCTTTCCTTCCTTGAATCTAGAGCTTTAAAAGCCGAGACAGAATAAGACTTCTTCACCTGTTATCTGAAATGCTTTTTCCCCGGAATAGTTTGGGGGAAAAACAATATCTGTTAGAGAATTCCATGTACACCCCAAGTGAGAACGCGTAACTGTGCATTTGAAAAACCACCGCCATAACAGCGCAGTTTGAAATGTGGACATGAAACCGAAGCGAACCGAACCGACCTCTAGGACCACGAGGACATCCTTGTCACCAGCAAAAAACCCAACTCAGCGGATCCCCATAACCATTTCGGATAGCGAAAGAAAAGTTTTTGCCACCGCACTGGCTGCAGTTGCAATCACGCGGATTTTGAACTGCAGATAATCCGATGGGGAGCTTCGTTTTTTGGGGAGGGGGCAGCAGTCAGCGGGAAATATTTACGGGTTAGAAAATTAACAAACTGGGATAGTGGTAAATGGCATATAGTGAAAAGCAAAGTTTTCTTTTTAATTTAATATTTTATTTTTATTTAGTTTTTGTCGCGTTTGAATTTGGTTTTTCGGTTGCTGTTACAATATTTGTCTGCATAGATTTTCATAATATTCCATTTCTCTGTTAGTTATTATTGTTTTTTGGGGTACCGGCAGTACCTTGTTCAGATTCCGTAAATCCCCAATTAGCATATGCATTTGGAATTACGTTTAGAAATTTTTGTATTTAAACGCCTTTCTGAGGCTCTTGCTCTTGGTTTTGCACGATTTGCATTTGTCGTTTAAAGTTCTTTCTTTGGTTTACGGATGGGGCTTTTCGTTTTTTATATTTTTTATGCTTAGTTTACTAAAAGATAAATAAAACGTCTCCACCTCTCTTTCAAGCGAATGTTGTATAACTAAATAATTTCTTTACAATTAAAATCATGGCGCCAACAGTTCAAAAATGAGTTAGCCTTTTTGAGTATCTGGTTATTCATAACTTTCTTGTATTATTCGTTAAGCATTTAATGTTAATTACAATCTTTAGCTAATTTGACACATAAAGCGGAAAACTTAACAACATTTTGTTGGTTTGAATTGCCATTTCTTGTGTTAGGTTGCAATGATCTTCAATAGACACTTATTGCTAGGTATAATATTTATTATTAATTCTTTTAATCCTTTGTTTGTTTAACATTTAC